AAATTTCAAATCAAAACATTAAACAAACAAACTCACTATTTATTATACATATCTTTTAATTATAAAATATTATTTCAAAATACTATTTAAACAAATATTTAAGTCAGTCCTATATTTTAAATCAATTTCATTACTACTTTACATGACATGAAAATGTTGAAGCACATTATTATTTGTCCATAATATATACTCCGTCTATTCGTCCTAATTATGTCAGATTGTTTGGACATGAGGAAAAAAAAAATAAATAAATGATATTTTAATATGAAAATAGTGTAGATAAAAATAAATCAGGATATTATAAGAAATTTATTAAAAAAATAATAAAAAAATATTATAAATAAAAATAATAATTAATTAATTATTATTAAAGTAAACATAATAAAATTGTAAATAAATAAATATATTTATTATGAATAATAATAATAATAATAATAATAATAACACTCGTACTTATCACCTTTATATTTCAAATTAAATTAAAAAAATAAATAAATTGTTTCACTTACTTGAATGAACCATCACACATCAAGCTTTTAATTTTTGCACTTTGCACGAAATTGACAATAAATAAAAATGGAATCTTGCAATAGGTGTTGTCTTAACAATATGGGCTGTCTTGATAACGAGTTTGATTAATTGATTGTGTTTTGATATTTAATAATAATAATAATTTTAAAGATAATATAGTGCTAAATAAATTGTAAATATATAATATGAATTTTCAAATAAAATTATTCTAGGGTGATGTTTTAAATTAATATATATATATATATATTCGAAACAATTATTTCCATGTGCCCCTACAAAATAATTAATGTTATAATCTATTGTCATGTCTACTACACATCTTAATTATTTCGAAGTCAATATCTTAATTAAATCACACTTAGGTCACATTTTATTTTAAAATTTTTAAGTGACCTAAGAGGAGTCGTCATTCAAAATAGTGGGCCACTAGCAAATTAATCTCTACTGCCAAACTATTACAATTATTAATAATTTTCAATTTATATGTAAAAAAATATTTTAGTTTGAATTTTTCTTAATATGAAAATCAAAAACTTATATTGATAATATAAAAAAATAATATTTTGTATTAAATATTTTTTTAAAAAATATATATATATATATACTCCCTCTGCCACGCACAAAATAGATAGTTATTTTTTGGCGCATTGTTTAAGAAATAATAGTATTTTAATTATAATGGGTAGTTAAAATTAGTATAATGATATTTTTGTCTTTTTTTTTTTGTGTGTAAAAATAATGAGGTGATGTAAAATAAGGGTATTTGTAAAAAAAATATGAAGTATTTAATGCAATGTTTATATATAATTAGACATCTTAAAATATAAATATGTATATTTTTGGACGGAGCGAGTATTATATATATATATATATATATTAAAAATTATGTTAATTTTTATTTTATTATTATTATTGAACAAACAAACCCTATGTTTCTGTTTACATAAGCTAAAAAACTAATTTGGGCATGATTTATCTACAGTAGTATTTTCAAATAATATTACACTAGTTTTTTTTTTTTTTTTTTTTTCACTAAGGATTATACTATTTAATGTATTCAAATTAGTACTCTCTCCATCCTAATACAATAGTATTTTATTTACCATCTTTCTCCGTCCCAAAACAATAGTCTTATTTCCATACATAACAATATCATCGTAAAACTACTCGTACTTTTTCATTTTTATTACACAATTGTCACTGTTTTTTACACTAATACACCCATAAGGGTAAAAAAGTTTTTTATTCATATTTTTTTATCAACTATCAATATAATTTCAATATTTTTTAAATCTTTTGTGTGGCCAATCCAATTAAGATTATATTTATTGACAGACGGGCAGGGCTGATGATCCCCTCCTTAATAAAATTATTATTTTACATAAAAATGTTATTGAAATATGATTGTCAACGCATTTTTTATTAGATATAAAACATTAGAGCTTTGAGGTTATTTTCAATCGATTTTTTTTATTTTTTATTTTTTTAATTTTATCACCACTTCAAGCTATTCTATTTTTTTTTAGGAAGAATTGGAGATGATTCGAGGAATCTTTTTTCATATATTAAATATATTTTTTTCATTTATGGAGACAATTGGAATTATACTTTTCTTTTACTAAGATTTCGTTCAAATTTATTATTTAAATAATTTTTTTCTTTTAAAAATATCAAATTAAATACTACTTTCATTAAATTATAAGGATCTCATTTACTTTTTTTTTTTTTTTTTTTCGTGTTGATCTTTCAATATTAATTATTATATCAAAACGTAGTATAATTAAAAAAAAATTGCAAAAATACTTCAATTAATATCTTATAATATTAATGGAAAGACGTTTGTATAAAAAATTATACAAATATAACGATATTTTTAATGTTAAATACAATAACGTAAAATATAAATGTAACCCTTAGACCATCTCCAATAGAATAGATTTTCCTCTATTTTTGCAGAGTGGGGAGAAAAAAACTGCTCCAACCCACCCTGCAATTTTGCAGAATTCACCCGCTGATTTCAGCGGGATGCAATTTTTTTATTTATTTTAATATAATTATCTATTTATATATAATTATATTTTTTAATATAATTCCAGCTGGGTGCAATTTGTACACTTTTTAAAAAATATTAATTAAAAATATTATTATAATTTAAATATATAAAAATAATAAAATATTAAATTTTATTTGTAGTTTAAAAAATTATGTAAAATAAAATATAAAGAGAATATTTTTTAACCCTGCAAAAATAGAGGGTATGGTTGGAGAAGAGACCCTGCAAAAATAGAGGGTATGGTTGGAGATGGTTACTGTAGCAGACCCTGCAAAAATGGAGAAATGTATCGTAGACTCTGCAAAAATAGAGAAATGTATTGTAGATCCTGCAGAAATGGAAAATGGAGAAATGTATTGTAGACCCTGCAAAAATAGAGACATGTATTGTAGACCCTGCGAAAATGGAGTTATGGGTTGGAGATGGTCTTAGAGGCGGACAAAATAAATAGTATTTATTTTTTATTTTATATATTAAACTAAAAATTAATTTTACATTCAAAATAATAAATTAATATCTATTTACATCACATAATAACTATTTGAATTTAAAATTTTTACAATTCAAATTTAAAATCCACGCCGACACCGACACACCCAACCTATTTTAATACTTATACATATTGTTTGGTTTGAATAGCGACCAAACAAACAAATTTGAGGCCAAATTGTGAAGATTTTAGTTATATAAGATATACTAACAATTTGATAAAAATTGATAATTAATTATTTCAGAGGATATACCTTTTTATTTATTTTATTTGTAATTTACAAAATATGTTGATGGGATGTAAAGTAAAATTATATTAGGCACATTTTAGAACATATCGAATGTAATTAATATTGGGGGCTTTGGCTTTGCAATGTAGCAGAGATAGATAGATTAGTTAGGTATTAGGTATTTTTTTTAATTAATTAATTAATGTGCCCTTCGTTTAAATAATATCATATTGAATATAATATGATTGTTCAAATTTAAAAATTTCAATGTTTTAAATGAAATAAATATTAAATTGATATTTTTAAATTCAACACCTAACCCACTCGTGTAATAATACAAATGATGGTATATAAATTTTTGAACCAATAGGACATTCCTTTCTTATTTTCCCAGCAACGGTGGAAACAAGAATTCGTGACGTGTTTGTTTGAAATTGATGTGATATTTTGAATGTAAAATTGATTTGTAGTATAACATTACAAAAAATTTAAAATAAATACTTAATTTGATATTTATAGGAAAAAAATTTGTAAGAAACCATAGAAATCCTACCAAATCCTTCAAACAAATACACCCTTAAAATATCGACAAACACACCCTTAAAATATCAAGATTTAACGCAAACAAGAACAAATCATACAAAAAATTTGTGGTTAATGAACGGATTCGAAATATGAGGTAATGAGTTCAAACACTGAAATGTCCAGATTTTGTCTGTCACAAAAAAAAAAAAATAAATAAAAAAAGCTATAAAAGGAGGAATAAGAGAGGATTTTAAAAAAAATAAAAAAATAGTAGAACTGTGCTTCTCAGAGATGCTGGGAAGATGTGATTCCATTGCCATGTGTATATGTATATACATGTATATATATATAATATATAATATATATGTTTTGTTTTTATAATTTATATTGAATTTATTGTTATATTTAAATTTGGTAGTATTTTTATAATTCATAATATTTTGTATTCTACAAAATGATACTAATATTGAATATATTTTATCAATTTGAAATTTGAAATATAAAAATACAATTTTGATATTAAAATTAAAATTTAAAAGTAAATTAAAACTAAATTTAATTAAATCATAAATAATATAACTTTTTTCCCATAATGTTTTAATAAATCGAAATATTGACAAACAATAATATAATATAATAATTAATACTAAAAATTAAAAATCATATATATATATAATATGAAAATAAAAATTTATTAAAAAATTAGAATGAGTATCTTTGTTATACCGCTGAAATGGTTATTTTCAAAAAACGGTTATCTCCGTTGCAAATGGTCTAAGGAATCAAATATTTTTCATAGAAGGTAGGGAAACTTAAGTACGTTGATCTCGACAGGACAATATACATTTATTATTTTTTGTAATAGAATAAAAATTAATAGTATACAAATTGAAAAAAAAATCAATATTGTACAACAAAAAATATTCATTACATGAACTTAGTCAAAGTGCGAACATTATAAAAACCATATTTACTTGGAAAAAAACAAAACAAAACAAATAATACTATCTACTTTAGATTGATTTTGAAATGGTTGAATAATAATAATATTTAAATTGAAAATAAAAATGCAGTGAACCGCAGAAGCTGATCACTCTCTGTCTCTCTCTCGCACCCTATTTCTCATTCCATTCTAGAGAGTGAGAGAGAGAGAGTTGAAACACTCTTATCCCTGCCATTGCCAACGACATTAGTAAATTTCCCAAATTCATCCATCACCAAATGGCATGCTAGTTAAACAAAAACTGAAAACAATAGAGTGACAAGGAACAAAACCCAGATTTCATTCACCAGTTTCTCAAAAAAAATCATCATCAGTCCAAGGAGGCTATGCTATTTCTTCTTTTTCTTGCATAGCATAAGCACAGCACAGCCTCAACATCATCATCATCATCCACTTTCAGTTTCAGTTGTCGAATTCGTGGATGTGATCCAATAGGTAGTTAGCAGTGAGCTCTTCATTCTTGTTGCACGCGAAGAACACTTCCAGCACCAAATCTCGATTGAAACCCATTGCTTCAAGCTAACACACACACCACACCAACAATCAATCAATCAATCAATCTTCAAATATATAAATAAATCAAGAAACTGGTGAGATTGAGAGTTGGCAAGCATGGTGATGATAGCGATCAAAACAAACAAAAACCTTACTCGATCAATTGCTTCCTGCTCCTGTGCTGTGATGGTCACAGTCTGTGCCATACCCTCTCCTGCTAGTTGCCCTAGCAGATTCCTGAATCATATTGAGAGAAAACACAGGGCAAACACAGGTTTAGAAGAATGGAAATAATAAAAAATAAATTAAAACAACCCTTCTTTCAAGGAATTTGAACATCCACTTGATATTGAATATAACCAACTTCTTACCCCTCTCCCTCGACAGGCTCACTTAATAGCTGTTGGAAGTCAGATTGATGATCTTGTATCATCCGCACAAGGTGTGGATTTTGCTTCGCAAGTTCTTGAAGCATAGGCTGCAAATTTCAGATCATCAGTGATCCAAATGTTGGTATAAATGCTAAAATACATATATAAATTGGCAATGCAATGGTATACATACCTGCAATATTTGAGGATTGGCTTGCACCATGGCTCGCAATGATTGAAACTGTGATTCAAAATAGTATCATGCAAAAATTACATAAAGAAAATAAAATCAGGAGACAGCCTATTAATGACAAACTATAAGTTAATCATGTAAAGAACAGGTTGAGTTGGCACCTGTTGACTGTTGCGAAGAAAATCTAATGTGCCAGCACTAGCGTTTGAACCCAAATTCGGGAGGCCCTGGTCAGAAAAAGCATATCATTCATAAACCATACACAATTTCCCTTGAATTAATGTTTAGTAAATTGTATGAATTCGAGAAAACATTTACCTGAGGAAATAGATCCAACGGATTGGCATTTGGACCACCAGAAGACACTGCCGGTTGTGCAGCCAGGCCTGGAGGATTCGCAGGTTGTTGACTGGCGGGAGGTTGAGCCACAGGAAGAACTTCGGGTTGCTCTGGAATACCCTGATAATTAAATTATATCCATGGTCAAAACATGAAGCAATGAAAGAGAATATATAAACATTACAGGTATACTAAATGCCTTTTTAAAAGAGCCAACATTTCTTCTACTGAAATTTGAAAAGATGAATAAATGGAGAAAGCTACTGCGATTCGGGGAAAGGAAACTCACTGAATAGAGGTACTCAATAGCTCTTTCTGGATTATTATAAGCAGCCCTTAGTGCACGGACAACTGTATCTCTGTCCCAACTTCCACCACCCATATCAATAATTTGTTGAATAGTGGCCTCCAAGTTAGTTCCAGCAACAAGATTTGATGCTGCTTGACCATACACATCAGTTGATCTGCTTGAACAAAGAGAAATAAATCAATAAATACTACCTGGGACATAAAATATTATAAATGTTCAGGTAATATATAATCCAGATAAACTCACAAAGCAGGGGTGGGTGTTGGAGCTGGAGTAGATTCAGGAACTGATTGCAGGCTGCAAAGCAAGCAGTGATGCATTAAGTTATAACAGAAGAATATTTATTTTACTATAATATAAAACTTGAATACTACAGAAAGCTCACGGTGCAACAGTGGGGGCTGGTGAAGGAGCTGCTGTTACGGGTTGTGTAGGTGGAGATGTATTACTCACAGGTTGATTCTGAAGAGTAATTACATAAAACAACATAAAGATGGGTCAGATTATATGAATTGTAAAGATCATAAAGTCTACCAAGAAACTTCACATCAAAGATGTAAAAATAAAGGACTATTGTTTAAAATTTGCAAAGACATGCATGCACAATAAAAAAATGCATTGTCTAGTTTTATTTCTAGCATAATCATGGATGAAATAATGAAACTCCCAATCAAAATCTACCAAGATCCCAAGTCATGAGGGCTATATCCATTAGATTAAAGGTACATTTAAGAAAAGAAAATATGGAAATCTCCTCCTGATTGACAGTCCAGACTAACATGGGCAGAGACATAACACAGAATGGCTTGCTTATTTGAAAGCAGTCAGATGTGAGCATTGATTTTTATTTTTTCTATTTAGACAAACCAAATACAAGCAGATAACCACATAATCAATCATAACAAGATACAGAAACAATTATCCAATAGAGGTGCACAACAACTATGCAATTCATAATCTCAATGAAGTTACATATTTGCAGCTAAGACTACATGATTCACATAATGTGGATAAGATCATGCATGGGAAACAGCCCATTAAATTTATAATACAAGTGCAATGCAAAGCCATAGGGAGTGAAATTACAGAGCAAATTATTCTGTGTTTGAGGGCTTTTCGGTTCATTTTGTTTTCTATATTTTTTCATAGGAACTTAGTAATGTTTTTCAGCATGCGATAATAACCCATTCAACAGTTTCCGAGAGTTGTGAAGCACCACATTCCACAACTAAGGGCTTGTTTGGTTTTGATTTGAGATTGGGATTTTGATTGGAATAGTAATATTTTGTGAGAAAAAATAAATAATGTATTTTTATTGGGAATTGTAAGAGCTGAATAGTGGTGTTTTTTATTTGAAATAAAATACAAGCACACCCTAACTTTATCTTACAAATCTTGCATATCCAATGAAGACACAATGGAACCAATAAACAAAGAAATATATATATATTCTGATAAAATATATATATATATATATATAGCTAGAAAAAGGGAAAACTGACTCTCCTCCAGAACTTAACTGTAAACAGCATTTGCACAAACCGATAGAATTACACCACAATCAATCCATGTGTTGCCCAAAGCTCACATATTTAAGCCATATAAACTAGACAAACACACCAAAATCAAAGTCCTAATTATGCAAACCCAAAATGGAAAATATATAGGCATGTGGACTTACTGTACTTGACGGTGCAGCAGCTGCAGTTGCGGCTCCACTCGATGAAGCCTTACTCTGCAAATTTTGCATGATGAAGATGCAGTCAAGTGTAAATATTTATTACTTTTGGAGCAACAATATTATGTGTTAGAGCTGCCTGAGTACATATACTAAGCATGTCAACATATACAAAGAATCCAGCCACAGCTGATGCAATACCTATTTGCATGTGGAAACATCAATTTGTTTTACCCTTTGTTCATGGAGGGAATTTTGTACAATGTTGTTTATAATGTAAAATTCACCAAAATAAAATTACAAATTACCTTGCTCAGCATAATGACTACAAAACTGTTTTCAGCAACTTTATTCTCTTCAAGGGTTGTATCATCCACAAGAACTGTTCCTTGATGAATAAGCATCTGCTGACTAGCAGGGTACACATTAGAACCATGCACAGTCTCAATTCGCTTCTTTGCATCTGCCACCTAAAATTAAAAAAATATAAATTCGGTTATTTAATGATTACAAAAGATGAAAGAAAGAGCAAAGAAAATCAAGGGAAAAACAAAAAAAAAAGTCAGTCCATGTAGCTAAAAAGAAGTTCTGCAGGAATAGTTACCAATATAAAATTACATACAGCGCCTTCCAGTTCAAAACCACTAAAAGAAACCACAATTTATTCAAAACGTCAACAATAAAACATCAGAGAATGATTGAATTCCAATGAAATAATTTGTTAAACCAATTTATGATCATTGTTGCAATTCAATGGAAGTGTCCTCAGTGGAGACTCTAGATGTTACGTTCATGATATCACATCGCAGTGAAATTTTATTTTCAAACAAAAACTACAAATACAATATTTCAAGAAAAAGATTACTATGGACAAAATTCACACAGAAATACATAGCATACCCAATGAAATAGAATAATCTGTTGCTGTCCTAATAACAATTTTCTACATATACTTTTGTTCAGCAAACATATATAAAGATCCTACCTCTTCAATGGCGCTAAAAACCAAAATAGAAATTTAGGTTAATTACAGACGACATTACTATCATAACAAGCACTACTAACGAAAACCTACAAAATAAAATTCACGTTCACCGAACCAAGCTAATCCCAGAGGAAAGCAAATACAATTCCCCATTTCCCTGCCCCTAAAGTAATGCCACCTCGAACAATCTAAAGATAACAACAACAAACCCAAAACAATACGGAAACTAGAAGCGAATCCCCAAAAGCTGAAACCCAAAAATCAAGACACGATGAAAACTACGAAACCCTAATTACAACCCAATGTCGATACCCAAAAACCCATATAAAGAAAATGCACACGCACGCGTACGCCGTATTTCATGTATTAACAGAGTAAAAGCAAAGGCCAACAGTTCATACAGTGTCTTTAGGTTCCACTTCGATCTCGAAATGAGAGCCCCTCAGAGTCTTCACGAAAATCTTCATCTTTATTTGAAACTCACACTTGTCGCCGATTCCACACTCAGTATACAATCGCGCCTCGAAATCGCCGGTCGCCGCCGCGGTAGGTAAAAGGCAAAAGAATCGGAGCAAAATCAGAAACAACTCCTCGAGGAGGAGCGATGACCTTGAAACTTCAAGGTTTATATAGCAGGAACAGGGCAATGATTGGGTCACATGCCGGTTACGGTTCTCATATCCAAGCCAGTAGATGGCTGACACGTGTTGCCGAAAATAAAATATATTTTATACGTAAGTATAAAAAAATTGGTAAATAATATAAAAATAATAAATATATATAATTTATTAATTTTTTATTTTAGAAAATATGTTTGAAAAAGTTTTTTATAAAAATTACATCCTAGATATTCTTCGCAAAGTGTAACAATATCCTGAGAAATAGGACTTAAATCGTTTTATAGAGTTTGGTCTATCCGAAATCAGTTATTGTTATAATTTTTTTGGATACATTTTTACTAAAAACTAAATACGATGGAGATACAACTCGCACAGTCGCATGTTATATTTTTAAAACAAATAAATAAAAATTGTAACATCAAATACTGACAAATTTTTTTATAATACAAATAAATAAAAATTTAATAATATATATATGTAGGCATAATATAAATTTATTATCAAATTATACAACCTAAACCCAAATTACTCCAAACTCCTTAAAGAAACACATCTTAACCTTCTTAAAAAAGCATCTAAGAACAAAATCGTAAGATGCACTCATCGTCGAAGCATCGAAAGAAAGTATAAATATGAGAGTATTTGTATGAACGCTATAAGAACAAGCTATCCAATAAAATCTAAATACTATTAACCGGGTCATCGATAAATCAAGTGCCGCGTAACGACACCTCCAATTGCTCGATTCTTTTAGCTAAGTCATGCTTTCCGCAATGCTTCAAGCCATCGGCCACCATGTCGAAGCTTTGCGACATAGGTATGAGCTTCAACTCCGTCATTTCCATCAAATAGTTCGCCGCTTCAACAAACTTGCCTCCACGGACACACATCTTTACGAGCATAGTGTACACAGGTCGGTTCGGGGGATGTCCCTTAACCTTCATGTCGGAGAAGAAACAAAATGCGTCGTCGAATTGTCCCCGCCGACAAAGAGACTTCAAAATCGGGGCGTATAGACTCGGGAACGGCGAGTGCCCGGCCTCGATCGATTTGTGGAGCATCGTAAAAGCCTCGTCGACTCTCCCGACTCTCGCCGACATGGTTATCATAATCTTGTACGTATTAGTGTCTGGAAAAAAGCCCAATCTGCAGACGTCGAGGAAAAGCTCGATGCAAAAGTCGATCTCCCCCGACTTGCAAAGGGCCTCGGCTAAAGAATTGAATGTCGATACATCGGGAACGAATCCCTCCTTCGTCATTTTCCGCACCAACCCTTTCGCTGACTCGAGATACCCCGCATTCAACAAACCATCGATCAATAAATCGCGGCCGCGGACGGGCGGATTGAATCCCTTCTTGCTCATCTCCTCTAAGAACTCTTGTGCCTCTCTCATCTTCCCTGCCGAGCACCACGCATTGACGAGAATCGAATAGGTTCTCTTGTCGGGAACGTTCGATTTTCTGATCATTCGACGTATCAACGCATAAGCGCCTTGGAAGTTCTTGACTTCGCAGAGAGCGAACAGAAGTGAGTTGTACACTTCGGTCGTTTGCGGGCAGTCGAAGTTTTTGAGCCCGTTGAAGAGGTCGACGGCTTGATCGATGAGTCCGTGTTTACCGTATTGCTCGATGATGAAAGACACGACGGACGGGGTAATCGCGACGTTCTGCTCTTTCATATTGTGTGCGACCTTCCACATCGTCTCCCAATGGCGCGTCCGGGCAAGAATCTTGAGGAGCTCCTCGAATTCGACGGTGGTGGGATCATAGCGCGGGTGATTCGTTCGAGCCCAATTGAAGAAGCGGAAGGACTCGATCCCGGAGTTGCAGCAACTACGAAGGACGCGGTAGACTAATTCCGAGTCGACTATTTTCGATATCCTCATCTTGTTGAGGGTTCTCTCCATGTAGACGTCTCTTCGGACAATGTTCGATATGTGATGCACCGTGGCAAAGTAATCGTCATTTTGTAAGCCTCGAGCATCGCCATGGCCTCCGATTGATCGAAAAGAGCTGTCTCCGGTGGCCGGAGTTTTATCATTATGGAAGCCTCGAGCATCGCCACAGCCTCCTATTGATCGGAAAGAGCTGTCTCTGGTGGCCGGAGTTTTATCATTATGGAAGGCTTGAGTGTCACTGCCACTGCCGCTGCGTCCGATTAATCGGAAAGAGCTGTCTCCAGTGGTCAGAGTTTTCACAAATGCAGTGATAGTAGATCGCCGGATTCGAGTCGAATTTCGACGAATCATAAGCATTCAAATGTTCTTGATGGATGGAATGATCAAATTAGAGACTGTTTCTAACCACGAAAGCACCTGCATAATTGAAGAGGTGATTGTGTAAGAAATGAACAAAAATCAAAACAAACAATTAGTTTAGCTGTTCAATTGCAGATATCAGAATGAATTTGAAGCGAAACCTAATTGAATCGTAAGCACAAAATAAATAGAATTTTGTTTTATGAATACGGTAATCTGGAAGAAAGGAAATTCAAAGAGGCATTTCATCGAACACGTTGTGTGCATCGATGCGGAACGGCAGTGTAAATTAACTCAGAAATGGATAATGTCCTGAAGTGAAATTTTCAGCAGAGTTTACATTGAATCGAGGGGTAGTGAACAGGGAGGGGACTAGGTTGGAAGTGATGGTACGGAACGTACCTGATTGATTGACAGCAGATTGCATAAGAACATTGGATTTGGAGAGGAAAGGCATTTGTCTCAATCTGCCATTACAGAGTTCTGAAGCGAATTGAGCTTCAAAGATTGAGAGCTTCCATTGTCAATAATCCGTCGATGCCGAACATGCAGCTTTCTTTGAACTGAAGTAGTGCGATGTTTTGCAGTTTTGTTTGTGTTCCGACTGTGTGGGAATACTTTTGAAATTAAAATTTATATACTATTAAAGAATATTGTTAAATTTTCAAAATAAAAATAAATATACTACATAGTAATTTAATAATTAAAAAAAAAAATACTCCTATGTCCCATAACAATAGTCCATTTTGATATTTATTTACAAAACTATCGTTATTTTCTACACAATAACTACAAAAATACAAGCATTCTTTTAAAAATACTTTTATACTAATATAATGAATATAATAATATTATTTCTCATTTACTGGGCTCATGTCAACTGTATGTTTTTCTAAGAGCATACACAATCCAAGTACGAAGGGCCACCCAAAAATCCCGAATGCATAAAACAATTTCATGTTTAAATTACTTAAAATTACAATAATAATAAATATCTATATTTAAAACTAAATTAATCTCTAAAAAATTTTAAATTTTTTTTTTTCCCATAGGACAAAAGCAGGATGAGGCAAAGATAGGCTCTAGGACCATGCTTCAACATGATACTTACCAGCCTTTTCCAGCGTCCGAATCCACCGGAGCGCCGCCTCCCTCGCAACCCCGGCTTCCCTTTCCACCACCTCCTCAAATGCCGCCAGCACATCCGCCGGCATCTTATTAGCAGATCCAGCGACAAAAACAGCAGCACCCTGAGCAAGTAAATCCCAAACCTTTCTGCTCTGCTCCCGAATTCTATGCTGCACGTACACTTTCCGCGGCTGATCCCTCGAAAAGGCGACAAAGAGTCCTCCGCCCTTCGATTCTGAGAGCACCCCATCCCTCTCTGCGAGGGAGAGCAAGAATTCCCGGTACAGAAAGTCATCTTTCTCACTTCTACATCCGAAAAAAAAGAGGACCGGGGCAGTCGGGACTGTGTTGCTCTGTATCGCCCTTTCCTCCAAAAATCCACGGAATGGGGCACACCCAGTCCCAGGCCCGACTAGGATAAGAGGGAGGGATGGAGGGGGTCGAGGGAGAGAGCCTCTGCTAAACCATGCCGGGATGTTGATGCCTGTTTCAGGTCAGTTATCGATCAATGAAACAGCTGTAACAAAGATAATCTCAGAGTAACTCACCCTGCTGAGGATCAATGCTAGCAAGCCATGATGAGCAAAGGCCTGTCCGTATTCGCTTGTAGGGAGTTGTCCAAGAGACAACACTGACGGTCAAGTGGACCTGGTTTGGATGGGCAGAGAGAGAAGAAGCAATGGAGAAAGCCCGCGGCTTCAATGGAGGAACCAGCTGGACCAGCCACTCAAACGGCATTTGCACGGAGGGAAAATCCTCGAGTACCTGTGTAATGGAGATGAAAGGAATCAAAAATTGGTGAAGGGGCACTTCAAGATTTGGCATGCATCATAAAACGTGTATATCGACACCTCCAAGACAGTTCTTCGTTCTTTCTGGTTGTATTGGTATAAGTCATCTCTTCCTTCGGGAGAGGCAAAGTATTGGAGCCTTTCCTTTTCGTGTTCAGCAGTGGCGAAATGGCTCATTATCTGAAGAAATATGTGTCACATTGAAACAGATTAAATAAATATCAATATTTTCGGTAAGCATATTGGCAACTTTAAGATGTCACTTGAGAAGACGTACACATTGGCAAGATAATAACATAGTGTCCGTCTTATAAGTTGCCTAATGTTATTGAATCAAACTTTTGAATATGCATACCTCAAAGAAATAGCGCCTCGGAGAAGCAGAGGCCACATCCATTGTTAACTCGATGAAGGACTTTATTTTCACTGGGAACAAAGAATGATTCGAAGAACCAAGATTCTTCTTATCTCTAGGCTGAACCTGAAAACATGCATCCAAGGAATATAGAGAAATAGCACAAACATTATATGTAGTATTGAGCACAGGGAATAAAGAAATTGGAGAAATACCTACAATTATGTATGATTCAGGGTTGAGATTACAACGTTTTATAAAAGCATCAACGGCAGCTGGGCTTTGTCCAGGAAGAATTTCAAGAACATCGCCCACTTCATAATCTATTGACTGCAAAAAGGTAAATGAAATTAAGTAAAAACTTTTCAAGAGGGTTATAGAAGTCAAACAAATCAAACAGTCAGACTTACAGAGGAAAGTGCTTCAAATTCAAAGTGACGTACGTCCTTCCCACAGTTCTCCCTACTCAATCGATGATTCTTGGTCTACACTGGCAAATATCAAATGATCAGGGATATGCGTACAAAAATACAGCAAAACTGTTTTGATACCGATAACATTGCTGGAAGCCAACACATGAACCCACTCATTAGCACCCTCAACCATGTAATGAAGAAAGACGGACAGGTGTAACGGCTGCGGGTTCCCACGTCATCAAAAAAAAAAAAAAAATGAAAGACGGACAGGTGACATGTTTTTTATCCTATCATTTTTTTACTTGGTTTAGTTGAAGCCAAGTTCATCTTAATTAAGAACAATGTATCAAGAGTTGCCTGCCTACCATGGACAGTTATCACCATTCACACAAATATGATTCAAGGGTTAGTTTTTGCAGAAGCTATGGCCTGCATAATGATCTTCCATAGTTTCCTTAAAGGACCTTCTGGTAAGAATCAACTTATCACTTTAATTTATTTTAGGAAAGGCAGTTGCATAAGTTTTCTGGACTTAGGATACTGTTAGCTGAAATGAAGAGAACACAATGCACTATTCGTAATGCAAAATATTTAAACCAGTTCAATAATCAAGGCAGAGAAACTTGAAACTTACCATTCTGAGGAAACAATCAGGTCTATTTTTGCCAGAAAGTTTCCCAGGGGTCATCATGCGAGCACTTTCAATTTGAATCCCGTTATACTTTAAATCTGTCAGCATCAAATGAGTGGCTAATAAGTAATGAGAACAAAATTTAAATTAGAGAAAATACCCAAAAATCTGTCAATATTACTGCTCCATTCATCTAATCTATGTGATTAAATCAAAATCACGGTTTCTTGCCATAGATATTCCAACAAAATTCAGTTCAAGTAAACAACCTGCAGAAGTCGAAAAAGGGTGCATAGCTTCTTCAGCGTCATGATACAAAATTTGCACCTTTGGCAGATCAATTGAAATAGTGTCACGGGTCACAAAATCAGGGCCATTTGGAAGTAATTTGGGAATCTTTTGATACAATGTATTAAACAAAGCCGACATCCAGGGATCTAAGGCTCCTTCATACCTGTCAAAGAATTTATAAGCTGTTTATCAACACATTTATTGCACATCTAAACTCCATGGTTTCCACCGTGGAGCCTAACTCAACAAACTCATACACATTCAAAGATCAAAAAAGGTAAGCAATAGACAAGCATAAGACCCAAAATGCATGCATCTTCAGAAGGCTAATGTCGGGAAATGCAGATGAGATTCAGGCCTTATCCAATAAAAAATGTGAAACACTCAACATGTCAGCTTCACAATTAAATGTAGCAAGAGAAAAAGCAATAACTTAAACATACAAAAATGACAAGGGTAAATACTTAAATACATTTGAAACAAAAATCAAAAGAATGATGTCCAACCTTTCTTTATCCTAGTTTTCTGTACTAGTAGAAGGTATGAACTATGTGAAAGATCTCAAAAAGGAACTTGTTACTAAAAGGTGTGGGTTGTTAGCACAAAATGCTTGCCCAGGATCCTATGAGAGTTAAAAGATCCATCTATGAACAATTTTGGTGATGTTCCTGAGATCTATATTGCATATAGTCCCTCACACTACTAATTGTTGATTAACAGAGAAATCCTTAACTACTTGAGAGTTGAGATATCTGGTTGGCTGTATTTTTTATTTCGTATTTTTGTTCTTACTAGAACTGCTGTTCTTTTAATTCTGCATCAAAGCATTTGAAGGCTAACTGCTGAAATTAGCATGCAAAACAATTGATCCAAAGAAAAACCTACTACTATCTGAACTCCATGTTTTAGTGATAAACTTCAGTGGAGATTGAACCATATAAATTGTGTAGAAGTGTACCCTGAAGGATGCTGATCATCTCCCAGTCCTCTTTCAACAATTGCTGTTCCACCAAGATCTGATAGCCGCTTATCTAGCTTCTTTGCCACAAACTGGCAACAGAAAACAAATTATGTTTATCAACATGTGTCTAGAAAATATATATATATATATATATCATTAACCAAATAATGCGTGATTGATCTAAAATATAGACCTGATGTTTTTACAAAACAAAATCAATATAATTCTTGAAGATACTGAATCATTAGAATTTCCATGATTTCATTATTGTGTAAACATGATAATTGATATACATCTCACTAATTATGGCCATCATATGTACCAAATTTTAACAAGAATTTGATCAGACAGATTTTCAGAAAGTGTGATATAAGAAAAAATAGCAAAACTCTTTGTGCATGTTAAATAGAAAATGCAGAACAGGACATTCACAAGCAATATAGCATCATTACTAAATAAAATTTGCAACAAATGTAAATGATAATATATTTTCTAAACTGATAAGCACAAGATTCACGTAAAATGATAAAATATAAGTGAACACAAGATTCAAGCATTACATTATACTTTTGGTAGCTCGAATCCCCTAAACCAAACACTGCATAGTTAACTCCTTTTAGCCATTCTCTCGTCAGATTCTTTTGCAATAAGAACCTCCAAAAAATCTGAAAGGAAGTAGTTCAATACACTGTTGTAATATGTAATAAAGTAATTCACGAATAATATAACCCATGACATTCTTCTACTAAAAGTTATACAAAACCTTCATGGAGTCTGGGTTGTCTCCTTGTCCAGTGGTGGACACCACAAAAATCACCACCTCATTATCGGGCAAGTCGCTCTGAATTGAGAAAATACAACTGCTTATTTATCAATTGTAATAAAAATAAATAAATAATAGAGGTAGCATATTAATCCATCCTCTAACGTAATAAATAAAAGACAGCCATGTCACTGAACTGTTCAATCGCAGAAATAAGAAATGCATATCTAAGTATCTAACCATACCACAAATTACTAAATGGTATGCTGTGATAATCATCTAGGCACAATTAAATGAAGCTTGCAAAGCCTAGTTATCAAAATATGCAAAAAAAAAAAGAAGGGATGCTTTGCGAAATAATAAGTGGTTGAAATACAGGTTGAAATTCATCAATGGAGAGAACAGAAACAGAGGGGCAGCCACGACGCTCAGCTTCACGGCCAAGTCGCTCAGCAGCATCGATTGCATTTCCAGTCTGTGAGGCATATAGTATCAGCAGCTGCTTCTCAAGATCTCCCAAGATTGAGCCCATCAAGATTTCAAAAGAAACACCTGTCAATAAGACCAAATGCAACATATAAAATGTTGTGAAATTTAATAAATATATGGAGACACATAGGATCACAACTAAGATCAAGTTAATCAAATATAGGGATTTAAACTAAAACTCTCATAGAAAAGTCACGAAACAAACCATCCAAAAGAATTCATTAACGTTCATGTACATATAAAATTCATCATTACTTTAAAAATAGTATAAGTGGCGACATGCTTCATACTTGTTCAACTAACAATAAAGTAGCACAGGCACACTACATTGACTACTTGGTACAATATCAAACCATTAGCAAATGCAATCAATTGCCAGAGATACAGCAATTGTCTTTTAATAGACTTCATCAACGTGGACTTACTCACCGCGATAATGCATAAACTATGCGATTAATTCAAGAGGATGTTCATCCACCACAACTCAGTACAAATCTCACTTTTATTACAACTCAATATTGCTCCACTAATGTCAGAAATAAACATCCACCATTTTATTTTATTCTTGAAAGTTTAAATTTGACCAGTTTTGTTGTGGAAAGAGAAATAATAATTCGTTCCTTAATCCAAATAAGTCAAAATACGTTTAATTGAGATATAATCCAGCATACAGCTCAAATAACCAGGTCCCCTCCATCCCCGCCCCCCTCCCACTCCATACGCACATACCCAGTGAAATAGGCCACAAATTTCACACTTCGCTAATAATATAGTATAATAATAACATAAATATTGAATGATACCGTGCTAAAACTAAAATCAATGGACGCGGAGGATAAAGGGAGAGGCAGTTAGGTTTCCCGCCGCCGGGTGTTAACTTGGATTGAGAGTAGATAGTGGTGATTCAGTAGTTGATACAAGGATTTTGAATCTGACCACTTTAGGTGACACTCAAAATCGGTAAATCAGATGAATCGCCACGGCGACGGCAAGGCGGCAGCGGACTCTGTTCGTGGGGAAAAATATAAAACCTCGCGGGGGAAAGAAATTTTTTTGTAGTTTATATTCCGAATATTGTAGCAGTTATAAAGGCGAAGGGTTGTTTAGATTCGGCGTTTCTTCTATCCGAACTTCTAAATTATTGAGCAAAAATTATTTTTAATCGAATTCAATTTTATAATTATCAATTTTAATTTTATTAAAAAAAAATTATCAAAATTTATCAATTTTAATACATAAAAACTAAAATATATTAATATATATTTTAACCATTGTAATATATATTTTTCAAATTTTATAATTAATTTTTAAAATAACTTTAATGTATATAAAATATTAAATAATTATAGTTTATAATTTAAATGAAATTAGAATTAAAATAATCTACAAAATATTTTATTATTATTATATTAATTTAAATAAACAATAAATACAACATCTTGGGTATATTGTATTCTTACTATATAAATAAATACTCCCACCTTTTACTTATTGTCTTCATTTTTTTTATTTTTTCATTTCTCATTTATTTGGTTACTTTTTTAAGAGAATTACTTGATTCGTTAAGTTAGAAAATATAAATATTTTTATTTTGAAACGTATAATTATAAAGTAAATATTTTATTAAATATATTTTATTTTTTCACAAAATATTAATATTTTAAATCACATCATTATTTTTATATAAAAAATATGGACAAAAATATTATAATATTTCTGTGTGGACAGAGAGAGTATTAATTTTAACTTCATTTTATTTTATTTTTTCTAAAATTTTAATTAAACTAATTAATTATTTTAATTTAACTATAAAATTATTTTTATTATACGATAATTATTTTTATTATACGATAATTATTTTTATTTGTAAATTATTAATTATTTACTAATTATGCTCTCCTAAATTTCATGTCTAATTATATCTTCCTAATTTTCAAGTAAAAATAATTATAGTATAATTAACAATTTAATTATTTGAATTGTTTTATATCCATAGTGAAATAATATATTTTTTATTTCAATCATCATTCGTAATACTTCATTCATGTATTTGTCCGTTCTATAAGATATGAATTATTTATATTTAATATAATTAATAAATATCAATCAATTTAATTAATTTTTAATAATTCATTTATTTATATATCTTCAATAAATAATTATTTTTATTTATATTTAAAATTTATTATATTGTATAAAATTAATTTTAGATTAATTATAAATAAATAAATATTATTTATTTATAGAGTATAAAATTTTTTAATCTAAAAAATAGTATTCTTGTATATACTTTATTTACAATTGCACCAAAAAAAAATAATTTAAATTGAAATTGTATATAAAATGTATATATATATAGTAACAACATTGATTTGGTGTTTCTTTGATAAGTTTGTAAAAAATTTGTTTGAATTTAATATAAAAATAATATTTGATAAGATATTTTGTGAGAAAAAAATTTAAAGAAACATACTGTAAGTGTTATTTTAGATTTAATATTTTTTCATAAAATATTTTATATTATTATTTTTAAAATGATAATTGAAAATTAGTATTTAAAAAATTGAATGGTTTTTTTTATTTAAGTTGTACTTATCTATTGCACCCAAAAATAATTGAAATTGAAATTGTATATAAAAGGGAGTATACAATCTTATTTCCTATATAAGCGTACAGACCAGCATAGTTTTAATCGACCGTCGTCTCGACTTCTCCCAAGTCTCGACGTCTCCCTTCGTCGAAAAAAATGGCGACCTCAATGGCGGTAAACGGCCGAAGGTGCTGAATACTCTTGATCGCTGCTGCACTTCCCTGTCCCGGTGCAAAATCCAGACAGCAATCCCCGTTAAATGCTAGTATTTTATTTGCCCCGACGAAGATTATTTTAAGTAATCTGAGACTTGGAGTGAAGTAGCTGAAAATTGTAATTAACTTTCCTGCACGAATTTGTAAGGAAGTTTCCGATTAAAATGGCGGTGGACTCAGGTGCAGTTCCGGAGCCGAGTGTATCAGGGAAGGAGACGGTAGCCAACCCCCCTAAGAATGAGGAGAGCAAGCCCCAGGGCCAGGACAGTGTCGTTCCACTGCCTAGAAAGCGGAATCCTGCGCTCGGGATTCGGAAGGTGGGAAATCGGATTTATGATCCCGTCAATGGGAAGACTTTGCCATCAGGTATTCTTTTGCATTTCACTTGGTGTGTTGTTGTTTAGTTGGAACGAAGTTTGGAGTAAATTGGGGCTGAATTTGTGTGATGCTGTCATTTGTTTGTTTGATATTTGGACTATCGATGATTTCTTTGCCTGTGTGTTCTTTGATTTATGTACATGTTTGTATAGTAATACAATAGACTCTGTCACGTGTGAGAAACGGAGCAATGGGTAAAATGCAACCTAGAAATGGTAATGCTGTGGAATTAAATAGAGATTCAATGGTGATGTAACCAGAATTTGATGATTTGGACAGTTTTATGATTTGGTTAGACAATTTGTAATGGACTAATGGCATTACCTTTTGTTGTTGATCTTGAAGCATGTTGTGAGTGTGACTTGAAAGATTTGGTAGTTGGTGAACGGAGAGATTATCGGTTTGGCCCCTATTTGTCGTTATGCATTAAATGCAGCGGGAATGAGTCAGAATCTAGGAGTATATTTGGACCGAATCTTGATTACTTACTGATGCGATAGCCTTAAATTCTGGCATACCAGAAAGTATATTGTGAGTGGTGTCATTATGCATTAAAAGTTGCAGGAAATGAGTCAGAATCTAGGAGTGTATTGGGACCGAATCTTGAGCAGGCTACCATTGCGATAGCCTATAGCCTTAAATGCTGGCATATCAGGAAGTATATTGTGAGTGGTGAAGATTATGTGTAGATCAATCATTGATTGGGAAATGACAATTGTGAAAATGATTCGGGGAATTTGATTGAGAGTGTTGTGCATCTTTTATGTTAGTGAGTTCAGCTTCCTGGCATAAAATCCAATGGTTAATCTCGTATAAATTTTTGTGTGAAGCCATATGATTTTCAGGCGTAGTAGCATTCTTATAGGTTACTGGTCGAATCTAATATAGTAAGTAGCCACCTAGTGTGGCAAGTCACAGTATTTAGTCGGTTTGGTGAACCTTTTATGACTTGTTTCGTTTTATCTGTGATACAAGTTTTCTAAATTGTGTTCATTTCCTTGATATTTATGCTTGACACTTCGAAGTGTCGGCAAAAGACCCTGGATCTTGTGGCAGCATGCAAGTTTCAGAGGATTAACAAACCATGCCCGAGTATGTACTGTCACAAGTGTCTCTGGATCTTATTGTATATTTTCCGAATCTTATTTTATTGTGATGATATTTTCCAAGTTAGATACGGCGAGAGGGCTGAGGAAGTAGCGGGTTTGGAGCAGTGGCTTGCCCCCAATGCAGGGGCATTTGCAACTGCAGCTTTTGCATGTGAGTCTTCTGAATTATTTTTGAATGATTTTTGCAGCATTTTCCTGATAGCGTAATTATACATTACATCGATAGGAAAAAAAGAAATGAAGATCCCACTGGTATTGCCACAAAGAAAGCAAAAGCTAAGGGATTTTCCTCAGTCGCTGAAATGCTACTTAAAACGACACCCCTAGAGGGAGCGACTGAAAAGGTAGCTTCTTTGAATTACTTGCATGATTTTCCTATTATCCACATGGCATGGGGCATATTCCTTAAAAAACGTGTGCCTGATTAATCTTATGCTCTCCTTTTGCATTGACAGGCCCACTTGTCCAGAGAGCCAGAAAAGGGTTCTACCTCTGGTGAAAAGAAGTCGAATAAGCTTAAAGCTCATCAAAAAAGAAAAATAGATTGTTGTACAAAACATGAACCCGAAGGGAATGGTTCAAGTGGCAGCTCACATGCTGATGAGCAGAAACCAAGGAAGAGGTCAGTGAATGAGGATATCAAGAATAAGGATATTCTTGTTGGCATTCCCTTGCCAGAGGGAGAAAGGGTGAGACATGTGGGTGGAGTTGATTTACCGGCAGAAGATGTCGGTAATGCCTTACAGTTCATGGAATTCTGTGCTACTTTTGGGGAGGCAAGTATCTTTATGTTGCTATTTATGTGTTAATGGTGTTCATTTTACTTTCTGACACCATGTGTATATTAATTCCTTCTTCCATTGGAGCCTAAAACATGTCATTACATTGACGGTATCTACGTGATAACCAACATTTATCTTTCATTTTATTGGAGCTAATATAGAAGTTAAAATCTATTTATTAACGTTGCTATTGTAAAATATGGTTACTCACATTTGTTAATTTCTGTACTGGGAATTAATCCTGTTTGGCTATTGTTATTGTGGTTAATGTTTGTGATGTGTGTTGTGTTTAATTTGAATGGTTTCTAAAACCTTTTTAAATTCCTCTCTTAGGTGTTTTTCTCATTGTTGTTTTTTTGGTTTTGGATGAACAGGTCTTTATTACTAAAAAGGAGCAAGCAGAACTTATTCTTCAAGACATCTATGATGTGAGAACTGGATGCAGAGGAAAATTGTCTCCGAATATCCAGTTTCATATTAACCTCCTCTCTCATTTGCTGGAGCATCAAGGGGAAGAGTATGCGTTGCCACTCCACATCAAATTTTCCTTTATTTAATTTTCCTCAATGACTTGATATCTGCTTTTGTTTTCTTTTTATTCTCATATAGATCTGTAGAACTCAGCACATCAGATAGGGAGAACTCATGGTTTGATGCGGTCAAGAAATACTTGTCTCCACCTCAAAGTGTTCTTAAAGCACAGGGAGTGGATCCTCTTGAGAACATAGGTGATTATGATACTTTCACTGCTTCGGAAAAGCTTAGGCTTTTAAACATTCTCTGCGATGAAGCCCTTGTAACTGAGTAAGTATTGTTTCACTTTTATTTCATTTTACATTGTTATAGTTTTTGAAATTTACCTGCCTACATTTTTTTTTTCACTGGATAGTAAAGTGAGGAGTCGGATGGAAGAAAATAATGCAAAACTTGCCAGCAAGGTCAAGGAAGCTAAACGAAAAATTAATGCTGCAATGGATAAGGTAATAGTTATTGGTAAATAATTTTCTAACCCAGGACTTCTGTTTCTCAGATTTTCCACTCTTGGATACTTGAACTCTATGCAGGAGAAGCAGTTGAAGCGGAAAATGAAAGATGATATTGCCCAAGCAATTTCTGCCAAGGAGGGTTCAATTTCTGAGCATGAAGCAATTGTTTCTGGTATCAAATGTGAGATAGAGCATGCTCGGGCTGAGGTTCTCGAGTCAAAGGCCATGCTTCCAAAGAGTAAGTATAATATAGCTCCTTTTTATCTTCATATGTGTTTGTTTGCATATTTCCATTTAATTGCATCGCTACTTGTTGTTCATTGTAACTTAATTTATGTAAACATTTATTTTACACTAAAAAATTTCTACAATAAAAACCCCCACTATTTTCTCATATTCTAAAAATGCTCTTATCTTACATAGGTAGATTAGATGTAGTGATTGTGATTATTATCATCTTCGGAAATGGCTTCTTCTGTACTTTAATCAATTCATATGTATGATATCACCTTCAATTGTAACCTGTGTAGCACATATTTGTCTGAAATTGATTTATACTAACAGTGTTCAATTTTGTAGAAGATCAGATTTCAGATGCTGTGAGAACAGGGCCAATACTGGTTGGCTCTGGTGGCCATGTGTACTGGAAATTGAACTCTTTGGGGGATTTGGAAGTGCTGCATCAAAGTAAGTCGTGGAATGTTTTGTAATTCTTATCACCTAATGCTTATACCTAAAGTTTATTTTGACAACTGTTACTCCCAACGGATATTGGAAATGGGGATTCCCTTTCCTTAGACGAGAAATGGTTCACCATTAATGATGAAGGGAAAGAAGTTGTTGAAAAGCATATTGCTTATGCAAGGTATGTCCCCATCTTCATCAAGCTTCTATTCTTCACCAATGAAAAAAATAAAATTAGGATGAATTTCTGCTTTGAATGCTTTGAGGGTGTTGGATATGCATTTCTTTAAATGAAAAATAAGTTTTCAATGTTAAATTGATTTTGTATGTTATGATTTGATTGAAAAATAGTTGTTGGATATTGTGGCTCTTTAGGTGAAAATGAATCTAACAGTAAATAGAGACAAAAGCAGCTTTTAATTTCAATAAAGATATGTTTCCCCGTGTTACTCCTTACAGGTTAAAAATATACTTAGTGGCTGCATTTTCAAGATTATTCTTTTATCGATGAATTACTGAATTGGGAAGAAATCTCCATCACTTGCCATCAATATTTCGCTCTGTTTTTGTCGAACAATCACTCTATTTCCAGTATGAAAACTTTGTTTGTATTCACAAAGTGGTATGTTGTTTTATGCAACAGCATCAAGCGAAGAAGGCCAAGGAGGACTCCGAAGAGGAAGGATGCTGATGCTTTGGTTCCAGTTGAAGAACATCTTTGATATAATTTCCACTTATTAGATTCTTGGGTTGAGGAGAGTTCTTCCTCTGGAGTCATCATCCAAATCCACCACATGGACGACTGGGAGTTACTCTTCTCAGCTGTCCTTGGATGAGGGAGGACCTTCCACCAAAGGAGAATATTGACTACGGCTAGGGGTGGGCATTTCGATTTGGTAGTTGGGGTCTGATCCGATCCAATTCCATCTGGTTCAAGTTAATCAGGTTGGTATGTTTTTAAAATGTGTAAAATATGTGTAGAAGTTGCGGGTTTCAGGTACCTGATAAAAATTATCCAGTCGGGATTCGGGTAATACCCGAAACCCAATCAGATACCCAAAGTTTAATTTAAATGTAAATAATATTATACTCTATCCGTCCTAATTCAAAATATTCTTTTTACCATTTTGTCTGTTCTGTTTCAAATATCCATTTAATAGAAGTAATTATATACTAATACCAAAATACTTTCAACTTTTACTTAAAATACAAACATATTATTACTTGTATAATTGTTTATAATTCTAGAATAAATTTCATTTATACTCTTACTTGTACAATTGTTTATAAATTTATATTGTTATGACATATTTAATTTGTTTACTTAAGTTTTGAGCTGCGCATGATTAAAAATTAAATAAATGTTGAAAATTATTTAGCATGATTTATACTAAAAATAATAATAAAACACAGATAATTAAGGTACCTAAAACTCAATAATATTTCTTCAAATCTTAATTCAATGTATTTTTTTACTATTTTAGTCAGTTTATTAAAAAATATCTCTTTTATTTTTTTAGTAAAATTAATCATACACTAATATCACAATACTATTTAATTTTTATTTAAATTACAAACTTATATCATAAGAAGTACAAATTACTTTATAAAAAATATGATATCACAATTCACAACCCAATGGTAGTATTCACTTGGATTCTCTTCTCTTTAAAGTGCTCTGAAGGCCCTTGTCAGTCAGTCAGTCAGTCTTGTGAAGTAGCCAGCCATCTTCATTAGTTTCTCCACATTCATCTTCACTTCATTAGCTGCCAACCAATGCCAATGGCAACAATGCCTTATGTATAGTCAGTCAGTCACTCCCAACCAAATGAACTTCACAAGCATTAATTAAGGAGATAAGATGAGATTGAGATTGAGATTGAGATGCCTTAGCTTCCTCACCCACCCAAAAGAGGAGTTCATATGGTGGATTTGGATCATCACTCAGACATCCTACTCAGATCCACATTTCACCTACATCCATTCCTCATTTGGTTATTTGATTCAATTATATCATTCAGCTACATTCTTCAACTGGACTGGAACTCAACCATCTCCATCTGCATCCTTCCTCCTCAGGTTCCCCCTCAGCCTTCTTCGCTTGATGCTGCTGCACAAAACATATATACCACTTTCTCAATACAAACAAGGTTTGAATATTGGAAATAGAGTAAATTAATGTTCGACAAAAACAGGGCGAAATATTGATGAGAAGTCTGCAGATTTCAGTAATTCATCAGAAATACAGATGAAAGAAAATTCTTGAGAATAAGTGTATCTTCAACCAGTAATTTGGAGTAACAAGGGAAACATATATATGTTTGTCTCTATTTATTGTTAGATTCATTTTCACCTAAAGACCCATAGTATCCAACAACTATTTTTCAATCAAAACATAGCATACCAAATGAATTTGACATTGAAAACTTAGTTCTCATATAAAGAAATGCATATCCAACACCCCCATAGCATTGAAAGCACAAACAATTTTCGATTCTAGTATTGAGCGAGAGGTTACACCTAGAGGTTCTGTATTATGGGACAACCCTACTCCACTAGTACCAATGGACAGCATAAGGGAAGAAGCACTACATCACACACCCTAATTTTATTTGTTTCATGGTGAAGAAGAATAGAAGCTTGATGGAGATGGGGACATACCTTGCATAAGCAATGTTCTTTTCAATGACTTCTTTCCCTTCGCCATTAATGGTGAACCATTTCTCGTCTAAAGTAAGGGAATCCCCATTTCCAATATCTGTTGGGAGTAATAGTTGTCAAAAATAAGCTTTAGGTATATAAGTATTAAGTGATAAAAATTACAAAACATTGATTACACACTTACTTTGATGCAGCACTTCCGAATCCCCCAAACAGTTCAATTTCCAGTACACATGGCCTCCAGATCCAACCAGTATTGGCTCAGTTCTTACAGCATCTGAATTCTTAGTTTCTACAAAATTTTAGTGTATAATAAATGTTTACATAACATAAAGTTACAACGAACAAAAAGTAGCAATGTGATTAAATGGCAATGTGCAAACAAAAATAGTGTGAAGATACAAAGAAACTATAATATAATACCCTTTGGAAGCATGGCCTTCGACTCGAGGACCTCAGCCCGAGCCTGCTCCAACTCAGATTTGGTACCAGAAACAGTGGCTTTACGCTCAGCAATTGAAAGCAGGGCACCCCCCTTGGCAGATATTGCTTGGGCAATATCGTCTTTCATTTTCTGCTTCAGCTGCTTCTCCTGCATAAAAGTTCAAGTATCCGAGAATATAATAAAAATTCTGAGAAAGAAAAGTCCTGGGTTAGAAAATTATTTACCAATATCTATTACCTTCTCCATTGCAGCATTAATTTTTTCTTTAGCTTCCTTTACCTTGCTGGTAAGTTTTGCATTATTTTCTAAAATCCAACTCCTCACTTTTCTATCCAGTGAAATACAAAAAGTGTAGAAAGGTAAAGCTCAAAAACTGTCAGAATGTAAAATGAAATGAAAGGAAAACAATACTTACTCAGTTACGAGAGCTTCATCACAGAGAATGTTTAAAAGCCTAAGCTTTTCCGAAGCAGTGAAAGTGTCGTAATCATCTGTGTTCTCAAGAGAATCAATTCTCTGTGATTTGAGAACACTTTGTGATGCAGACAAGAATTCCTTGAGCGCATCAAACCAGGAGTTCTCCCCATCTGATGGGCTGATTTCTACAGATCTATGCAATGAAAAAAAAAAGAAGACACAGTTGTCAAGTCATTGAGGTAAATTAAATACAGGAAATTTTGATGTGTAGGGACAGCACATACTCTTTTCCCTGATCCTCCAGTAGATGAGAGAGGAGGTTAATATGAAAGTGGATATTTGGAGAAAATTCTCCTTTGCATCCAGTTGTCACATTATAGATGTCTCGAAGAATAAGTTCAGCTTGCTTCTTGTTAACATCAAAGACCTGTCCATCCCAAACCAAGAAAACAATGAGAAGAGAAAAGCAAATAGAAATATAGTAACAATAGTAAAACAATTAACAAATGTGAGTAACCATATATCTGTATCAACGTTAATAAATAGCTTTTGTCAATGTGAAACATAAATGTCGTGTGCTGTTGGAACTAAGTAAAATGAACATCACAAACACATAAATAGCACATAAGGATACTTGCCTCGCCAAAAGTAGAACAAAATGACATGAACTGAATTGCATTCCCGGCATCTTCTGTGGGTACATCAACTCCACCCACACTGCCCACCGCTTCTCCCTCTGGCAAGGGAAGATCACATGAACCATTCCCTTCATATTCATGTTTTTTACCAGAATCTAGCTTTCTTTTTTGATGAGTATTATTAGTCTCATTTGGCTGCTTCTCGCCAGAGGTACAACCCTCTCCGGACAAACGGGCCTACAAATTTCAAAAGGAGAGCATATGATCAATCTGGCAACCAAAAAATCAGATTCCTTCAGTAATGTAGCCATAGAAGAAGCTACCTTTTCAGCAGCTCTCTCTTGGTGTGTTGTTTTAAGTAGCATTTCAGCGACTGAAGAAAATCCCCTAGCTTTTGCTTTCTTGGCAGCAATACCAGTGGGATCTTCATTTCTTTTTTTCCTATCAATGTATAATTACACCATCAGAAAAATGCTGAAAATTAGTCATTCAAAAATAATTCAGAAGACTCACATGCAAAAGCTGCAGTTGCAAATGCCCCTGCATTTGGGGCAAGTCCACTGCTCCAAACCCGCTACTTCCTCCCCCCTCTCGCCATATCTAACTTGGAAAAAATCATTACAATAAAATTAGATTCTGAAAATATACAATAAAGTGTTGAATTTAAAATTATCATAACCAAGAGATGATAGAAATAACCTGTTCCACAGACACTTATGACAGTACATAATCGGGCATGGTTTGTTGATCCTCTGAAACTTGCATGCTACCACAAGATCCAGGGTCTTTTGCCGACACTTCCAAAGGTCAAGCATAAATATCAAGGAAATGAAAACAATTTAGAAAACTTTGTTTCATAGAAAATAAATCATAAAAGCTTCACCAAGCATATTAAAGCCAGAGCAAAAGAAGCAAGATATTAATAGCCGACTAAGTGTTGTGACTTGCCACACTGGATATAATTTATGTTTCCAAACTAGTTGTCTCAATCTATGAATGATCTTGGCATAATCTTTACCACTCCCAATATGTTTTTCTTGTATGCAAGCATTTAAAGCTATCGCAATGGTAAACTAATCAAGATTCGATATACTCGTAAATTCTGACATATTTCCCGCAACTTTTAATGCATAGCGACACCCGTCATGATATGCTTTCTGGGATGCCAGCATTTAAGGCTATTGCAACGGTAAATTAATGTAAACTAATCAACTTTTAATTTAATGCATAACGACAAATAAGAGCCAAACCGAGAACCTCCATGTTCACGGATTGCTCGAATCTTTCAAGTCACACTTACATCAACATGCTTCAAGATCAACAAAAGGTAATGCCATCACACAATATAATGTCTAACCAAATCTTGAAGCTGTTCAAATCAACAAATTCAGTTTACTTCACCATTGGATCTCTATATTTATTTTTATATTAATTACATTAAATTGAATGAATTCACAGAGTAACAAAATAAAAAATTACTTGCATTCACCTCAATTATGAAAAGCCACACAAAGAACACACAATCAATCATCGATAGTCCACAGTTCAAACAAAAAGATGACAAAATCAAACAAACAAATTCAGCCTCAACCAAACACCAACTGATGCTCCGGTCACAAGGAATGCATATGAATAACTAATACCTGATGGCAAGTCTTCCCATTGACGGGATCATAAATCCGACTCCCCACCTTTCTAACTCCAGGCGTGGTGTTCCGCTGCCCAGGAGATGGAACAACACTGCCCTCTCTGGCAGCCATTGAGATCGCCATTTTTTAGGACTTAGAGAGACTTGGAGGAGTCTGAGATGAGAGGATGGTCGATCCAAACGATGATGCCACTGTATAGTTATATATATAGGAAAATTAAAATAATGTTGTTACCTTGTATAAATTTTAGGTAATACAAAGAGATATTATTCCTATAATATTTTCTTAGGCGGTATAATATATTATTTCAAATTTCAAATTATTATTTTTGGTGCAATTAGTAAGTACAACTGTATGGATACCTTCTTTATTTTTTTTGGTGCAATTACTAAGTACGGCCGGATACTTTCTTTATTTTTTTGGTGCAATTAGTAAGTACGGCTGGATACTTTTTTTATTTTTTGGTGCAATTGGTAAGTACATAGGGTAAAAAAGGAAATATATTATTTCAATACATTTTTTTTTTTTATGTAATGGATAAATACAGCTGGATACACAATTTATTTTTTTGAATAAAACTTGATATAATTAGGATGGTAATAAAATTTTGGGAAAACTATTTGTTTTTTTTTATACCTTATTTATTTTAGTTCTGTAAGTGAAATTTATTTTTTTTTGGCACAATTGGTCCTCCGGCTCAAAGATGTGCATGTGGCACCCGTCTGACAAGACGGAGCACACGTGTCTATTCGGTAGGCGTAAAATAATTCACTTTCGAAACTATAATGATAAAGAAGGTCAATTGCGAAACTAAAAAAATTCCATGTCCGTCACCCGGAGCTTTGTGCCAAAAAATTCACATATGAGAGATTTCTATATAACTCCGGTTACGAGAATAAAATGATAAAAGACTAAATAAAAAATATTTTCCCTTAAATATATTATTATATAATACAAACATATATTACTCTTATAATATTTTGTAGGCAGTTCAATGTATTATTTCAAAATTTAAAATTATTATTTTTGTGTAATTGCTAAATACAATTTGAAATGTGTTTTATTTTACTGTATTAAGTAAGAACATAAATATATTATTTTTGGTATATTGGTCAATGGTAAGTAAAACTTGATACACCATTTGGGTAAAAATGAACATATATGATTTCAAATACAAACTTATTATTATTATTTTTTATTATTATTTATTTTTGTGTAATTGATCAATACATCTGGATACATATTTTATTTTTCAGTGTTTTGCATAAAAATAAAAATAAGTAGGATACTAATAATTAATTATTATGTATAAATATAATGTAATCAAACATATATTATTAATGTAATATTTTGTAGGTGAATTAATATATTATTTTAAAATAGGATAGTAACAAAATTTATTATTATGTATAAATATTATGTCATACAAAAAATGTATTAATTCTTATAATATTTTGTAGGCTATTAATATACCATTTAAAATTTTAAAATTGTTACTTTGGTGTAATTGATAAATATATAACTTAATAAAATTATATAAAATTTATTTTACATCTAAATGAAGCAAGCTTGGTCTCTAATTGAAGCTAACACTTGTATCTATATCTAAAACTAAACAAAAAGAAAAAAGAAAGTTTCAAGAAGAGCAAAAAAATTCTTCTAACACACTATAAAATTCTTCAGTAATTTTTAAAAATTAGAAAAAATCGATTTTACATTCAAATAGAGCAAACTTCATCATTACTCATTGACGATAATATTCCACTCTCCGGGCGTCACTAGAGCTTATCCTCCGTGAGGCTATCTCCGAGCCAAAGCAACAATAGACTCCAAGAAATTGCCTAAACGGCTGAGGTTCACCATCAAGACCCCAAACCAACTTTTGAGTCTCAACAGTGAACTCAATCATCCTCCCAATCATTCATCAAGTCCAGACTACTAGATCAGCAGACACCATCAAGGGGATCCATATGAAGATAACTGATCGAATTTGCCAAGGGCGACAAATACAAACAGCCTGCAGAGCAACCAACAGAGCAAACAGTCGATGAGACAACCATGGTGGAGGACATCATAATCAATTTACCAATTTTGCAAGTGTCTCCATGAGCAACTTTCCCAATTCGAGGCGACCCAATACCTTATAGTTGGACATTCCACTCCTTCGGAACAGACTCCGGTCCGAGCTCTAGAGATGTGTTATTTGAAGAGCACCTCAATCATATCATTGAACTTCCATTGCATCCGCATCAGCATCTGCTTCAGATGGAAGTGGAACTCAGCTAGATTCTTCGACTGGAACAGAAGCATCAGCATCCTTCCTCTTCAGATTCCTCCTTGGCCTTCTTCGCTTCATGCTGCTGCAGAGAACATACTTCTTTGTGAATACAAACAAGATCTGATTACTGGAAATAGAGTAAATGTTCGACAAAAACAGGCTGAAATACTGATGAAGTGATGGAGATTTCTTTCCAATTCAGTAATTCATCAGAAATACTGATAAAAGCAATATATCTTTGTTGAAAAGCTGTGTTTGTCTCTATTTACTGTTACAATAAGTTTCACTTAAAAAGCCACAATATCCAACAACTATTTTTCAATCAAAACCTAACATCCAAAATCAATTCAACATTTAAAAATCACATTGAAAGCTTATTTCTCATATAAAGAAATGCATATCCAACACCCCCAAAGCATGCAAAACACAAACACACCCTAAATTCTTTTCATGGTGAAGAAGCATAGAAGCTCGATGGAGACGGGGACATACCTTGCATAAGCAGCATGCTTTTCAACGGCTTCTTTCCCTTCATCGTTAATGGTGAACCATTTCTCGTCCAAGGTAAGAGAATCCCCATTTCCAATATCTGTTGGGAGTAATAGTTGTGAAAAATAAGCTTTAGGTATAAGCATTAGGTGATAAAATTACAAAACATTGATTACACGACTTACTTTGATGCAGAACTTCCGAATCCTCCAAACAGTTCAATTTCCAGTACACATGGCCACCAGAGCCAACCAGTATTGGCTCAGTTCTTACAGCATCTGAATTTTTAGTTTCTACAAAATTTTAAGGTAAAATAAATGTTTACATAACATAAAGTTGCAACGAACAAAAAGTAGCAATGTGTGCAAACAAGAATAGTATGAAGATACAAAGGGACTATAGTATACTTACTCTTTGGAAGCATGGCCTTTGACTCGAGGACCTCAGCCCGAGCCAGCTCCATCTCAGATTTGGTAACAGAAACAACGGCTTCATGCTCCGAAATTGAAAGCGGGGAATCCTCTTTGTCAGAAATTGCTTGGGCAATATCATCTTTCATTTTCCGCTTCAACTGCTTCTCCTGCATAGAGTTCAAGTATCCGAGAATGAAAAATCTGAGAAACAGAAGTGCTGGTTTAGAAATTCATTTTACTAATATTTATTACCATATCCATTGCTGCATTAATTCTTCGTTTAGCTTCCTTGACCTTGCTGGCAAGTTTTGCATTATCTTCTTCCATCCAACTCCTCAATTTTCTATTGGGTGAAAATAAAAAAGAGTAGATTATAGACAGGTAGTTAAACACGTGATCACAATGTAAAATGAAATAAAAGGGAAACATTACTTACTCGGTTGCAAGGGCTTCATCACAGAGAATGTTTAAAAGCCTAAGCTTTTCCGAAGCAGTGAAAGTGTCGTAATCATCTGTGTTCTCAAGAGAATCAATTCTCTGTGATTTGAGAACACTTTGAGATGCAGACAAGAATTCCTTGAGCGCATCAAACCAGGAGTTCTCCCCATCTGATGGGCTGATTTCTACAGATCTATGCAATGAAAAAAAATAAATAGAAGACACAGTTGTCAAGTCATTGAGGGAAATTAAATACAGGAAAATATGATGTGGAGTGGCAGCACATACTCTTCCCCCTGATGCTCCAGTAAATGAGAGAGGAGGTTAATATGAAACAGGACGTTTGGAGAAGTATTTCCTTCACGTCCAGTTATCACATTATAGATATCTTGAAGAATATGTTTTGCTTGCTCCTCTTTAATATCCAAGACCTGTCCATCCGAAACCGAAAAAACAATGAGAAAAGAATATCAAATACAAATATAGTATCAATAGGCAAACATGATTAAGTTCCTCTTAACATATGTGATTAACCATCACTGTCATATTAGCTCAACAAAGTGAAAGATACATGTTGGTTATCATGTAAATATCATCAATGTTATTGATATGTTTTAGGTGTCCAAAGGAAAAGGCAATAATATACACATGGTGTTGGAACTAAGTAAAATGAACACCATTAACACATCAATAGCACATAAGGATACTTGCCTCGCCATATGTAGCACAAAATTGCATGAACTGAATGGCATTCCCGGCATCTTCTGTGGGTAAGTCAACTCCACCCACACTGCTCACCACTTCTCCCTCTGGCACAGAAAGAGCACATGAACCATTCCCTTCAGGTTCATGTTTTGTACCACAATCTGGCTTTCTTTTCTGACGAGTATTAGGGTCACTTGACTTCTTCTCGCCAGAGGTAGAACCCTCTCCGGACAAATGGGCCTACAAAGTTCAAAAGGAGAGCATATGATCAATCTGGCAACCAAAACATCAGACTCCTTCAGTAACGTAACCATCAAAGAAGGTACCTTTTCAGCAGCTCTCTCTTGGGGCGTCGTTTTAAGAAGCATTTCAGCTACTGAGGAAAATCCCTTAGCTTTTGCTTTCTTTGCGGCAATACCAGTGGGATCTTCATTTCTTTTTCTCCTATCAATATATAATTACGCCATTAGGAAAATGCTGCAAAGTAGTCATTAAAAAATAATTCAGAAGACTCACATGCAAAAGCTGCAGTTGCAAATGGCCCTGCATTTGGGGCAAGTCCACTGCTCCAAACCCGCTACTTCCTCAGCCCTCTCGCCGTATCTAACTTGGAAAAAATCATCACAACAAAATTAGATTCTGAAAATATACAATAAAGTTTTGAATTTAAAATTATCATAATGAAGAGATGATAGAAATAACCTGTTCCAGAGACACTTGTGACAGTACATAATGGGGCATCGTTTGCTGATCCTCTGAAACTTGCATGCTACCACAAGATCTAGGGTCTTTTGCCGACACTTCCAAAGGTCAAGTATAAATATCAAGGAAATGAAAACAATTTAGAAAACTTGTTTCACAAAAAATATATAAGCCATAAAAGCTTCACCAAGCATATTAAAGCCACAGGAAAAGAAGCAAGAGATTAATAACCGACAAAATGTCATGACTTGCCCACTAGATAATTTATGTTTCCACACTAGTAAACTCAATCTATGAACTACGCATAATCTTCACCACTCACACTATGATTTGTTGTATGCCGCACCAGCATTTAAAGCTATTGCAACAGTAAACTAATCAAGATTCGGTATATAATCATAAATTCTGACTTATTTCCGAAAATTTTAATGCGTAACGACACCAGTCAATCAGTCATGATATATTTTCTAGTATGCCAGCATTTATTAAGGCTAATGCAACGGTAAACTAATCAAGATTCAGTAAATATACTCCTAGATTCGGTAAACTAATCAACTTTTTAATTTAATGCATAACGACAAAAGAGCCAAACCGATAACATCCATGTTCACCAATTGCCCGAATCTTTCATTTCACACTTACAACATGCTTCAAGATCAACAAAAGATAATGCAAAACTTGAAACTGTCCAAATCAACAAATTCATGTTACTTCGCCCTTGGATCTCTATATTTAATTTCACATTAATAGCATTAAGATCCAAAGTAAATGTACAAAATGTTATTCACCTCCAAGCTCCATGCAACACATCAATCTCACAAACAATCAAGGTTACTTGCATCATTGCATGCACCTCAATTACCACACAAATTAGAACACATCCACAATCCACATATCAAACAAACAAATTCAGCCCCAACTTTACCCTAAGCCCTCAGTACTCCAACTAAACACCACTGAGTGCAAATGAATGAATAATACCTGATGGCAAGTCTTCCCATTGACGGAATCATAAATCCGACTCCCCACCTTCCTAACTCTGGGCGCGGTGTTCCGCTGCCTAGGCGGTGGAACAACACTGCCCTCACCCGCCGCCATTGAGGTAGCCATTTTTCTCGGACTGAGAGAGACTTAGAGGAGTCTTGAGATGAGAGGGTGATGGTTGTATCAAAACAATGATGCAGCTGGTTTGTATAAGTTCTCTCTCTCTATATATATATATATATAGAAAAATAAAAATAATGTTGTTACCGATTAACATGTATAAATTTTAAGTAATACAAACAGATATTGTTCATAATATTCTTTTACGCGAATTAATGCATTATTTAAAATTTTAAAATTGTTATCTTGTTGTAATAGGTAAATACAATGTTTTAGTTTCGTGTGTATTGAGTCAAAATAGAGATATATTATTTAAAATTTTTAATTATTATTTTGGTATAATTGGTAAGTACAGTGGCCTAATATTATTTTAGGCAATGTAATATATTATTTTAAAATTTAAAATTTTTATCTTGGTGTAATAGGTAAATGCAATGTTTTATTTTTCTGTATATTGAGTAAAAATAGAAATATATTATTTAAAATTTGTAATTATTATTTTGGTATAATTGGTAAGTACAATTGTGTAATATTCTTTTATGTGGTTTAATAAATTATTTCAAATTTGAAAATTATTATTTTGGTATAATAGGTAAATACAATATTTTTTTGTTTCTGTGTACCTGAGTAGAAATAGAAATATATTATTTAAAATTTCTAATTATTATTTTGGTGTAATGGTTAAGTACAATTGTGTAATATTATTTTAAGTGGTTTAATACATTATTTCAAATTTTAAAATTTTTATTTTGATGTAATAGGTAAATACAATGTTTTATTTTTCGTATATTGAGTAAAAATAGAAATATATTATTTCATATTATTATTTTGGTGTAATTGGTAAGTACAGTTGTGTAATATTCTTTTACGCGGTTTAATACATTATTTTAAATTTTAAAATTATTATTTTGGTGTAATAGGTAAATGCAACGTTTTATTTATTATATTATACAACACGAATTTTGATGAGCTTACATACAAGATTTAACATTTTCTAAGTAGTATGACGATATTTTAAATTCCATTAAACAATTTATTATTTGATACTATTTTTTAGCGTCTAATATAATACATATTAATAGATGAAGAAAAAATATTAGAAAAATATTACAGCATCATCACACAAACTTAACATTTGGTTAAAGAAAAAAAGGGTTATTCAAAAAGATACAAATTATTGTGCAACATTGAGCTTGAATTGATATTTTCAATCCTTAACCAACTTCTTCTCACTTTTTTGGGAAAAATTATTTTGAATCTCAAGTTGAATCATATACTACATGCAACAAAGAATATATTATTACTTAATTTCTACTATGGGCGTGTTTGTTTGGGGGTTTGGATTTTGAGTTAGAATAGTTGTATGATATCATATAAAGAGACATTGATGTGATATTTTGAATGTAAAAATAATTTTTAGTATAATATAAAAATGAAAAATAGGTGTTTGATTTGATATTTTTGGAATAAAAATAATAAATTTGGAGAAAAATCCCCAAACAAACACACCCTATAAGCATTCTGAATATATAGTGATAGTGATACACCCCAAACAAACACACCCTATAAACAAAATTTGGATAGTGATACACCCCAACCCCATTATTTTTATTTTTTTATATGTAAATTTTTTAATTTTTTTTGAATATATAATGAATTGCCCCTCAACCCCCCCCCCCCCCCCCACCCCCCCATTTTATTTTATTCATATTCTAAAAATTGTTTCTCACTATTTAAATATTGTTTTGCATATATGTTATATATAATATATTGATTTATAATTATAAACATATTATATATAAAAATAAATAATAAATCCTATAAAATTCATGCCACTGTTTTCATAATTTTCTCATTCTCTTTTATTTTATTTTATAGAAGAAAGATTTTGTGAAAATTAAAAATAAATTTATCATGAAAAGATATCGAAACATGAGATATCAAAGATATACATTACCAGCTCTTAATATTATTGGTTTATAATGTTGAATTATTTTAAGATAAAAATACTTTATTATTTATTTTTTAAAATGATTTATTAATAGAATATTAAAATTTTTTACGGACATTTTGCCCCCCCCCCCTCCCCCCTCGGATGTTGGTGTAATATATTTTCATATTCCTCCACAAAAAATATATCTATTTACCCATTACACAACATAATAATTTTAAATTTGAAATAGTATAATTTTATTTTTACTATGTACAAAAAAAAACCAATAATAAAGGGCATGTCCAATTATATTTACCAATAACACCAAAATAACAACTAAAAAATTTAAAATAATATATTAAACCGTGTAGAAAAATATTATAAGAATAATATTTATTTGTATAATTATATAAAATTTATACATAATGATAAATGCTATTATTATCCTAATTATTTCTATTCTTACCCGGCACACAGAGGAATAAAATTCATATTTGTTGTATTTATCAATCATACCAAAAATAAATAAATAAATAAATAAATTGTATTTAACATAACATATTTCATTTTCTTTACCTCACACAGAAAAAATGTATCCACCTAGCATTTTACCAATTTTACCAAAATAATAATTTTAGATTTAAAATAATATACTTCTATTTTTACTCAATACACGGAAAAATATACGTTTGTCCAATTATATTTACCAATTACACTCAAACAAAAATTTTAAAATAGAAAATATTATAAAAAATAATATTCCCTTCGTCCCACATAAGAAGCAATATTTTGATTCCGACATGAAAATTTAGATGGATAGAATAAAGTAGAAATTAAGTAATATGATGAGAAAAAAATGTATATTTATATTTTTATTTGAGTAGTATGATAGGATAAAGTATATTAATATTTTAGAAATATTGCATAGTATATCTGACAAACTAAAATAAAAAAAAATATATTATATGTGGTACCAAATGAGTATTTGTTTGTATTATATAAAATGTATACACAGTAATAACTTTATTACTATTATAATTATATCTATATTTAGCCAGCACACACTGTTTTATTTACCGATCACAAAAAAAAAAAAAGTTTAAATTATATTTAAAATAATTTTTTTTTTACACAACAAAAAGGAAAAAATCACCATATATCCATATGTATTTAACAATTACATTAAAATAATAATTTTAAATTTAATATATAATAATATATTTCTATTTTTACTCTATACATAGAAAAACAAAGCACTTTTCAATTGAATTTACCAATTATACTAAAATAATAATTTTAAAGTTTGAAATAATATCTCAAAACAAACTACAAAATATTACAAGAATAATATAGATTTATATATAATAATAAACTTTATAACTATCCTACTCATTTCTATTTTTAAGTAGCACACAGAACAATAAAATATGTATCAATTGCATTATCAATTACACCAAAAAAATAAATTAAAATTGTATTTGAAATAATATATTTTCATTTTTACCCAACTCATGTATTCAGTTGTAATTATCAATTATAATAAAATAATAATTTTAAATTTAAAATAATATATTTCTATTTTGACTCAATATACAAAAAAAAAAAAAACACATTTCAATTGTATTTGTAAATAACACCAAAAAAAAAAATTTAAAATTTAAAATAATATATTAAACAACCTACAAAATATTAGAAGAATAATACTCCGTATTACATAATATTTATACATAATAATAAATTTTTATTACAATCCTATTTATTTATATTTTCACCCAATACACAAAAAAATAAAATCTGTATCCTATTGTATTCACCGGTCATACAAAAAACAAAATTTAAAGTGTATTTGAAATAATATATTTTCATTTTTACCCAAATTATGTACCCGATTGTACTTAAAAATTATACCAAAATAATAATTTGAAATTTGAAATAATATATTTATACATTCACTCAATACACAAAAAAAGTAAAAATAAATAAATAAAACACATCCAACTATATTTACTCATTATACTAAAATAATAATTATAAAAGAAATATTATGTATTACAAATAATTATACATAATAATAAATTTATTACTATCCTAATTATTTCAATTATGTATCCAACTGTACTTACCAATTATATCAAAATAATAATTTAAAATTTAAAATAATATATTTCTATTTTTACTCTATGCAGGAAAAAATAAAACATTGTATTTACTTATTACACAAAAATAATAATTTTAAATTTTGAAATAATGTATTAAAACTTACACCAAAATAATAAGTTGAAATTTGAAATAATATATTTATATTTTTACTCTATACATGGAAAAATAAAACATTTATTACATCAAAATAACAATTTTAAAATTTGAAATAATACATTACACTGCCTAAAACAATATTAGGCAACTGCACTTATCAATTACACAAAAATAATAATTTAAAATTTTAAAAATATATCTCTATTTTTACTCAATACACTGGAAACTAAAACATTGTATTTACCAATTACAATAAGATAACAATTTTAACAAGATAACAATTATAAAATTTGAAATACTGTATTAAATGGCCTGAAGAATATTAGGCAACTGTACTTACCAATTAAACCAAAATAATAATTAAAAATTTTAAATAATATATTTTTATTTTTACTCCATACACAGAAAAAAATAAAACATTGTAGTTACCTTTTCCACCAAAATAATAATTTTAAAATTTGAAATAATGTATTACACCTAAAAGATATTACAAGACTGTAGTTACCAATCACACCTAAATAACAATTTTAAAATTTGAAATAATGTATTACACGGAGTAAAAACAAGACTGTAGTTAACAATTACACCAAAATAATAATTCAAACATTAAAATAATATATTTCTATTTTACTCAATACACAAAAAAAAAAAAAAATATTGTATTTACCTATTACACTAAAATAACAATTTTAAAATCTGAATTAATATATTAAACTGCATAAAAGAATATTACTAATAGTATCTGTTTGTAAATTTATACATGGTAACAACATTATTTTTATCTTCCTTTATATAAGGAACTTATACAGACCAGCTACATCATCGTTTTCATCAATCATCATCTTCTCATCTCATACTCCTCCGAGTCTCCCTCAATCCGAAAAAATGGCGACCTCAATGGCGGCCGGAGAGGGCAGTGTTGTTCCACAGCCTAGGCAGCGGAACACCACGCCCGGAGTTAAGAAGGTGGGGAGTCGGATTTATGATTCCGTCAATGGGAAGACTTGCCATCAGGTATTATTCATTCATTTGCCCTCAGTGGTGTTTAGCTGGAGTGAGGGTTTAGGATAAAGTGGGGCTGAATTTGTTTGTTTGATCTGTAGACTGTCTATGTGTTCTAATTTGTGTGGTATAGAGATCCAATGGTGAAGTAACCTGAATATGTTGGTTTGGACAGTTTCAAGTTTTGCATTATCTTTTGTTGATCTTGAGCATGTTGTAAGTGTGACTTGAAATATCCGGGCAATAGGTGAACATGGAGGCTATCGGTTCGGCTCTTATTTGTAGTTATGCATTAAATTAAATGTTGATTACTGATTAGTTTACTGAATCTAGGAGTATTTTTAACTAATCTTGATTAGTTTTACGTTGCGTTAGCCATAATAAATGCTGGCATACAAGAAAGCATATTGTGAGTGGCGAAGATTATGCGCAGTTCATTCATAGATTGAGACAGCTAGTGCGGAAACATAAATTATATCTAGTGTGGCAAGTCACGACATTAGTAGTTATTAATTGCTTGCTTGCTTCTTTCGCTGTGGTTTTAATATTCTTCGTGAATCTTTTATGGCTTATTTTCTGTGAAACAAAGTTTTCTAACTTGTTTTCATTTCCTTGATATTAATGCTTGACTTTTCGAAGTGTCGGCAAAAGACCCTGGATCTTGTGGTAGCATGCAAGTTTCAGAGGATGAACAAACCATGCCCGATTATGTACTGTCACAAGTGTCTCTGGAACAGGTTATTTTATCATCTCTTCATTATGATAATTTTCAATTCAACACCTTATTGTATATTTTCCGAATCTTATTTTATTGTGATGATTTTTTCCAAGTTAGATACGGCGAGAGGGCTGAGGAAGTAGCGGGTTTGGGGCAGTGGACTTGCCCCAAATGCAGGGGCATTTGCAACTGCAGCGTCTGCATGTGAGTCTTCTGAATTATTTTTGAATGATAATTGCAGCATTTTCCTGATGCGTAATTATACATTTATAGGAAAAAAAGGAATGAAGATCCCACTGGTATTGCCACAAAGAAAGCAAAAGCTAGGGGATTTTCCTCAGTCGCCGAAATGCTATATAAAACGACGCCCCAAGAGAGAGCTGCTGAAAAGGTAGCTTCTTTGAATTACTAGCATGATTTTCCTATTATCCACATGGCATATTCCTTCAAAAACGTGTGTCCGATTGATCCTATGCTCTCCTTTTGCATTGACAGGCCCACTTGTCCAGAGAGCCAGAAAAGGGTTCTACCTCTGGTGAAAAGAAGCCAAATGAGCTTAAAGCTCATCAAAAAAGAAAACAAGATTGTTCTACAAAACATGAGCCTGAAGGGAATGGTTCATGTGACAGCTCAAACGCTGATGAGCAGAAACCAAGGGAGAGACCAGTGAATGAGGATATTCTTGCTGGCATTCCCTTGCCAGAGGGAGAAAGGGTGAGACATGTGGGCGGAGTTGATTTACCGGCAGAAGATGTCGGTAATGCCTTACAGTTTATGGAATTTTGTGCTACTTTTGGGGAGGCAAGTATCTTTATGTTGCTATTTATGTGTTAATGGTTTGTAAAACCTTATAAAATTTCCTCTCTTGGGTGTTTTTCTCAGAGTCTTTTTTGGCTTTGGATGAACAGGTCTTTGATACTAAAAAGGAGCAAGCAAAACTTATACTTCAAGACATTTATAATGTGAGAACTGGATGCAAAGGAGAAGTTTCTATGAATGTCAAATTTCATATTAACCTCCTCTCTCATTTACTGGAGCATCAGGGGGAAGAGTATGTGCTGCCACTCCACATCATATTTTCCTGTATTTGATTTCCCTCAATGACTTGACAATTGGTTGCTTTTCTATTCTTGCATAGATCTGTGGAACTCAGCACATCAGATATGGAGAAATCATGGTTTGATGTGCTCAAGAAATGCTTGTCTCCGTCCCAAAGTGTTCTTAAAGCACAGGGAGTTGATTCTCTGGAGAGCACAGATAATTATGACACTTTCACTGCTTCGCAAAAGCTTAGGCTTTTAAACATTCTCTGCGATGAAGCCCTTGCAACTGAGTAAGTATAGTTTCCCTTTTATTTCATTCTACATTGTGATAGATCTTTAAGTTCACCTGTCTACAACCTACATTTTGTTTTTCTCACTGGATAGAAAAATGAGGAGCTGGATGGAAGAAGATAATGCAAAACTTGGCAGCAAGGTCAAGGAAGCTAGACAAAAAATTAATGCGGCAATGGATAAGGTAATAAATATTGGTAAATAATTTTCTAAACGAGCACTTCCGTTTCTCAGATTTTTCATCTCGGACACTTGAACTCTATGCAGGAGAAGCAGCTGAAGCGGAAAATGAAAGATGATATTGCCCAAGCAATTTCTGACAAAGAGGGTGCCCCTCTTTCAATTTCGGAGCATGAAGCCATTGTTTCTGTTACCAAATGTGAGATGGAGCAGGCTCGGGCTGAGGTCCTCGAGTCAAAGGCCATGCTTCCAAAAAGTAAGTATATTATAGCCCCTATGTATCTTCATACTATTTTTGTTTGCATATTGCTGTTTAATCACATATATTTCTGAAATTGATATTGTGCTAACATCGTGTAATTTTGTAGAAGCGAAGATTTCCGATGCTGTAAGAACAGAGCCAATACTGGTTGGCACCGGTGGCCATGTGTACTGGAAACTGAACTTTTTGCGGGATTCGGAAGTTCTGCATCAAAGTAAGTCGTGTAATGTTTTGTAATTCTTATCACCTAATGCTTATACCTAAAGCTTATTTTTGACAACTATTACTCCCAACAGATATTGGACATGGGGATTCCCTTACCTTGGACGAGAAATGGTTCACCATTAATGATGAAGGGAAAGAAGTCGTTGAAAAGCACATTGCTTATGCAAGGTATGTCCCCATCTCCATCAAGCTTCTATTCTTCTTCACCATTGAAAAAAATAAATTAGGGTGTGTTTGTGCTTTGAATGCTTTGGGGGTGTTGGATATGCATTTCCTTATATGAGAAATAAGTTTTCAATGTGATTTTAAGATGTTAAACTGATTTTGAATGGTATGTTTTGATTGAAAAATAGTTGTTGGATATTGTTGCTTTTTAGGTGAAAATGGAAAGAAATGTCCATCATTTCCCATAAATATTTCGCCCTGTTTTTGTCGAGCACTTACTCTATTTAATTCCAATAATCAAACTTTGTTTGTATTCACAAAGATGTATGTTTTGTGCAGCAGCATCAAGCGAAAAAGGCCAAGGAGGAATCTGAAGAGGAATGATGCTAATAGTTCAGTTCCAGTCGAAGCATCTAACTCAGCTCCATCTGAAGCAGATGCAGATGCAGATGCAATGGAAGTCCAATGATATAATTGAGGTGGTGTTCAAATAACCAGATCGTTGGGAAGCTCGGACTGCCATCTGTTCTGAAGGAATGGATATATGCATGTGAAATTTCCAAGTCACGAGGGTGGGTAGGGTGTCAATAACGCCTTCAATATAATTTCGATGGGGTACTTGACTTCCGCTCATTAGATTCTTCGGTTGAGGAGAGTTCTCCTTCGTCGTCATCCATCATCATCCAAATCCACCACATGGACTCGGAGTTCCTCTTCTGGCTGGCAGGGTGAAGTAGGCATTCCATCACCTTAATGCTTGTGATCGTGCTGGAGATTAATTGGCACGTAGTCGGGTGGCGAAGTGTAGACGAATAGGATAACCTTCCTCGCGGCGAGGTATCTCTTTGTGAAGCTCCTTTGGACTATATATATATAGCCCCAACGAAGATTTCTTATCTACTCGCTCTTGGAGTCACCTGCATAATTGGCAAAGTGGTTATGATGCCCTCGGCCCTCTAGCTGGCTCATAGACTGTTTGGTCTTCTGGTCGCTCTGCCTGTTTGCTACGTCGCCCTTGCCAAATGCAGTTTTGTGTGTACTTGTAAAAACAAATGTAGTCGAAATAATATTCCGAACATGGTTTAACATTTTTTTTGTGTGTACGATAAAATTTTATAACGCATATTATTGATTATTTTAAATATAATATAAAACTTTTGTGTGTAGGATAAAATTTTAAAAAAACATATTATTGATTATTTTAAATATAATATAAATTTTGTTACTATCCTAAGTATTTCAATTTTTATCTTACACATAGAAAAGTAAAATATGTATCCAATATTATTTACCAATTAAATCAGAAAAATAAATTTAAAATTGTTTTTGAAATAATATATTTCTATTTTAACCCAATTTATGTATCCAGTTGTATTTACCAATTATATCAAAATAATAATTTAAAATTTACCAATTATACAAAACAATAAATTTTATTACTATCCTAATTATTTCAAATTTTATCTTAGAAATAGAAAAGTAAAATGTGTATCCAACTGTATTTACCAATTAAATAAAAAATTTAAATTATATTTGAAATAATATATTTCCATTTTTACCCAACTCATGTATCCCATAGTTCTATTTTCACTCATACACAAAATAATACTCCCCCTGTCCATTTTTTAATGTCATACTTACTTGATATTTACACGTATTTTTAAATAATTAGAGTTTTTGTTATAAAATGAAAAATTTGTCTTTAATTTTATATATATAAAAAAGAGTAAATAAATTAAGGGCAAAAGAGTAAATTTTGTGTATAAAAATAGAAAAAAAAGATAATAATAGTTGGACATTCCAAATAAAAAAATAGAACGTAGTTTGTGGAAGAAGAGAGTAAAACAACTTTTCAAGTGTATTTATCAATTACACCAAAATAATGGTTTTAAATTTTGAAATAGTATATTAACCTGCCTACAAAACACTAGAAGAATAATATATGTTTGTATGTTAATTTGTTCAGCATTTTTAGATTAAATAATTTTTTTTTGTGTGGTACAAGAAATAGTGTCAAAAATATAAAATATATTATTTTAGGTTGAATATTTGATTTTATTTTTTTTGAATATTTGAATTTTTTTTTTTACTTTTTTTACTTTTGTATAATATATCTCAAGTTTATTTACCAATTACACTAAAATAATAATTTTAAATTTGAAATAATATTAAACATCCTACAAAATATTACAAGAATTTGCTATAATAATTTCACTCAATACAAAATATTAAAAATTTTGGGAAAAAATAATGAAATTGTATTATTGATCATGGTGACTAAATACAAAACATGAGTCAAATCTAAGTAATCTATGCATAAAACCAAATATAAATATAAATCTAAAACTAAATATTTAAAATATTTCAACACACAAAATAATAAAATAAATTTTCAAGTTTATTTACCAATTACACGAAAATAATAATTTTAAAATTTGAAATAATATTAAACAGCCTACAAAATATTACAAGAATTATGTTTGTATTAAGTAATATTTATACATAGTAATAAATTTTATTATTATCCTAATTATTTCAATTTTTATTCTACACATAGAAAAGTAAAATATGTATCTAGTTGTATTTACCAATTACTTCAAAAAGTAAATTTAAATTGTATTTGAAATAATACATTTATATTTTTACCCAACTTATGTATCAGGTTGTAATTACCTACCAAATAATAATTTTATATTTAAAATAATATATTTCTATTTTCACTTAATGCACAAAAAATAAAAAATTTTCAATTGTATTTACCAATTACACCAAAATAATAATTTTAAATTTTGAAATAATATATTAAACAGCCTACAAAATATTATAAGAATTATGTTTGTGGTATTTTATATTACATAATATTTATACATCATAATAAAATTTATTACTATCTTCTAATTATTTCAATTTTTTACCCGACACATAGAAAAAGTAAAATGTGTATTTAGCCGCATTTACCAATTATATAAAAAAATAAATTTAAATTGTATTTGAAAAAATATATTTCCATTTTACCCAACTCATAGAAAATTAATAAATGTATCCGGCTATACTTAACAATTACACCAAAATAATAATTTGAAATTTGAAATAATATATTTCAATTTTTAATCAATACGGAGGAAAACCAATTAAACCAACATAGTAATTTCAGAATTTGAAATAATATATTAAAGTGTTTAAAGAATATCACAATAATATATGTTTGTATTACATAAATTTATACATGGTAACAATATTATTTTTATTTTCCTAAATAAATATATAGGAACTTAAACAAACCAGCACCATTAATTATATTTTCCTATATAAATATACAGACCTTATACGGACCAGCAGCATCATCGTTTTGATAGACTATCGTCTTCTCATCTCAAACTCCTCCAAGTCTTTCTTAATCGGAAAAAATGGCGACCTCAATGGCGGCGGGAGAGGGCAATGTTGTTCCACCACCTAGCCAGCGGAACACTGCGCCTGTGGTTAGGAAGGTGGGGAGTCGGATTTATGATCCCGTCAATGGGAAGACTTGCCATCAGGTATTAATTACTCATTTGCATTCGGTGAGGCTGGAACATCAGTTGGTGTTTGGTTGGGGCTGAATTTTTTTGTTTGATGCTGTCATTTTTTTTGAACTGTGAACTATCCATTATTGCTTGTGTCTTCTTTGTGTGGAGTTCCATAATTGAGGTGCATTGCATTCAAGTGATTTTTTATTTTTTTACTTTGTGAATTAAGCTTGATTGAAAGTGTTATGTTCTATACTCGTGAAGTTGATGCGGTGAATGGATTGGACGTGAATAACATTTTGTACTTGTTAATTTAGATCGTAATGCATTTAATTTGAAGTTAAATATAGAGATCCAATGATGAAGTAACCTGATTTTGTTGATTTGGACAGTTTCAAGATTTACATTACCTTTTTTGTTGATCTTGAAGCATGTTGTAAGTCTGACTTAAGATTCGGTCAATTAGCGAACGTGGAGATTATCGATTCGATTTGGCTCTTATTTGTCGTTATGCATTAAATTAAAAGTTGAGTAGTTTACTAAATCTAGGAGCACATTTACTGAATCTTGATTAGTTTACCATTGAGATAGCTTTAAATGCTCGCATACAAGAAAGAATATTGTGAGTAGTGAATATTATGCTCAGATTATTCATAGATTGAGACAACTAGTTTGGAAACATAAATTATCTAGTGTGGCAAGTCACGTCATTTAGTCGGTTATTAATTTCTTGCTTCTTTTCCTGTGGCTTTAATATGCTTGGTGAAGCTTTTACGACTTATCCTCCGTGAAACAAGTTTTCTAAATTGTTTTCATTTCCTCAATTTTTATGCTTGACTTTACGCAAGTGTCGGCAAAAGACCTTGGATCTTGCGGTAGCATGCAAGCTTCAGAGGATTAACAAACCATGCCCGATTATGTACTGTCACAAGTGTCTCTGGAACAGGTTATTTCTATCATCTCTTCATTACGATAATTTTCAATTCAACACCTTATTGTATATTTTCCGAATCTTATTTTATTGTGATGATTTTTTCCAAGTTAGATGCGGCGAGAGGGCTGAGGAAGTAGCGGGTTTGGGGCAGTGGACTTGCCCCAAATGCAGGGGCATTTGCAACTGCAGCGTCTGCATGTGAGTCTTCTGAATTATTTTTGAATGACTAATTTGCAGCATTTTCCTGATCGCGTAATTATGCATCGATAGGAAAAAAAGAAATGATGATCCCGCTGGTATTGCCGCAAAGAAAGCAAAAGCTAGGGGATTTTCTTCAGTCGCTGAAATGCTTCTTAAAACAACGGCGGAAGAGAGAGCTGCTGAAAAGGTAGATTCTTCTATCGATGTTTACTGAAGCAGTCTAATGTTTTGGTTGCCAGATTGATCATATGCTCTCCTTCTGAAATTTGTAGGCCTGTTTGGGTTCTACCTCTGCCGAGAAGAAGTCAAATGAGCCTAACACTCGTCAAAAGAGAAAGCTAGATTCTGGTAAAAAACATGAATCTGAAGGGAATGGTTCATGTGATCTTCCCTTGCCAGAGGGAGAAGCGGTGAGTAGTGTGGGTGGAGTTGATTTACCCACAGAAGATGCCGGGAATGCCTTTCAGTTCATGGAATTTTGTGCTACTTTTGGCAAGGCAAGTATCTTTATGTGTTTGTGATGTTCATTTTACTTAGTTCCGACAGCACACGACATTTATGTTTCACATTGTCAAAAGCTATTTATTAACGTTGATACAGATATATGGTTACTCACATTTGTTAATTGTTTTACTATTGTTACTATATTTCTATTTGCTTTTCTCTTCTCATTGCTTTCTTGGTTTGGGATGGACAGGTCTTTGATGTTAACAAGAAGCAAGCTGAACTTATTCTTCGAGACATCTATAATGTGACAACTGGATGCAAAGGAGAATTTTCTCCAAATATCCACTTTCATATTAACCTCCTCTCTCATCTACTGGAGGATCAGGGAAAAGAGTATGTGTTGCCACTCCACATCAAATTTTCCTGTATTTAATTTACCTCAATGACTTGACAACTGTGTCTTTTTTTTCATTGCATAGATCTGTAGAAATCAGCCCATCAGATGGGGAGAACTCCTGGTTTGATGCGCTCAAGGAATTCTTGTCTGCATCCCAAAGTGTTCTCAAATCACAGAGAATTGATTCTCTTGAGAACACAGATGATTATGATACTTTCACTGCTTCGGAAAAGCTTAAGCTTTTAAACATTCTCTGTGATGAAGCTCTCGTAACTGTGTAAGTATTGTTTTCCTTTCATTTCATTTTACAATCTGACAGTTTTTTAAGTTTACCTTTCTATACTTTTTTATTTCACCGGATAGAAAAGCGAGGAGCTGGATTTTAGGAAATAATGCAAAACTTGCCAGCAAGGTCGAGGAAGCTAAAGAAAAAGTTAATGCTGCAATGGAGAAGGTAATAGATAATTGCTAAATAATTTTCTAACCCAGGACTTCTGTTTCTCAGATTTTTTATTCTCGGATACTTGAACTCTATGCAGGAGAAGCAGTTGAAGCAGAAAATGAAAGATGATATTGCGCAAGCAATTATTGCCCAGGGGGGTGCCCTGCTTTCAATTTCAGAGCGTGAAGCCATTGTTTCTGGTACCAAATCTGAGTTGGAGCAGGCTCGGGCCGAGGTCCTCAAGTCAAAGGCCATGCTTCCAAAAAGTAAGTATATTATAGCCCCTATATATCTTCATACTATTTTTGTTTGCATATTGCCGTTTAATCACATATATTTCTGAAAATTGATTGTGTGCTAACACTTTTTGTAGAAGCGAAGATTCCCGATGCTGTAAGAACAGAGCCAATAATCGTTGGCATCGGTGGCCATGTGTACTGGAAATTGAACTGTTTGGGGGATTCGGAAGTGCTCCATCAAAGTAAGTCGTGGAATGTTTTGTAATTTAATCACCTAATGCTTATACCTAAAGCTTATTTTTCACAACTGTTACTCCCAACAGATAATGGAAATGGGGATTCCCTTTCCTTAGACGAGAAATGGTTCACCCTTAATGATGAAGGGAAAGAAGTTGAAAAGCATGCTGCTTATGCAAGGTATGTCCTCATCTACATCAGACTTAAGTCTATTCTTCACCATGAAAAAGAAAAAAAAAATTAGAGTGTGTTTGTGCTTTGAATGCTTTCGGGGTGTTGGATATACATTACTTTATATAAGAAATAAGATTTCAATGTGATTTTGAATGTTAGATTGATTTTAGATGTTATGTTTTGATTGAAAAATAAGTTTTGGATATTGTGGCTATTTAGGTGAAAATTATTTTAACAGTAAATAGAGAGACACAGCCATTCAATGCATATATGTTTCCGTGGTTACTCCTAATTATTGGTTCAAAATACACTTAGTGGGTGCATATTAAAGATTTTTCTCTTATCTGTATTTCAATTGAATTACTGAATTGGAAAGAAATCTCCATCACTTCCCATCAATATTTTGCCCTGTTTTTGTTGAATAATCACTCTATTTTCAGTAATCAAACTTTGTATTCACAAAGGGGTATGTTTTATGCAGCAGCGTCAAGCGTAGAAGGCCAAGGAGGACTCTGAAGAGGAAGGATGCTGATGCTTAATTCGGTTCCAGTCGAAGAAGCTAGCTGAGTTCCACTCGTTAGATTCTTCTGTTGAGGAGAGTTGTTCCTTGGAGTCATGATCCAAATCCACCACATGGACTACTGGGAGCTGCTGGTTGGGTGAGGCAAACATCTTAATGCTTGTGATCGTATGGGACTAAATGGGAAATTGGCTCCTAGTCTGGTGAGGAAGTGTATAGGCTATGCATCTATCTGGCAGTGAAGTATCGCTTTCTGAAGCTCGGCTGTTCTTGAGTAACAGCGAATATTGACTACTGCTCTTCAAGTCCTGTCTCACTTATGGAGTGCATGTCTTTTTCAGCTTTCTTTTTTCTGGATCTCAACAAGAATCCGAGCTTGTTGTTCCGCCAGTTCCTTCTCCAATTCTTCTCCCTCTTCTTCAAAGAAGTCGAATGTCCGGCTCCTTTGTTGGTTATGATGTCCTCCACCATGATTGTCTCATCGACTGTTTGCTCTGTTGGTTGCTCTGCAGGCTGTTTGTTTTCATCGCCCTTGGCAAATTCAATGGCCATCTTATGGATCCCCTTGATGATGTTTTCTGATCTAGTAGTTTGGACTTCATGAATGATTGGGAGGATGGTTTGTGTTCACTGATGAGACTCAATAATCAAGTTTCCTCCTAGTGTAAAATAATTTTCATATATGTTTTTAAAGTTATTATGGCTCTATTTTTTTGGCAGAAAATGTGTTTGATGAATTTTCTATTATCTGGACTTTTTTTATCTTTTTGTTTAATTTGAAGAGTTGAAATAGGTAGATATCATTTCAGATGTAGGTATATGTGTTTGTTTTGTGTTTTTAGTTTAAGATATATATTGTTTTTTATAAAAAAAATAATACTTCCTCCGTCATGCAAATGTGTGTTCATTTGATCGGGCACGAATTTTAATAAAAGTGAATAATAATTGTTATTTTTTCTTTTATAGTAAAAAAATGTAATAATTTTTTACTGAAAAAAATAAATAAGAATATTTTTCAGTGACAACAAAAAAGGAAAGTGAATATAGATTTGAATGAGGAAGAGAGTATTTCATATTGAATTTGAGTATATAGAATATATATATATTGTATTTTATACTAATATTAATTAAAAAATCATATTGGAATTTTTAACAATGATATATTACATCATTAAATTTTAAAATTTTATTTGTATTTATTTTTTTATTGAGCACACATAAAACTTTTCAATTATATGCGAAATACTGAATTAATCTACCTCTATTTTATTATATGAAATTGCATACAAGCATCTGAAAAATAAAATATTAAACTTCACCTATAATATCCAACAGACAATAATTAAACTCACATAAAATATCATCATAGTTTTTTTTTCACTTACAAATTATATTATATGAAACTGATTACAAGTATATGGGAAAATAAAATATTAAACTGCCAACATATTTATTATCCTAGTTATTTTTACAAATTACAATTTTACACTTACATATTGTATTATATAAAACGACAATAATATTAAATTACCTTACCCAAATATTATTATCCTAATTGTTTCATTTTTTATCCTGCACATTGAAAAATAAAGATAGTATAAACTAGCATTCTAGTTGTTTTTCACCAACTACATTTTTCCACTTACATGACGTATTATGTGTCCACTAGAAAATAAAATGTTAAATCACCGGCTCATATACTATTTATGTTTTTATTGGAAACTTAGAAAAAATAAAATGTGTATATACTATCATCCAACTCTTTTTATCAATTACACTTTTCTACTTACAAGTTGTATTATGTGAAATAACTTACAAACAAACTCAAACAATAAAATGTTAAGCCGTACGCCCACAAAATTTATTTAGCACACAAGAAAAATATAACATGTATAATCACAAGTGTTTTTGCCAACCACTTAAAATTTGTATTATATAAAACTTCTTACAACACATTGGAAAAACAAAATATTAAACCGATTATATCAAAATTATTTCTATTTTTACCCGACACACGAAAATATAGTACATATATTCAACTGCATTTACTAATTACACTAAAATAATAATTTTATATTTAAAATTATATATTTCTATTTTTACTCAATACACAAAAATAACAATTCTAAAATATAAAACAATACATTAAACTGAATAAAAATATTATAAGAATAATATTTGTTTGTATTATATAAAGTTTAAACATGGTTTATTACTATGACAATGATTTCTAATGTTATCCTTCACACACAAAAAAAAAATATATGAAAATAAATTTAAATTGTATTTAAAATAATGTATTTCTATTTTAACTCAACAAAATGAAAAAAAAAAAAAAAATCATATACACAGCTATTTAGTAATTACGCCAAAATAATACTGTAAATTTAATATATAGTAATATATTTCTATTTTTACTCTCTATCCATAAAAAAATGGAAGCACATTTTCGATTGTATCTACAGATTACATCAAAATAATAATTCTAAATTTTGAAATAATATATTAAACCACCTACAAAATATTACAAGAATAATACTATGTTTGTACTACTTAATAATAAACTTTATTACTATCCTATTTATTTATATTTTTACGCAACACACAAAAAAATAAGATGTATGTCCAGTAGTATTTACCAATCAAACCAAATAATAAATTTAAATTGTATTTGAAATAATTTTTTTTTTTTTATCCAACTCATACATCTGATTATACTTACCAATTACACCAAACTAATAATCTTAAATATAAAATAATATATTTATATTTCATTCAATACACAAAAAATAAAACACGGTGCCAACTGCATTTACCAATTAAACCAAAATAATAATTTTACATTTTGAAATAATACATTTAAACCGCCTAAAAAATATTACGAGAATAATATGTGTTTGTATTAAATAATATTTATACATAATAATAAATTTTATTTACTATTATACGTATTTCTATTTTTACGCGACAGGCGGAAAAATAAAATGTGTATCAAATTGTATTTATCAATTATACACACACAAAAAAAAAAAAAAAATTATTTAAAATATATATTTTTATTTTTACCCAATTCATGTATCTATTTATACTTACTATTTACCAATTACCGTGGGACAGGACAATATTGTTCCATCGCCTAGGAAGTACATCACTACGCTCGGCTTTAGGAATGTAGGGAGTCGTATTTATGATCCCATCAATGGGAAGACTTGCCACCAGATATATATTATTCATTTGTACTCAGTTGGTGTTTTGTTGGGGCTGAATTTTTTTGTTTGATGCTGTCATTTTTTGTTTGAACGGTTGACTATTGATGATTGCTTGTTTGTTCTTTGTGTGGCGTTCGGTAATTGAGATGCATACAAGTAATTTTATTATTGTTTTAACTCAGTGAACTAAGTTTGATTGATAGTCTTATGTGTTATTCTTATGAGATTGATGTGGTACATAGATTGGAGATGAATAATATTTTGTACATGTTAATATGAATCGTAATGTCATAGACTGTGAAGTAATTAATGTAAAATTAAATAGAGATCCAAATGGTGAAATAAGTTTTTTATTATTTTTACTTTGTGAATTAAGCTTGATTGATAGTATTTTGTGTTACTCTCGTGAGATTGTTGTGGTGCGTTGATTGAAGGTGAATAACATTTTGTACAAGTAATTTGGATCGTAATTCAGTGGATTGTGAAATATTTAATGTGAAATTAAATTTGAAATCCAAATTGTGAAGTAAATTTTTTATTGTTTTTAACATGTGAATTAAACTTGATGGATGGTGTTATGTGCTATTCGGGTGAGATGTTTAATTTGGATCGTAATGCAATAGACAGTGAAATAATTAATATGAAATTAAATAGAGATCCAAATTGTGAAGTAAATTTTTATTTATTTATTCTCTAAATTAACCTTGATTGGTAGTATTATGTATTATTCTTGTGAGATTAATGTGATGCATGGACTAGAGGTGAATAATAGTATTTAGTATATGTTTATTGTGAAGTAATTAATGTGAAATTAAATAAAAATTCAAATTGTGAAATAAATTTGTTATTCTTTTTACTTTGTGAATTAAACTTAATAAATAGTGTTATATGTTATTCTCGTGAGAATGATGTAGTATATGGATCAGAGGTGAATAACATTTTGTACATGTTAATTTGAATTTTAATGCAATAGATTGTGAAGTAATTAATGTGAAATTAAATATAGATCCAAATTTTGAAGTAAATTATTTAATGTTTTTACTCTATGAGTTAAGCTTGATTGATTGTGTTATGTGTTATTCTCGAGAGATTGACATGGTGAATTGATTGAAGGTGAATAACATTTTGTACATATTAATTTAGATCCTAATGCAATCGAGTGTGAAGTAATTAATGAGAAATTAAATAGAGATCCAAATGGTGAAGTAATTTTTTATTTTTTTTACTTTATAAAATGAGCTTGATTGTGTTATGTGTTATTATTGTTAGATTAATGTGGTGCAAGGAATGAAGGTGAATAATATTTTGTAAGTGTTAATTTGGATTGTAATGCAACATACTGTGAAGTAATTAATGTAAAATTAAATAGAAATTCAAATGGATAGGTATTTTTTTTTTTTTTTACTATATGAATTAAGTTTAATTGATAGTGTTATGCGCTATTATCATGAAATTGATGTGGTGCATGAATTGGAGGTGGATAATATTTTGTACATGATAATTTGGGTTGTAATGCAATAGATTGGAAACTAATTAATGTGAAGTCAAAATAAAGATCTAAATGGTGAAGTAATGTTATATTATTTTAACACTGTAAAATAACTTTGATTGATACTATTACGTAATATTCTCATGAGATTGATGTGGTACATGGATTGGGGATGAATAATCTTTTGTACATGTTAATTTGAATCGTAATGCAATAGATTGTAAAGTAATTAACGTGGAATTCAAATGGTGAAGAAATTTTTTATTGTTTTTACTCTATTGAATTGAGCTTGATTGATCATGTTATGTGTTATTCTCATGAAATTGACGTGATGAATGGATTGGAGATTAATAACATTTTGCAAATGTTAATTTGGATCATAATGCAATAGACTGTGAATTAGTTAATGTAAATGTAAATACAAATCCAAATGGTAAAGTAATTTTTAATTGTTTCTACTCTGTAAATTGAGCTTGATTGATAGCGATATGTGTTATTTTTGTGATATTGATGTAGTGCATAGATTGGAGATTGATAACATTTTGTACATATTAATTTGGATCGTAATGTAATAGACTGTGAAATAATTATTCTTAAATTAAAAACAGATCTAAATAGTGGAGTAAATTATTTATTGTTTTTACTATGTGAATTAAGCTTGATTGATTGTGTTATATGTTATTCTCGAAATATTGATGTGGTGCATGGATGAGATCTGAATAGCATTTTGTATATGTTAGTTTAGATTGTGATGCTATAGACTGTGAAGTAATTAAAGTGAAATCAAACAATGATCCAAATGGTAAAGTAATATATTTTTATTATTTGAACTCTTTGAATTAACCTTGATTGATAGTATTATGTGTTATTCTTGTGAGATTGATGTAGTGCATGGATTGAAGGTGACTAATATTTTGAGCATGCTAATTTGGGTCGTAATATCATAAACTTTGAAGTAATTGAGGTGAAATTAAAAAGAGATTCAAATGATGAAGTAATTTTATTTTTATTTTTTACTATGTGAATTAAGCTTGACTGATTGTATCGTGTGTTATTCTGGTGAGATTAATGTATTGCATGGATTGAAGATGGATAATATTTTATACATGTTAATTTGAATCGTAATGCAATAGACTGTAAACTAATTAACTGAAATTAAATAAAAATTCAAATAGTAAAATAATATTTTTATTATTTTTACTTTGTGGATTAATCTTAATTGATATAATTATGTACTATTCTAGTGAGATTGATATGGTGCATGGATTGGAGGTGAGTAACAATTTTTTATATTTTTAAATAATGATATATTACATTATTAGATTTTAAATTTTTATTTGTATTTATATTTTATTGAGCACCCATAAAATTTTTAAATTATATGTGAAATACTGAATTAATCCACGCATGTTCCATTACGTGAAATTGCTTACAAGCATCCTAAAAAATAAAATGTTAAACTTTACATATGATATTCAACAGACAATAATTAGACTTATATAAACTATCATCATAGTTTTTCCACTTACAAATTGTATTATATAAAACAGATTACAAGTACATTGGAAAATAAAATACTTCCTCCGTCCCATAAATATAGTCTTAATTGGGTTGGATACGGGATTTAAGGAATATTGATATTATATTGGTAGTTGGTAAAAAGTATTGATAAAAGACTTTTTTGTCCTTACGAATATATTAGTGTAAAAAGTAGTGGCAATTGTGTAATAAAAATGAAAAAGTAGGGGTAGTTTTACGGTGATATGGTTATTTATAAAAATAAGACTATTAATTTAGGACGGACAAAAATAGTAAACAAGACTATTGTATTGGGACGAAATATTAAACTGTCAACATAATTATTATTCTACTTGTTTTTACAAACTACAATTTTACACTTACAAATTGTATATATGAAACCGTTTGCCTGACACATTGTAAAATAATAATGTTAAACTATATCTTACCCAAATATTATTATCCCAATTGTTTCATTTTTTATTCTGCACACTGAAAAATAAAGCGAGTATAAACTAGCATTCTAGTTGTTTTTCACCGGCTACAATTTTTCATTCACATGTATTACGTGTCTACTAAAAAATAAAATATTAAATCACCATATCACAGACTATTTATCTTTTTATTGGAAACTAAAAAAATAAAATATGAATATACTATTATTCAACTTTTTTTTGTCAATAATACTTTTTTTTTTTACAAGTTGTATTATCTGAAATCACTTACAAACACACTCAAAAACAATAAAATGTTCACAAATTTTATTTAGCACACAAGAAAAAATATGACATGTATAATTACAATTATTTTTACCAACACATTGAAAAACAAAATATTAAACCGATTTTATCCAAATTATTTCTATTTTTACTCAACACAAAAAATATAATGCATATATTCAACTATATTTATCAATTATACCAAAATAACATGTGTGTCAAGTTGTATTTACCAATCACACTAAAAAAATAAATTTAAATTGTATTTGAAATAATATATTTTTATTTTTATTCAATTCATGTATCTTGTTGTACTTACTAATTACACCAAATTAATAATCGTAAACTTAAAATAATATAATTTTATTTTCATTCAATACACAAAAAATAAAAATAAAAATAAGTTGTCAATTATATTTACTAATTACACCAAAATAATAATTTAAATTTTAAAATAATATATTAAACCGCCAACAAAATATTACAAGAATAATAGCAAATGTTTGTAATAATATTTATACATAATAATGAATTTTATTACTATTCTAATTATTTCATTTTATACCCAGTACACATAAAAATAAAATATGTATCAATTGTACTTACCAATTACATCACAAAACAAATTTAAATTGTATTTGAAATAATATGGTTTCATTTTTACTCCAACTAATATTATTATTTTTTAATATATTATAAAATTTCAAAAATTTAATTGAATTTGGACTATAAAAAATACTTTAAACTCAGAATAAAAAGTCAAATAAATTTAAATTATTAATTTATTTAAAATATTATTAGTAATATAATTAAACGTAAATCAAATTCATGATTATAAAAAAAACAAATACTCCTGATTTTATGGGACAAAATAGTATTTTTATTTTTACTCAATACATTAAGGGTGTGTTTGTTGGAGGATTTGGATTTTGAATTGGAATTTAAACGGTAAAAATTTTTAATTTGAATAGTTGTATAATGTGATATAAATAGGTATTGATGTGATTTTTTGGATATAAAATTAATTTTTAGTATAATATAAAAAATAAAAAAATAAGTATTTGATTTAATATTTTTTTTAAGAAAAAATGAGATAAATAGTAAATTTAAATTCAATTCCCAAACAAACACACACTAAAAAATACCATCGTGTCAAACTGTATTTAACCATTACACAAAAATAATCATTTTTAAATTTAAATTTATATATTAAACCGCATAAATATTGTATATAAAGGGTATATTTCTCCAAGGGCTTTGGCCCAAACCTCCTGTTTTTGGGTTTTTTTTTTTTTTTAAATTAAAATTTTATTTAATATTTATTATAATTAAATGAAAATATATATATATATAATATATATGTTATTTTATAGAAAATAAAATTTTTTATAATATAAATAAATAAAAATTTAAATATATATTGGATATAGTATAAATTTATAATCAAATCATGCAATATAAATTTTATCAATTAAATTTAATACATATTTATATTATTTTATTCACTATTCATCGAATCAATACACATCAAAACTGCCCGAACCCAACCAAACCCAACAAAAGAAACAAAAAATCCAAATAATCCCAAATTCAAATAAAAACCAAATTAAACCCAACTTTCCCCTAACTCCCCTAAAAAAACATACCCAAAATTTATACTCTCAACGTTATTTTTATTTTCCTATACATATAAAAGTAGTATACAGAACAGCTGCATCATCGTTTTCATCGACCATTGTCTCATCTCATACCCTCAAGTCTCTCTCAGCAGGAGAAAATGGCGACTCCAATGGCGGGAAACGAACGAAGTTGCTAAATATTGAGGATCGCTGCTGTAGTTCCTCCCTATCCCATCCAGACAGTAATCCCGTTAAATGCTACTAATTTATTTGCCCTGACGAAGATTATTAAGTAATCTGAGACTGAGAATCAAGTAGCTGAAATTCGAATTAACTTTCCTGCACATATTTGTACGGTAGATTCCGATTTAAAATGGCGGTGGACTCTGGTGCGGTTGAGGAGCCTACTGTCTCAGGGAAGGAGACGGTAGCCAACCCCCGTCAGAATGGGGAAAGCGAGTCCCAAGGTCAGGACAGTGCTGTTCCACCTCCTAGGAAACGGAATACTGCTCTCGGGATTCGGAAGGTAGGGAGTCGGATTTATGATCCCGTCAATGGGAAGACTTGCCATCAGGTATTATTCATTTGCATTCTGGTGTTCTGTTGGAGCTAGGGTTTAGGGTAAATTGGGGCTGAATTGGGTTTGTTTGATGCTGTCATTTGTTTGTTTGATCTGTGGACTATCGATGATTTCCTGTGTGTTCTTTGTGTGGCAGATCGTTAATTGAGATGCATGCAAGTAATTTTTTACTTTTTTTACTTTGTGAATTAAATAAAGATCCAATAGTGAAGTAACCTAAATTTGCGGATTTGGATAGTTTCAAGATTTGGTTAGACAGTGTGTGATGGCATTACCTTTTGTTGATCTTGAAGAATGTGACTTGAAAGATTTGGGTAGTTAGCAAACAGAGAGGTTATCAGCTTGTCGTTATGCATTAAAAACGTTGCAGGAAATGAGTCAAATACTAGGAGTATATTTTACCAAATCTTGATTAGTTTACCGTTGCGATAGCATTAAATGATGGCATACAAGAAAGTATATTGTGAGTGGTGAAGATTATGTGTAGATCAATCATTGATTGAGAGATGAAATTGGTGATAATGATTTGGGGAATTTGATTGAAACAACTGTGAATTGGATTATTGTCCCAAGATGGAGTGGGTTGTGCATCTTTTATGTTACTGAGTTCATTTTCTAGAAATAAAATCCAACAGTTAATCTAGTATAAATTTTTGTGTGAAGCCATATGATTTTCGATAGAGTTTCCTTTTGTGTGGTAGCATTCTTATAGGTTACTGGTGGAATCTAATATGGTAAGTAGGCACCAAGTGTGGAAAGATAAATTACCTAGTGTGGCAAGCCACAACATTGGTTACTAATCTCTTGCTTATTTCTTATTTTATTTTTATGGCAATATCTTGCTTATGTTTTATGGCTTTAATATGCTTGGTGTAGCTTTTATGGCTTACTTTCTGTGAAACAAGTTTTCTAAATTGTTTTCATTTCCTCAATGTTATGCTTGATGCTTGGAAGTGTCGGCAAAAGACCCGGGATCTTGTGGCAGCATGCAAGTTTCAAAGGATTAACAAACCATGTCCTATTATGTATTGTCACAAGTGTCTCTGGAACAGGTTATTTCTATCATCTCTTCATTTTTTATAATTTTAAATTCAAGACTTTATTGTACACTTGCATAATCTAATTTTATTGTGATAATTTTTTCCAAGTTAGATATGGCGAGAGGGCTGAAGAAGTAGCAAGTTTAGAGCAGTGGACTTGTCCCAAATGCAGGGGCATTTGCAACTGTAGCTTTTGCATGTGAGTCTTCTGAATTATTTTTTAATGACTTTGCACCATTTTCCTGATAGCGCAATTATGCATTGATAGGAAAAAAAGAGGTGATGATCCCACTGGTATTGCTGCCAAGGAGGCAAAAGCTAGCGGATTTTCCTCTGTCGCTGAAATGCTACTTAAAACAACGGCCGAAGAGAGAGCTGCTAAAAAGGTAGCTTCTTCATATTACATGCATGATTTCCTATTTTTCACATGGCACTTGGCATAGTCCTTCAAAAACGTGTGCCTCCTCAAGTTGTTTGTTCATTTGACGGGTATTGAAGGAGTCTAAGGTTTATCTTTTAAATTTTAGAACACCCAGTGTTTTTGCTAGTATCATCTATGGCAAATTACTATTGTTTTGGTTGCCAGATTGACCCAATGCCCTCCTGTTGAAATTGACAGGCTGGTTCGTCCAGAGAGCCAGGAAAGGTTTCTACCTCCAGTGAAAAGAAGTCAAATAATCCTAATCCTCGTCACAAAAGAAAACTAGATTGTGGTACAAAATGTGAACCTGAACCTGAAGGGAATGGTGCATGTGACCTTCCCTTACCAGAGGGAGAAGCAGTGAGCAGTGTGGGTGGAGTTGATTTACCCACAGAAGATGCCGGGAATGCCATTCAGTTCATGGAATTTTGTGCTACTTTTGGTGAGGTGAGTATGTTTATGTGTTAATGATGTTCATTTTACTTAGTTCCGACACGATGTGTATATTATTGCTTTTTTCCTTTGGACACCTAAAACATGTCAATAACATTGATGACATTTTTTATCAAAAACATGTCAATAACATTGATGACATTTTTTATCAAAGTTAAAATCTATTTATTAATGTTGATATTGCTGGTTACTCACATTTGTTAATTTTTTTACATGGAAGTTAATTTTGTTTGCCTATTGTTACTATATTTGTATTTTACTTTTTTTAATTATTTTTTTTTTCTCATTGTTTTTTTGGTTTTGGATGGACAGGTCTTTGATATTAAAGAGGACCAAGCAAAACTTATTCTTCAAGATATCTATAACGTGAGAACTGGACGCAAACGAAAAATTTCTCCGAATGTCCAGTTCCATATTAATCTCCTCTGTCATTTACTGGAGCATCAGGGGGAAGAGTATGTGTTGCCACTCCACATCAAATTTTCCTGTATTTAATTTACCTCAATGACTTGACAACTGCTAAAAAAATTATTGCGTAGATATGTAGAACTCAGACCATCAAATAGGAAGAACTCATGGTTTGATGCGCTCAAGAAATGCTTGTCTGGATCCCAAAGTGTTCTTAAAGCACAGGGAGTTAATTCTCTTGAGAATAGAGATGTTTATGATACTTTCACTGCTTCGGAGAAGCTTAGGCTTTTAAACATTCTCTGCGATGAAGCCCTTGTAACTGAGTAAGTATTCTTTCCCTTTTATTTCATTTTTCATTGTGATAGTTTTTGCAGTTCACCTATCTACAATCTACATTTTGTTTTTTTTTTTTCACTGGATAGAAATGTGAGAAGTCAGATGGAAGACAATAATGCAAAACTTGTCAGCAAGGTCAAGGAAGCTAAACGAAAAGTTAATGCTGCAATAGATAAGGTAGTAGATATTGCCATATTGGTAAATAATTTTCTAACCCAGGACTTCTGTTTCTCATATTTTTCATTCTCGGATACTTGAACTCTATGTAGGAGAAGCAGTTGAAGAGGAAAATGAAAGATGATATTGCCCAAGCAGTTTCTGCCAAGGAGGGTGCCTCGCTTTCAAGTTCTGAGCATGAAGCCCTTGTTATTGGCATCAAAGGTGAGATAGAGCAGGCTCGGGCGGAGGTCCTTCAGTCAAAGGCCGTGCTTCCAAAGAGTAAGTATATTAATAGTCCCTTTGTATCTTCATACTATTGACTTTATAAATGTTTGTTTGCATGCCATCTAATCACATTGCTACTTTTTGTTCGTTGTAACTTTATTGTATGTAAACATTTATTATACACTAAAATTTCTACATTGAAAACCCCACTATTTTCTCATATTCTAAAATTGCTCTTATCTTTACATAGGTAGATGTAGTGATTGTGATTATTACCATTTTCTGAAATGGCTTCTTTGATACTTTGATTTATTCATATATATATCACCTTGAAGTTTAATCTTTTTAGTACATATTTGTCTGAAATTGATTTAATACTAATGCTGTTCAATTTTGTAGAATCTAAGATTTCCGATGCTGTAAGAACAGAGCCAATACTGGTTGGATCTGGTGGCCATGTGTATTGGAAATTGAACTGTTTAGGGGATTCAGAAGTGCTCCATCAAAGTAAGTCGTGGAATTTTTTGTAATTCTTATCACCTAATGCTTGTACCTTAACCTATTTTTGACAACTATTACTCCTAACAGATATTGGAAATGGGGATTCCCTTTCCTTAGACGAGAAATGGTTCACCATTAATGATGAAGGGAAAGAAGTCGTTGAAAAGCACATTGCTTATGCAAGGTAAGTCCCCATCTCCATCAAGCTTCTATTCTTCTTCACCATGAAAAAAAAAGTTAGGGTGTGTTTGTGCTTTGAATGCTTTGGGGCTGTTGGATGTGCATTTCTTTTTTTATGAGAAATAAGTTTTCAGTGTGATTTTTTAATGTGAAATTGATTTTGGATGTTATGTTTTGATTGAAAAATATTTGTTTGATGTTGTGGCTTTTTAGGTGAAAATTATTTCTACAGTAAATAGAAACAAACATAGCCTTTCAATACATAAATGCTCTCCTTGTTACTCCTTGTTCAAAATACACATAGTGGTTGCATTTTCAAGGTTATTCTTTTCTTTGTATTTCTGATGAATTACTGAATCGTAACCATATATGAATCGAAAGAAATCTCCATCACTTCCCCATCAATATATTGCCCTGTTTTTGTCGAACAATTGCTCTCTTTCTAGTAATCAAACTTTGTATTCACAATGTGGTATGTTTGCTGCTGCAGCAGCAGCAGCAGCAAGCAAAGAAGATCAAGGAGGAATCTGAAGAGGAAGGATGCTGATGGTTCGGGTCCAGTCGAAGAATCTAGCTCAGTTCCATCTGAAGCAGATGCAGATGCAAATGCAATGGTAGTTCAATGATATAATTCAGGTGCTCTTCAAATTATATACTAATTTAAAACTCACAGGCAGAGTTACAGTTAGTGACAGTGTAGAATCATATCTTCACATGTTGTAACTTGTTAGGATTAAAGATGAGATGCAAGAATGAATGTTTGTAAATTTAAATTAGGCCTTTTGGTATTCTGTTTTATGTTTGGTTAAGTCATTGTTCAGAAATGATTTAGATTTGATTTTGGTATCCAAATCTGCATTTACATTACTAATGTGTTGTTGGTTATAATAATATTGTCTTTATATTTGTATTTTGTTCTCTCTCTGTTTGTTTTTCAAATGCCTTATGCATGCCTTGGGGTATATAAGGGAATGTTATATAGGTGTTAGGATTTTTATTTTATTTTTTTTTTATTATTATTTTTTTTCAATTTATGATAATCTATATAGTTTTTAATTTTCACATTAAAGTTTGTACTTTCAAAATATTCTAAATTCAAGTTGGAATTGTAAAATTTGATTGAGCATGTTGGTTGGCTTATAGCTTTGCCTTAAAGAAATTTTGGATTGTAATTTTGCGATCAAATAGATATAATTTTGTTTGTCATCTTATATTTATCTACAATTTTTTAAGATTTTATTATAATTCTTATTTTAATTTTAAATTATGTTATTATTTTTTTTTTAAAAAAAAAAGCATTCAATATTTATTGCGATGCAACTGAATTTTAATTATTTTTTAGATGTTAATTATATTTTATTTTATTTTTTATAGAATGCATTTAAATATATTAATATACAGTTTTTTTTTAATCTTATTAAAAAATTATGGATCAGCTAGAAATATTATACTGAAAATTTTACGGCATATCATATACCATAATATATAAATATGGATATACAAAAATATCATTATCATACTATACCGTAAATACTGATATGAAAAAATACAATATTGATGTTTTATCGAACTATTGAGTATATTTTAAATCAGTATATTGAGAATTACTATATAAAAATTTTGATATTGATCTCTATCATTTTTCAATACATTAGTATATTATCTATCATACTGCAAATTATTTGTATATTGAAAAATAAATAAGAAAAAAACCAAAAATATTAAAATTATCATAATTAGAAATAAACAAATAAATATAATACTTTTATTTTATTTTATTTATTTTATTCGATATCATGGTATATACTTTAATATCTATATATATTTATATGGCAATAATATGCAATATTGTTTTGTATTTTTTTATTTTTATTACAAAATATATTAGTAAAAATAATTATTGTATAATAAAATATTTATAAATTAAAATTAAAATAACTAAATAATTTAATTAAAATTTAAAAATTTTAAATTTTAAATCGTATAATTAACTAAAAATTTAACCCTTTGTCAATAACCCTAACCTGACCAAGAAAAAAAAAAAAAAAAAAAAAAAAAAAAAAAAAAAAAACCCTAACCTGACCAAGAAAAGAAAAGAACGAACCTAGTACCCATATTCTTCTTCTACATTCTTCCCTTTCTCTCATGTTTCTTGTAACGGAATCGGAACGAGAAACTCCAAACCAGAATGATTTTTCAAGCACATTGAGTGCCTGTGTGTTCTTGATCCGGCGTTCGGTGATTGAGCTGCATGATGCAAGTAAAGAATTTCTTTTTATTTTTTTTACTCTTTGAATTAACCTTGGGCGAAATGCATCTAGATATGTATGGTGGTGGGAATGATTTGGGGAGTTTGATTGGAACACTTTTGAATTGGATTATTGTCCTAAGATGGATTGTGCTGTGCATCTTTTATATTAGTGAGATCATTTTTCTTCAAAAAAATCCAATGGTTAATCAAGTATAAAATTTTGTGTGAAGCCATATGAGTTTCGATAAAAGCTTCATTTGTGTGGTATCATTCTTATAGGCTACTGGTGAATCTAATATGGTAAGTAGCCACTTAGCGTTGATACATAAACTACCTAGTGTGGCAAGTTACGACATTCAGTCGGTTATTAACATCTTGCTTCTGTTGTTATGACTTTAATATGCTTGGTGAACCTTTTATGACTTAATTAGTTCTATCTATAAAAGAAGTTTTCTAAATTGTTTCAATATCCTCGATATTTATCCTTGACTTTTGGAAGCAGCGGCAAAAGACCTGGGATCTTGTGGTAGGATGCAAGTTTCATAGGATTAACAAACCATGCCTTATTATGTATTGTCAGAAGTGTCTCTTAAACAGGTTATTTCTATCATCTCTTCATTATGTTTATTTTAAATTCAACACTTATTGAATACCTATCTAATCTTATTGCGACGATTTCATCCAAGTTCGATATTGCGAGAGGGCTGAAGAAGTAGCTAGTTTGGAGCAGTGGACTTACCCCAAATGCAGGGGCATTTGCATGTGAGTCTTTTGAATTATTTTTTTAATGACTTTGCAGCAATTTTCTGGTGGCCTAATAATGGATTGATAGGGATAAAAGAGGCGACAAACTCACTGGTATTCTCATTAATAGAGCAAAAGCTAGAGGATTTTCTTCTGTATCTGAAATGCTACTTATAACGATGCTGACATGATTTGCTGCAAAAAAGGTAGCTTCTTCGAATTACTTGCATGATTTCCTATATTCACATGGACTGCTATGTGCGACTAAAAGTTATTTCTCTTGTTAATGACATGGCATAGTCGTTCAAAAACGTGTGCTTCCTCGAAGCACGATTTATAAACTTTGATATAACGATTTTTGTCATTTGCCTTTTCACCATTGTTCGCTTATTTATATGTCCAAAAGGGTAAACTCATTGATAAATCACACACACACAGACACTGAAACCCTAGCCTTACGAATTCCCCAGCGGCGCATCCTTCATTGACCTGCCGTCAGCAACCCTTGTGTTCTGTTTCGATTGGCTTTGGCTTCTCTGAGATCAACATCTGTATTCCTTGCAGGCTCCCAGCAGCAGAAATGGAATCAGTATGTCCATTTATAAATATGAAATGGGCTTTGGAATTAGGATGATGTTTTGTAGTGCTTTCTATTATTTATATGTTTGTTTGCTTTCCTGAATTTATTATATTCGGTGATGCAATATGCCCGGCATTTGGAACTTAACTTGATTGCATATTTCAATGCTTGAATTTAATTTTTTGTTGCAAAAAAAGTTGTTTTGTGTTTTTTTTTAACTTGATGGTTACTGAAGGAGTCTAAGGTTTATCTTTTACCTTTTGAAACATGCTGTATGTTTGCCAGTATCATCTATGGCAATTATTAATGTTTTGGTTGCCAGATTAATCCTATGCTCTCTTTTTGAAATTGGCAGGCCCACTTGTGCAGAGACCCAGGAATGGGTTTTACCTCTGGTGAAAAGTCAATCAAGCTTAAAGTTCCTCAAAAAAGAAAACAAGATTGTGGTACAAAACCAAAGATACCAAGGCAGAAGCCAGTGAATGATGATATTGAGGTGAGAGGTGTGGGAGGAGTTGATTTACCGGCAGAAGATGCCAGGAATGCCATTCAGTTCATGGAATTTTTTTGGAGTTAATATAAAAGTTAAAATCTATTTATCAACGTTGATATTGAAGGTTACTCACATTTGTTAATTTCTTTACTGGGAAACTAATCCTGTTGCCTATTGTTATTGTTGTTAATGTTTGTTATGTGTGTTGTGTTTAATTTGACTGGTTTCAAAGTTGTAAAACCTTTTCAAATTCCTCTCTTAGGCCTGTATTTTGCATTTCTTTTCTCATTGTTTGTGTTTTTTGGATGGACAGGTCTTTGATATTACAAAGGAGCAACCAGAGCTTATTCTTCAAGATAAGTATAATGTGATAACTGGATGCAAGGGAAAATTTTCTCCGAATGTCCAGTTTCACATTAAACTCCTCTCTCATTTACTGGAGGATCAGGGGGGAGAGTATGTGTTCCCGCTCCACATCAAATTTTCCAGTATTTAATTTACCTCTATGATCTGACAATGGCTTTTTTTGTTCTTTTTTTTTTTTTTTTTTGTATAGATATGTAAAACTGAGCCCATCAGATGGGGAGAACTCATGGTTTGATGTGCTCAAGAAATGCTTGCCTGCATCCCAAAGTGTTCTTAAAGAACAGGGAGTCGATCCTCTTGAGAACATGAGTTCTAAGGAAAACGATCTAAGCAGGATGAAGAGTGAGCTCGACTCGAAGGAAAGGAGTTTGAGCAGATGGGAAGCGAATCTAGAACTCGAACAAAGTGAAATTGCTTCAAGACAAGAGATGAATGATAGTAAGACTGAAGAGCTCGATCGGAGGGAGAAGATTTTAGGATCAGTTAGCGAATTTACATGCAACTGTTACAAGGAATATCGAGCTACCCACAGCCAACAAACCGTGCCCTATTATGTATTGTCTAAAGTGCCTCTTGAACAGGTTATTTCTATCTTCTCTTCATTATGATGATTTTTAATTCAACACTTTATTGAATACTCTGGCAATCTAATTTTATTGTGATGATTTTGTCCAAGTTAGGTATGGAGAGATGGCCGACGAAGTAGCTAGTTTGGAGCAATGGACTTGCCCCAAGCAAGTCCTCGAGTCAGAGGCCATGCTTTCAAAGGGTAAGTGTATTATAGTCTCTTTGTATTTTCATACTATTAATGACTTTATATATGTTTGTTTGCATGTAGTCATTTAATCAAATTGCTACTTTTTGTTTGTTGTAACTTTATTTTATGTAAACATTTATGTTACACTAAAATTTCTTCACTAAAAATTTTGTAGAAACTAAGAATTCAGATGCTGTAAGAACTGAGCCAATACTGGTTGGATCAGGTGATCATGTGCACTGGAAATTGAACTGTTTGGAGGATTCGGAAGTGCTGCATCAAAGTAAGTCGCGTAATGTTTTGAATGTGAAATAGTTTGGATGTTGTGTTTTGATTGAGAAAGATTTGTTGGATTTTGTGGCTTTTCAGGTGAAATAGTTTGGGATTTGAACAGTAAAAATTTTGAATGCATTGTTTATGTGATGTTTTGAATGTAAAATTGATTTTTTTAGTAGAATATAAAAAATAAAGAATGTGTTCGGATGTTTTTTTAGGGAAAAAAAAAAAAAATGACTGATCAGTAAAGTTTGAGAAAAAATCTCCAAACAAACACATGGGGGAAAAATTGAATGAAGTAGAATGGTTGCATTCTCGAGATTGTTCTTTTATTTGTACCTCTGATGAATTACTGAATTGGAACCCCATATGGGATGTAAAGAAATCTCCTTCGCATCCCATCAATATTTTGCCCCTTTTTTTTTTTTTTTTTTTCTGTCGAACAATCACTCTACTGCCAAACCGCCAGGCCATTCATCTATTTGTCTGAGAGGCTGATCTAAAAAATATATATATTTTTATTGGAAAATAAAATATGTATAAATTATTATTTCAACTATTTTTACTAATCTATTACATAAAATTTTTTGAATGAAATTATAGAAGGCACAATACACACAGAGAATAAATAAATAAAGTAAAAAAGTAAAATTCTTAATAAAATATACTATGTGAGACCTTGTATTTGTTTTATTAGACACTGGTTGTTATACTAGTTATTATTTTTTATCCAACACATAAAAATATAAAATTAGTATAGTTTATCAGGTTGAGAAACCATTTATAAGCACACTAAAAAAATAAAACGTTTAAATTGTCCATCCACAAGTTGTTATCCTAATTGTTTTTTATTTGATCCAATACATAAAAAATAAAATTGATATAAATTGTCACTGTAATTATTTTTACCAACCACATGTATTTTGTAAAACTACTTAGTACATTAGAAAATAAAATCTTGAACCACCTTACACACATAACATATTGAGTCCTTTCACACATCGTGTACATATGAAATAATTTTTGGTATGCGGTATGAAAAACTATGTAAAAAAAATATACTATTTCCGTCTCATAACAAGGTATTCATTTACCTTTTGCGTTATTGTACTTAATTATAATTTTGTATGCAAATGTCATTATATTAGTATTATAAGATACTAATAAAAATATTTTTGCAATTTTTTCTTGATTTGTAATACGTTTTAATATAATAATTAATATCCAAAGATCAACATACAAAAAAGTAAATGGGTACTTAGTTATGGGACGGAGGGAGTATAAAATATTGTATTATTCCAAGTCGAATATTTGACCTTTTTATTTTTTTTAATGACTTTTTGATTTTTTATAATAAATATATAATTTATTTTTTTTACTTTATATTTTTGTATAAAATATTTTATATATTTTTATTATTATTTTTTAAGAATCGCAATTAAAAAATAATATTGAAACTACAAAAAGAAAAAACATCAATCAAATTAAACTTGAATTATATATATATGTGAACAAAGTGTATAAATAAGCAATAAAATGCATGATAAAAAATAGAGTAAAAAGGGGATTGAATAAAAATAGAGACAACTCAGTCAAGTTTATGTGTTGTTTGATGCGTTTCTATTGCCGTGATCAATTTCTTTCCAACTTTTTATCTTTTTTATTATTCAACTAATTTTTTGTTTCTAAAAGTATTAAATTAAATATATATTTTAATGTTTTATATTATACTTATATTATATATACATTAAGTCATAAAGTCATTAAAGGTATACTTATTTGAGAATTTGAATTTGTGTTTAAAATCTGAAATAATAAAATTTTAAATTTGAATAAGTACATCATATTAATATAAATATATATATATAAATATAATATTTTAAATATAAAATTAATATTATAATATAAAAAATAGATAAATATTATAAATTTGATAAAATTTTCTATAAAAACACCCTGTAAAAAACATATCAATTACATAATACAATTATTTTAATTATAAAATTTTATTATTCAAAAATAAAATTTAAAATTCAATTTCAAATTACATTCATACAAATTTGATATTAAAATAATGTAACATAACATATTTTATTAAAAAAAACAAATTTAAAATTTAAAATACAAATAGTAAAAGTGGGAGTTTGAACCCAAATGTAACTCCTTTTTCAAGTCCAAGCCATGTAAGTAACCCTAACCCCCAAACCCACAGTAACCTAAAACCTAATTCCCAATTTCCCATTTTCCTCTCCTCCTTCCTCTCTTGGACCCTCACTCCTCATCTTCTTCTTCCCCCTCTTTCCCTGTCTATTGTGTTTCTTGTAACGGAATCGGAACGAGGAGCCCGACCCGGATCCAACTCGGCCGTTTTGCCAACCACATCGGTTGCTTGTGTGTTCTTTATGCGGCGTTCGGTGACTGAGCTGCACGATGCAAGTAAAGATTTTTTTTTTTGTGCTGTATTCTCGTCAGATGGATAATAGATTGATGTGATACTTTGTTTGGCATGTGTGAGAAACGGAGCAATCGGTAAAATGCAACCTAGAAATGGTGAAGTAACCTGAAATTTATTGATTTGAACTGTCTCAAGATTTGGTTAGAGTGTGTGTGCGACGGCATTGCCTTTTGTTTGTCTTGAAGCATGTTGTGAGTGTGACTTGAACCTGTACGTTATATTTTTACTCTAATTTGTCGTTATGCATTAGAGTTGCAGAAATTGAGTCGGTATCTAGGAGTATATTTTGACTGAATCTTGATTAGTTTTCCATTGCTATATTCTTAAATGCTGGCATACCAGAAAGTATATTGTTACTTGTGAGTGATGAAGATTATACATAGACCAATCATTGATTAAGACATGACTGTGATGGGAATGATTTGGAGAATTTTGATTGCAACATTTGTGATTGCAACTTTTATGTTAGCTGAGTTCATTTTCTCCGCATAAAATCCAATGGATAATCTATTACAAAATCTTGTGTGAAGCCAAAGCCATATGATTTTCAATAAAGTTTCTTGCGTGGCAGGATTCCTATAGATTACTGGTTAAATCTAATATGATAAGTAGCCACCTAGTGTGGAAACATAAACCACCTAGTGTGGCAAGTCATGGCATTTAGTCGGTTATGGATATCTTGCTTGTGTTGCTATGACTTTAATATGCTTGATGAAGCTTTATGACTTGATTTAGTTTTATCTCTGAAACAAGTTTTCTAAATTCTTTTTGTTTGCTCAATATGTCTGCTTGACGTTTGGAAGTGTCATGCATGTGGCAAATGACCCGGGATCTTGTGGCAGCATGCAAGTTTCAGAGTATTAACAAACCATGCCCTATTATGTATTTTCAGAAGTGTCTCTTGAACAGGTTATTTCTATCTTCTCTTCATTATGATGATTTTAAATTCAACACTTTATTGAATACTTGGACAATCTAATCTTATTGTGACGATTTCATCCAAGTTAGATATTGCGAGACGGCTGAAGAAGTAGCTAGTTTGGAGCAATGGACTTGCCCCGAATGCAGGGGCAGCTTTTGCATGTGAGTCTTCTGAATTATTACTGAATGACTTTGCAGCATTTTTTTGATGGCGTAATTATGCATTGATAGGAAAAAGGAGGTGAAAAACCCGCCGGTATTCTCACCAATGAAGCAAAAGCTAGAAGATTTTCCTCTGTATCTGAAATGCTACTTAGAACGACGCCTTGCAAGCAAATTTGCTGCAAAGAAAGGTAGCTTCTTCAAATTGCATGCGTGATTTCCTATTTTTCACATGGACTGCCATGTGCACTGAAAGTTATTTCTCTTGTTAATGACGTGGCATAGTCCTTCAAAAATGCGTGCCTCATTAAAGCACGATTTGAAACTTTGAAATAAGGATTTCCCGCTTTCGCCTTTTTCCACCATTATTAGGGTATTGTATGTCCAAAAGTGTAAAAACTCATTTATAAATCACTAAATCAGACATACCGAGACCTGCAACCCTAGCCATACGAAGCAGCGGCGCCGCGTCGCGCATCCTTCATTGACCTTCCGTCAGCAACCCTCGTGTTCTCTGTTGATTGGCTTTGGCTTCTCTAAGATCAACACTCCGCATTCCTTCCAGGCACCCCAGTAGCAGAAATGAAATCAGTTATATTCTTTTTATTAATATGAAATGGGTTTTGGAATTTGGATGATGTTTTGTAGTGATTTCTATTATTTATATGCTTGTTTGCTTTCCTGAATTTATTACTATGGATGATGCAATAGCTCGGCATTTGGATCTAACTTGATTGCATCTTTCTATGCTTGGAACTTAAATTTTTGTTGCGAAAAAAGTTGTTTTATTTTTTCTTTTATGGTTCCTGGAAGAGTGTAAGATTTATCTTTTAATTTTGAAACATGCAGTGTGCTTGCCAGTATCATCTATGTCAATTACTAATGTTTTGGTTGCCACATTGATCCTGTGCTCTCCTTTTAAATTGACAGGCCAATTTGCCAGTGAACCAGGATATTCTTACCGGCCTTCCCTTTCCAGAGGGAGAAAAGGTGAGACATGTTGGTGGAGTTGATTTACCGGAAGAAGATGCTGGGAATGCCTTACAGTTCATGCAATTTTGTGCTACGTTTGGTGAGGCAAGTATCTTTATTTGCTATATATGTGTTAAAATGTTAATGATGTTCATTTTACTTAGTTCCGACACCATGTGTATATTATTGCCTTTTCCTTTGGACACCTAAAACATGTCAATAACATTGATGATATCATTATGACCAACATTTATCTTTCATTTTGTTGGAGCTAATATAGAAGTTGAAATCTATTTATTAATGGTGATATTGATGGTTACTCACATTTGTTAATTTTTTTACTGGGAATTTATCTTGTTTTCCTATTGTTATTGTGGTTAATGTTTGTTATGTGTGTTGTGTTTAATTTGACTGGTTTCAAGGATGTATAACCTTCTAACATTCCTCTCTTAAGTGTGTATTTGCTTTTCTCTTCTCATTGGTTTTGGATGGACAGGTCTTCGATGTTAACAAGAAGCAAGCTGAACTTATTCTTCGAGACATCTATAATGTGACAACTGGATGCAAAGGAGAATTTTCTCCGAATGTCCAATTTCATATTAACCTCCTCTCTCATTTACTGCAGGATCAGGGAGCAGAGTATGTGTTGCCACTCCACATCAAATTTTCATGTATTTAATTTAACTCAATGACTTGACAACTGTGTTTTCTGTTTTTTTTTTCATTGCATAGATCTGTAGAAATCAGCCCATCGGATGGGGAGAACTATTGGTTTGATGCGCTCAAGGATTTCTTGTCCGCATCCCAAAGTGTTCTCAAATCACAGAGAATTGATTCTCTTGAGAACACAGATGATTACGACACTTTTACTGCTTCAGAAAAGCTCAGGCTTTTAAACATTCTCTGTGATGAAGCTCTTGAAACTGAGTAAGTATTGTTTTCCTTTCATTTCATTTTACATTCTGACAGTTTTTGAAGTTTACCTTTCTACACATTTTTATTTAACTGGATAGAAAAGCAAGGAGCTGGATTTTAGAAAATAATGCAAAACTTGCCAGCAAGGTCAAGGAAGCTAAAGAAAAAGTTAGTGCTGCAATGGAGAAGGTAATAGATATTGCTAAATAATTTTCTAACCCATGACTTCTGTTTCTCAGATTTTTTATTCTCGGATACTTGAACTCTATGCAGGAGAAGCAGCTAAAGCAGAAATCGAAAGATGATATTGCCCAAGCAATTATTGCCAAGGGGGGTGCCCTGCTTTCAATTTCTGAGCGTAGAGCCATTATTTCTGGTACCAAATCTGAGTTGGAGCAGGCTCGGGCTGAGGTCCTCGAGTCAAAGGCCATGCTTCCAAAGGGTAAATATATTATAGTCTCTTTGTATTTGCATACTATTATTGACTTTATATATGTTTGTTTGCATGTTGCCATTTAATCACATGCTGCGTTTTGTTCGATGTAACTCTATTGTATGTAAACATTTATTTTAAACTAAAATTTCTACCCTAAAAAACCCCACTATTTTCTAATGTTCTGGAAATGATCTTATCTTTACAGAGGTAGATGTAGTGATTGTGATTAGTACCATATTCTGAAATGGTTTCTGTGTAGTACATATTTGTCTGAAATTGATTTTATATACTACTGGCCAATTTTGTAGAAACTAAAAATTCCGACGCTGTAAGAACAGAGCCAATACTGGTTGGCTCTGGTGGCCATGTGTACTGGAAACTGAACTGCTTGGGGGATTCGGAAGTGCTGCATCAAAGTAAGTCGTGTAATCAATGTTTTGTAATTTTTATCACCTAATGCTTACACCTAAAGCCTAATTTTCACAACTATTACTCCCAACAGATGTTGGAAATGGTGATTCCCTTACCTTGGACGAGCAATGGTTCACCATTAACGATGAAGGGAAAGAAGCAGTTGAAAAGCATGCGGCTTATGCAAGGTATGCCCCCGTCTCCATCGGGCTTCTATGCTTCTTCACCATGAAAAATATGTATATATAAGCTTCTATGCTTCTTCGCCATGAAAAATATATATATATATATACACGCATTTAGTGATTGCATTTTCATGATTATTCTTTTATCTGTATTTCCAATGAATTACTGAATTTGGAACCACATAAAGGGATAGTAAAGAAATCTCTATCACTTCCCATCAATATTTTGCCCAGTTTTTTCAAACAATCACCATACTTCCCGTAATCAAACTTTGTATTCACAAAGTGTTGTGTTTGCTGCAGCAGCATCAAGCGAAGAAGGCCGAGGCGGAATCTGAGGAGGAAGGATGCTGATTGTTCGAGCCCAGTCGACGAATCTACCTCAGTTGCATCTGAAGCAGAAGCAGATGCTGATGCAATGGAAGTTGAATGATATCATTCAGGTGCTCTTCGAAGTTCAAATGCTGTAGGCTTTAGGTTACAGAGTGTGTATATCACTGCAAGGAATTAACATTTTTTTTAACAGAGTTTTTTTCTTGTCCTTAAATCAGTTTTTTTCGTTACTAATAACATTATCCCGAAAGTTAACTTTACTTATAACATTATTTTTTTAATGACGTATGTAGATGGTGGTCCTAAAATGTGATATAATAATGTGATACTCCCTCCATCTCGCAACAAGATTTGTCATTGACTATTTGTGCGTTGATATTTGAATATTAATTATGATATTAATACGTAGTATAAATCAAGAAAAGAAAACAAAAATATATTTGTCAGTAAATTATTATGACCCAGGGATAGAGGGAGTATTAAACTTATGATAATCCATATATTTATACTACGTTAAATAAATTATGTTTTGATTATTTGTAGCTACACAATTTGCAAGTAGTATCTTGTGCCTTAAAAATACTGAGTTCATGTTAGAATTGGAAAAAATAATATTTAATATTTTTAAAGAAAATGATTTTTTTTTTTTTATTTTGTATAATTATTGAGTGTATATACATATTAATATATTTTTTTATAATATTATTGAAAATCGTATTTGAGTTTGTTGTTAGGTGAATAACAGGACATGGGCTAGTTCAACTTTTTATTTTTTAATTTTAACTTTTAATATTTTTTTCAACTTAATTGACCCAATTCACTTCACCGTTAATTTAACCCGACCCTGAGCTGGGATGGTCCGCCCCATTTAGATAATTTTGACTCACTACTTTATATATATATATATTTATTATATTTTTAATTTTAATTGTAATAATAAAAAAAGTATATGGGATGTACATGTGTTTGATATCCATACATAAAGTCTTGGTGGGCCTTTAAAAGGAAAGCCTATTTTACAAAATTGACTTTCAAATATATACATTTTAATTCGAATGAAATAATTCATTGGACCAAAAATCCCATTTTTTGTGAAAAGCAAGAAAACAAATGGAGGTTTGTCAAAATCATCCATCCAAAGTTCCAAACACTCATCAAAAGAAGATAAATTTTAAAAGTAAAGAGAAAGTAGTATTATATTTTATTATTTTTGAATTATAAATTATAATTTATTAAATAAAAATATATATAATTTATTTACAAAATATAAAACATATAATCGAATATTCAACGAGTTAATATTTAATATTACTCGCTCCCTCTAAATATCAATTTTATGTGATTTTCTTTGTAAATGAACAAAAACAATTAACATCTGTCTTGTATAATATGAGTGTTTTACCGTAAATTCAAAAATTTAGGTAAAATATAATTAGTAAATAATTAAAAGATTTATTAGTGAAAATAATTATTATATAGTAAAAAATAATTATAGATTAAGATAACTAAGTAATTTAATTAAAATTAAAAAAAATTAAAATTTAAAATTTAAAATGCGACTAAAATGTATAATTATATTTAAAAAAAAAACAAATTACATGGAATTGACGAAATAAGAAAATATAGAAAGATTACGTGAAACGAAGGATGTTATATGTTTTGACAGGCGAAAATATATTTTTCCTATATATTTGAATAAAACAAATACAACTCGTCAGTGATTTCATATTTTATTTTTCTATGTGATATGTGCTCAAAATGTAAAATAAATACGGGTGAGTTTATTATTTTTATTTTTTTTTAAAGATTGTATTTTTTATGTTAGGTATGATCAATTATAAAACTAATATAAAAAATAATATTTTATTGAGTTTTTATTTTTTATAAATAGACAAAATATATAAATTATATATATTAATTTATGAAAAAATTGAACGAACAAAGCCACAATCTAAATATAATACTTTTTTTGTTCTAAATAAATAAATTATTTATATTTTTTATTTTCGTCTATTTTATATAATTTTTTAAAATATAATTATATCACAATCATATTTATTAATTATATTTTATTTAAATATTTTGTGTTTACAGTAATATAAATAATTTATTAGAGACTGAAAGAATAAAAAAATATACTACAAAATAACATCACAAGATAATAGATTGTGTGTGCTGACAGTACTATTTTCCAAATGAGCATGATAATTGAAGCAATATATTTCAGGAATACAATAAAAATAAATAAAAGAGATATAAAAGAGGAGAGTTGAATGGGAAATGGGTAGTAGAAAGTTGAAGTCGCATTAGCACTTTATGTAAAGTGCGCATGGGCATAGGGATTGCGTTTGCTAAGGTGTAACCAGCACGAATCACAGGGAACCGCACTGTAGAGAAGAAACAGTGGGTGGGTGGGTGGGTGGGGTGCTGGCCCCCGCCACCCAACGGACCAAACACTGGACTGGACTGGAGCCCCGCTCCCCAGCAGATCCGAGAAATCCGTTGATAAGTCCTGACCTGCCACCCCACTGCCATTCCGTTCCACGCTCCTCCCCTCCCGCTTGCACCCCACGCGCTTCCAGCGAATTCCTTCCTTATTTTCCTATTTATTTACTTTTATTTTACTTCACATTTAAATCTTATATTTTTCGTTAAATCTATATTTACTTTTTTATTTATAAAAAATACTTTCCTTTATAGCAAAATATCCTTTTGGAATGTTTTTTGTCTGCCAATTATTTTTAAATTAACATAATTTTTATAGAAAAATCGCGCCCAATATAATTTTTATAAAAATAATAACACTGTAAATATAATATATAATGTGATATTTTGTCTTAGGTTGTGTTTGTTTGAGGGATTTTGTGGGATTTTTATTATTTCCATAATTTTTTTTCTCAAAAAATATCAAATCAAATATTTATTTTTTATTTTTTATATTATACTAAAAATCAATTTTACATTCAAAATATCGTATCATACAACTATTCAAATTCAAAATTTTTACTATTCAAATCTCAACCCAAAATTCAAACCCTCGAACAAACACACCCTTAATAAATTTTTATAATATTTTTTTATAAAAATTAATATAATTCTTTAAATTACTCTCTCATCCAAGTTCAATAATAGTTATATTTTTTTTCATTTTAGTTTATTTCATAGTTGATTATCTATTTAACAAATATAAATTATTTAATTAAATTTTTAATATTTTATATATAAGATCCATTCATTTTTATTTTATTTCTTTTTATTTTTACCTCTTTTCAAACAATTTAAAATGATCCACTCAAATTTTTTTCTATCTTTTTTTAAATAACTAAATATCTTTATCTCATTTAAAACTCTTTTTTTATACAAAATTAATTTATATTAATCATAAATAAATATTAATATTTTTTATTTGATTTTATTATATAAAATTTTATTCGCTACAAAATAATATTTATATTATATATATATTTATTGAAATATAGTGTTTAAAATATTTTAATATATTTTCTAATTTTTAATTTGTTTTATCTATTTTTATTGTAAAAATATCAAAGTTATGATTCACATAAATATTAATAAAATAATATTACAATTTATTATTAATTTAATAAACTAAATTCGGTTAAATATCATATTACTAGTCAAATTCTTGTGGATCGATTAAACATCTCTTTTTTAAAAAACTTTCCCTTTAAAACTAAAAGCGTATTTTTTTTGGTTGAGTTTTGAAAAAATTGATTTAAATTTGATATTAAATTAATATTTGATATAATATTTTTGTTAAATACAGAGTTTAAATAGTCAAATTTAAAAAAATTTAATTAAAAAGAAAATCACATCTAAATATATTTTTTCTCTAATTTTTTTTTTTTTTTTTTTTTCCAATATGAACTTTCTAGAGTGGCAACGCAAAACGGCAAAATCACGAAAATTCGCAATAATTAAGTCTTTTTTTGTAAGTACATTTGAAAATAATTAAATTTATTTGTATGTATGTATATGCGTGCTGTTCGATATATATAAATATATTAATAAATTGAACAACGTGGACCACGTATATATGTCTACATATGTATGTTAATAGCTCAAAAAAAATTTAAATTGACATATAATGTATGTATGTATATATTTGTTACTGACACACCTTTTGCGTCATTTATTTCGGTGTGTTATCTGTATTTTGTATCAATTTTTACAGCTTCAAATATTTTAAATATATATTTAATTTATAATTTTAAAAATAATCTAAAATACAAATAAAGATATCTTCAGTATTTTTGTTCTGACATATCAATGGTTTCATTACTGTGTAATTGTGTTTCATTTTAAAATTAAATAGCTCAATTATATATACTGTCTCATAATAAATTATTTATTTTTTTATTTTAGTCCGTCCCATAATCAAATATTTTTTTTTTTTTACAAATATCCTTACAACTTACAATATATTACATAAATATCATTACCTTTGTATCACATATATTAATAAGGTTATTTTAGTCGTTTTCACTTTATTTCTACTATATCTCAATATACTATTAATATTTCTAAAACTACATCTAAAAAAATGAATATTTATTTATGAGACGGAGGAGGGAGTATATAAAATTATCAATTTACATATTTTTTACTATTAGTCTGTGTGAATTATGGGCTAGATTTCGAAGAGTAATAGTTTATATTTTTTAAAAAACGTCCTACTTTTAGATCGGTGAATTGTAAATATAATTTCAAAGACAATTTTAATAAAATTTTCTGAAAATTTGTTTTCATTAAAAACGATAAAATTGTTAATCCTCCGTTCCAATACAATAGTTTTATTTACCATTTTTGTCCGTCCAAAAGCAATAGCTTTATTTCCATAAATAACCATATTACTGTAAAATCACTCTTACTTTTTCATTATTATTACACAATTGCTACTACTTTTTACATTAATATACTCACAAGGCCAAAAAAGTTTTTTACCCGTACTTTTTACTTACTGCCAATATAATATCAATATTTTTTAAATTTTGTATCAAACTCAACCCAAACTATAGTTTTAGGACGGATAAAATATTACTTTCTTGGTCTCAACTATAATGTCCAATTTACAGTAGACAAAGAAATTCAAAAGGTATATAATTATAAATAATTAAGAATATATTAGTGAAAATAATTATTATATAATAAAAATAATTTAAAATTAAAATTAAAATAATTAATTAATATAATTAAAATGTAGATGAAATTAAAATATATAATTTTTTTAAAAAAATATGTATTTTAAATTACAAATTAGGTAGAAAATTTTTAAAAGGGGGAAGAGATTTGGCGGCATAAGAACTGGTAATATAAAAAAATATATATACATATAAAAGAGAGAGGGGGAGGGTTTCATTAATGATTGGAAGGTGAAACACACGCGCAGGGAAAAACCCCCAAGGAAAACGACAGAAATAGTATAGAGTGGGATTCACACTCAGACTCAGACTCAGACTCAGTCCCCCACCCACCCCTTATCCCTACCCTACCCAGCCCACCCCGGGTATATATACAGTTCCTCCCCTCCCTCCCCTCCCCTGCAGCCTACCCACCCATCCCTCGTCTTCCCTATCCTCCTCCTCGAGCCAAAACAGTTGAAGCACAGTAATCCCTATCCGATTTCACCTCCTTGAGGTTGAGGAGGAGTAATTTCATTAGAAGAAACAGTAGCAGTAGCAGTAGTAATGGCGGATTTGTTGTTGTTGTTGATATGAAGGAGCGGCAACGGTGGCAGCCGGAAGAAGACGCGCTACTCCGCGCATACGTGAAGCAGTACGGCCCCAAGGAATGGAACCTAATCTCGCAGAGGATGGGGAAAACCCTAGATCGAGATCCTAAATCGTGTCTGGAGAGATGGAAGAATTACCTCAAGCCTGGGATTAAGAAAGGCTCCCTCACGCCGGAGGAGCAGAGCCTCGTCATCTCCTTGCAGGCAAGGTACGGCAACAAGTGGAAGAAGATCGCCGCCGAGGTCCCCGGCCGGACCGCCAAGCGACTCGGAAAGTGGTGGGAGGTTTTCAAGGAGAAGCAGCTCAAGGCGGAGCAGCACAAGTCCAGAAAGACGAATCAGATCGATTACGCCGCCGCGCCGGGAACCGCCGCCGCCGCCGCCGGATCGTCCTCCGAGAGCGCCGCGCAGGGGAAGTACGACCACATCCTTGAGACCTTCGCCGAGAAGTACGTCCAGCCTAAGATGTTCAGCTTTCAGTCCCCTGCTGCGGCGGTGATTCTCCCCGGCGCCGGAATTCCTCTCCCCGTCCCCGAACCGCCACCGCCTCCGCCTCCTCCGCCGCCGCCTGTTCTCTCCCTCGGCTCGGAGCCGTCGAACTGCGCCGCCGCCTCGCTCCTGCCGTGGATGAATTTAAACACCACTCCTCCCAAAACGGCGTCGTCGTTAACCACTACCACATCCTCCTCCTCGACGCCGTCCCCCTCCGTAAGCCTAACTCTCTCCCCATCGGAGCCGGCGGTCCTCGACCCGGAGCCGCCGTGCCGGCTGATTCCGTTCCAGCAACAGCTGAGCCTCCTAATCCAGCACTGCAAGGAGCTGGAAGAAGGCCGGGAAACGTGGCTCCGCCACAAGAAGGAGGCGACGTGGCGGCTTACCCGTCTGGAGCAGCAGCTAGAGTCGGAGAAGGCGCGGCGGCGGAAGGAGAAGAAGGAGGAAACAGAGGCGGCGATTCGGCGGCTCCGGGAAGAGGAGGCGTCGTACATTAGCCGGCTGGAAGGGGAATACCGGGAGCAGATGAAGGCGGTGCAGAGGGAAGCGGAGGCCAAAGAGGCAAAGCTAATGGAGGCCTGGTGCAGCAATCACGTGAAGCTGGGGAAGGTCCTGGACCAGGTGGGGGCCCACGGCGGCCATGGCTGCTCTGCACCTGCATCTCTATCTCTATCTGTATCTGCATCTATATCTGACCGCCCACCAATATAACCCCAACCCAGCTACCTATGTGCTATGAACATTCAACATTCAAACTATCAACTGTGAAAGAAGAAAGAAATGTGAAAGAAAGGGTTGGGAAAGAGGGAGCAAATTAAACACACAAACTCAAGCCTTACAATTATTAATGATATTGCTACCCAATCTCTTTGCACTTACAAATTTGCCTGCCCTGCCCATATATTCTATTCTATCAATTCAATTCCAATGCAATGCAACTTTTGGTCAGTTATATAGCAATAGCATCAAGCATGTTTTTTAATTTTTTTTTTTTATGTACATTGGAGGCTACTACTTGCTCCGTTATAGGATAGCTAGTTTTCATTTGAAACTAGGCAGATTCCATTCTCAAATATATTAATTTAAATAATGTTTTTATTGATCTTACTTACAGCACTTGACATCTAAGTCGTTGTAGTATAGTGGTGAGTATCCCCGCCTGTCACGCGGGAGACCCGGGTTCGATCCCCGGCAACGGCGACATTTTTTCATTTTTCAATTTATTATTAATTTCTTCCTAGCAAGGGTCTATGTCACGTGACGTGAGGACAGAATGCCCATATTTCATTCATTCATTCATTTTTATTACACTAGTATTTGTAGAAGAATCATGGCCCAGTCTCATGCTCATTTTATATATACAATAAACTAATATTTTCTTTCATCCATATTTATTTTTATCATTTAAATTTATTCTTATTTTTCAATAATAAAAAAATACTACTTATTTCAAATTTTTATTTTTATCTAGCCGATCAAATGGGCAGAACAGTAAATATGATATTTCTTAGGATAGAAAAAGTAATAGGTCATATTCTTCTAATTTTCAAGGAAGGGCAGATACAAAAGCAACATAAGCATAAATAGTTGAGTTAAACTTGCAATGAAAGCATCAATTATCCCTAGAAGCAATGTAATCAGCCAAGGCCAGCAATGGAGCTGCTTTACCTGGATCAAACCCCTCCAGCTGCTCTTTAGCCTCCCTCTTCAGCTGCTCTGCAAATTCTCTCGACTTCTCAATCCCGATCAGCTTCGGGTATGTCGTCTTGTCCGCCACCAGATCCTTCCCGGCCGTCTTCCCCAGCTCCTCCGAGCACTTGGTCACGTCTAGGATGTCGTCCACCACCTGGAACAGCAGCCCGATGCACCTCGCGAATTTCCTCAGCCGCTCCACTTCCGACTCTGTCGCACCTCCCAATATGGCGCCCAACACCACTGAACCTTCCAGCAGCGCCGCCGTCTTGTGGAGGTGGATGAACTCTAGAAGCTCCAGCCCCACCTCCGAAATCCCCTCCGAACATATGTCCACCACTTGCCCTGCCACCAATCCCTCTGCACCAATGCACCTTGACAACTCACCAATGGCGGATACTACCCTGCAGCAATGTATATTGAATGACTCAACATGAGCTCGTGGATTTTGAAATGCAAAACATGAATCGAGCACTTGTTGAATTGGATTTGAATCTAGGAGTAGGTTTCAACGAGGAGCAACAAATTTGCCATATCTTGTATTAGCTATAATTTGATTAGTTTAATGCCAATCGAAAGAGTTCAAATAGCAGAAATGAGTAATGGCAGCATATCTTGTAATCAACTGTTGAAGAAAAAATTAGGTTAACTTTTTGAAGTACCTACATGTTGGTAGGGACGTCCTCAGTGGCCGTCGCCAAATGTTCGAAGGCGAAGGCGAGGAGTGCGTCGCCGGCGAGGACGGCGACGTCCTCGCCGTACACCTTGTGGTTCGTCGGTTTCCCCCTTCGCAGGTCGTCGTTGTCCATACAGGGGAGGTCGTCGTGCATCAGCGACATGGTGTGAATCATCTCCACCGCACAGGCGGCCGGGAGGGCGGCGGCCTGCTCACCGCCGACCAGCTCGCAGGCGGCGATGCAGAGCATCGGCCGGACGCGTTTCCCCCCGGCGAGAAGCGAGTACCTCATCGATTCGTGTATCGTGACCGGATCTCTGACGGGGACCGCCTCCTCCAAGGCGGCGTTCACGGCGCTCGCCTTGTTGAGCATGTACTTTTTGAGATCGAAGGCATGCGGTTTCCCGGTGGCGACGGTTTCCTCGATTATGGCAGAGGAAATCGACATAGGGCGAAACCTCGAGGGTTTGAGGAAATTGAATTGCTCCGGTCGGAAGCCTCCGCCGGAAATCGACCGCGACCACGTCGCAATTGGATTCACCACCGCACTCATTGTCGGTAGAATAGATCAAATCGCAGTCGGAATTCAAAACCCCCAAAATTCCTATTCAGTTTCCAAAATTCACAAAAGTAAATGATAAAAAATCCTTCACTCACTTACGCCGCTGTGTGCCTTTATTTGTTGCAGAAGCGAGCAAGGACGGAGAGGCTGCAGGTACTGGAAGTCGGTAAATCCACCATTGATGGCTGGTTATTTCTGCTCGAGGGGAGAAGATAGATATAGGGCGCTCTCTGTATGTATAATGTGTGTATATATATATATGTGTGTGTGTATGTATGTATGTCTCACGTGTATTTGTATGTACGTTGATTCCATTTTCGGCAAGGCAAAGTGTAGATTAATAATTAATTTATATAATAATTGTCGGGGGTAATAAAGAAATAGTTGTGGCCACAAATGCAAATACAATTAACCTTTATCATATTGCGTTTTGTTCATATTAGGTGGTTGGGACTGAATCATTATTTTTTATTTCAAAATTATTTTAAATCTGGAACAAACAAACCCTAGTAATTATATTCCCTTCGTAATTGTCGCTGTTTTTGGAGTGAGTGAGATTTTCCTCATTATTATTATTATTATTATTATAAATTAATTTGAGAATCTGACCTGAACCGTTTTATATAAGTCACCTTTTCAACAAAAATAATTGAGGTTTTATAAATATACAATTAAATTTATTTTTAAAATAATATTATTGATGATAGCATCAGCTGGATAAGAGGTCGGATACGGCGGTTTGATAGTGTCGATTCGAGAGAGAAGGAGATGAGAGGTGGATTGACGGTTTCTTACAATCGTTTTTGAAAATTCGAAAAGCGAAAAGACTGAATAAAAAAATATATATATCTTTTCAAATTATTTCGTAAAACGAACACCTCCAAAAATATTTTTATTTCCCTGTTTAACTTTTTTATTTTTTATTTTTCATACCAAACATACATAATATTAAAATATCAATAATGGATGGAATATGTTTAGCATATTATGCAAACAATAAATAAATTTACAATATCTCGTAAGGAATGTCTGATGGTGTGTGTGGATGAACTTATGACCATAAGATTATGAGTGTTATATTTCCTCCGTCCCATATTTATATATTCATTTACTTTTTACATGGAGTTTTAGAAATATTTCTATTATATTGAAATATAGTAGATTGCCCTTATTAGTATTATATGATATAAAAATAATAACATTTGTGTAATATATTGTAAATTGGAAAAATATTTGTAATGTTATGAGACAAACGAAAATAAAAAAATAAATAGATTGTTAAGGAACGGAGAAACCTATAATTCACCTGAAATGATTTGTCTTGTCATCATGAAATAATAAATTTAAATTTTGTCCAAACCTACGAGAATAATAAAAAAATATATTGAGATGCGACATGGTATTATATGTATGTAAGTGTCATCAAATTTTGATGAAAGTTTGGCATGAGAACGCTTTTAAGCCACAAAATTAAAGAAACGGAATTAATAAATGCTGAAGAAGCGTGGGGGCGACACTAATAAAATAAAAACCACGTGCACCATACTCAAACCAATCAATGTCAAGAAGTGAAACACACTCAAATATAGGTTTGATTGTATCGCTCTCAAACAATGTGCAATATTTATTTTTGGGACGAATTTTTTAGGTAGGTAGTGCTCCTTTCGTCCCAAACATCTTGCAATATTTTATTTTTTATTTGTCCCAAACTCACTGTAATATTTTCAAATTTAAAAATAATTAATAATATTTTTATACATATATTAATATACACTTCACTTTATTCCATCACATCACTCGTATAAAAAAACAAATAATCATTTGTCTCTCCAATCACATCATTTAATATCCAAACTATCTCAAATTACTACACTTAATACTTCCTACCTAAATTTCCGTGTCAAACACAAATGTTGCACGATATTTGGGACGGAGGGAATATTAAATATGATAATTTAGAAATTAAGTGATATGATGAATAGAGAAATATATATTTATTTTTTTATTTGGATGATGTAAGGGGACAAAGAGTAGGATAAAGATTTAAATATAATTAATTATTTTCTATTTTAGAAATATTGCAGAGTGTTTGAAACATATCCAAAAAAACAAATATTGCAGAGTGTTTGAGACGGAGGGAATATTTTTAAAATTTATTTTTAATATTTTTATTGTTAAATTAAAAATAATAATTGCCAGTACAATTCAATTGTCATTTGAGTGTTAGTTAAATGTTTTTTTACTGCATAACATTCACATTTATATATATATATATATATAATATTATCTTATCTTAATAACTAATTTCTCTGTTCATTTGTAAAATTTACATTCATTTTTTTATTATATCAAAATGTTACATAAATTAAAGAAGAATGATAAAAATATTTTTACGAGTGTTTTATAATATTAATAAAATAATATTTATATAAAATATTATACAAATATAAAAATATTTTTAATATTAAGTATAATATGCAAAAAATAAATATAAACTTATTAAGGGTGTGTTTGTTTGAAGGATTTCGGAGGATTTCTACTATTCATCCAATTTTTTCCCCCAAAAACATCACATCAAACACCTATTTTTCATTTTTTATATTATACTAAAAATCAATTTTACATTCAAAACATCACATCAAACTCTATTTATATCACATCATACAACTATTCAAATTCAAAATTTTTACTATTCAAATCCCAATCCAAAATCCAAACCCCCAAACAAACACAAACAAACACACCCTAAGTGAACGAGGAGAATTATTATTTTATCATATCAATTGTCATCATGTCAACAATTTTTCAAAGCTAATGATGAGATTAAATAATTACTGCTCATTCCCATAATTAAATATTCATTTGTTTTTGTACGTAATTTTAAAAATATTAGTATTATATTGGGCCGTAATAGGAATAAAGTAAAAATAACTAAAATGATCTTATTAGTATATGTGATATAAAGGTAGTGACATTTGTGTAATATACTGTAAGTTGTAAGGGTATTTGTAATGTTAGGTAGATAATACAGTTACTAGAAAAAATGAATAATTTGTTATGTGACGGAATAAAACGAAAAAATAAATATTTTGTTATGGGACGAAGGGGAAGGAGTACTATTATTACTTGAAAGAAACTAAAAGAGATTTCTTTTATTTTATTTTTTAATTGAACCAAATTAATTAGTATAGTGTATAATGGGATCAAAATATTTTTTCTCCTTATTAAATGTATTGTTATAAAACAACATAATACTCCCACGTACCGGTCAAAATAGTTATATTTATTTTTTTCGTCATAAATTTATTTTTATATTTGTATAATAATTTATACAAATGTCAACTGTCATTGTATTAGTATTATAAACTACTAATAAAAATATGTTTTGTTTTTTCCTCTTAATTTGTACTATATTTTGATATAATAATTAATATTCAAATATTAAAACAAGTAAAAATCTCTTGTACCATGATAGAAGGAGTATATGTTAATCTAAAAAAAATTGGCACAATATTTCAACTATCACATCAAAAAATGTGAATTAAAATTGTATCATTTTCATTTCATCTTGGGGGCATTATTTTGGATCAAGAATTAAAAAATGTGAATTTAAATCGGTTTTTGTGTCGGGTTCGTGTCGATCAATTTATTATAGTGTTTGGTTCGTGTTGACTCATTTATTGTCGTGTTTATCCGGAAACATAATTAAGTCGAAATTCTTAATTGAAATTCAATTATTGTTTCTCGTGTTGTCTTTATTTTTTATTGGATTTAATGTAATGTGTTTAAATTGAATTATTTAAAATTAAATTTAATTTAAATTAATATTAATTATTAAATTAAAATTATTTTGTATATATAATAAATATATTAATTAATATTAATCCTACTTGTTTATTAACGTATCAAATATTGAAATCATTAACCCAAATTCAATTATGTCGTATTAAATTCTTGTTGAGTTGTCTTATCCTGTCAGTTATTGCAGACTCTAGTGACAAAAATATATTATTATATTTTGTTCATAGAATAAATTAAATTAAAGCCCAATTTCCAGCCCAAAACAAAATTCAAAGATCAAAATTCAATCATTATAATTGTTGCCCAAGAATCTGGAAGTTGAAGGTGCCGTCTTCTTCCCTGTTCACTTCAGTTCCGGCGATCGGCGATCGGTGCAGAAGATGTCCGGATTCGAATTTTAAGAATGTGATAGGTGTACAATTGCTGGTGAGTTCAAATTTTCTAGGTTTCCACTCCGCTGTCAATTTCGAGAAGAATGTGCGTGTGTTTTAGGGTTCTTACTGAATTGAATGGAGTTCAACTGTTTATTTGATCTTCTATTCTCATCTCTGCAGGTTTCCTTACATTTTCCTTTTTTTTTTTTTTTTTTGTGTACTTATATTATTGTTTTTGCTCATGCCTTGGTTTCTTCTGCGGTGCACAGCTATGCCGTCCGTTCACTTCCGCCACAATCTACAGATGAAAAAGGTTTCAGCATTACATGGTGGAATCCGAGGCTGAGAATTGGGATCTTGTATGTGGCGGGAAATCTATAATTCGGGATATTTTGGAGGCACGTACCGCATTCAATCAATATACTTCGTGCTACCGCTCAGAGAAGCAGGTTCATACGATCGAGTTTGTAGGATAATATAGGTTCTTAGCGGTGGGAAAATGCAGTCCAAATTAGTAAATAGATCAGCCTTTGAGGCAGAAACAGCCATGGAAATTAGGCTCAGAGAAGCTTATTCTTCTCTGGAACCCAAACTCAAGGCCCCTTTCCCTCTAACTATCCCAACTCCTGAAGAATACTCAGCTCTCAACAGAGCGATACTCTACTGCATTCTATGCGAAACCAACATTGCTGCTGAAGTTCACATTAAGCATTTGCACGGGATCGTGACCGATGGTTATGAGTATTTCACTGCACTGCTTGTCAACGTTGTGAATGAATTGTATGGTAGCCTTGTTGATTCTGCGAAGAGGCGGTTGATAAGAGTGACTCATGAGATGGTTAATGTAGCAGCCGTTGGATTTGATGGTTTGTTGGTGGCCCTTTTGAGGCAGATTGTTGGTGGCGATTTTGGTGAGGAGAATCTGTGGCTTTCCTTTGAAATGGTCAATCTTTTCTCTAGTAAATGGGAATGTTTGATAGAAGAAATGCCTGTAGTTATGACGGGTGCGTTGTATGTGTTCCTCAGGCTACTGGCTGATCATTGCAGGGTGAATGTTCCAAACATCGAGCCGTTGAGGCGGATGGAGATTGATTTCTGTGTTAGAGTGTTGAGGGAGAATTTCTCTTCATGCTTGATGGTTGGTCGGGATCTTATTAGGCTATTGCAAGATTTGGTTAATGTACCTGAGTTATGTGCTGTCTGGAAAGATTTGCTGTATAACCCAAAAACTTTTAAAGTCATTGAATTTGTGGACATCTCCCAGATATATAGCACACGGACTTCAAAATGGTATTTTTTGCTTAGGTTGACTCCCCAAATGGAATCACAGTTGAAGTTTCTGCTGACTCATGTGAAATTTGGTAGTCAAAAGCGCTATCAGAGTTGGTTTGCGCAGAAGTTTTTTTCGGTACCCAATAGGAGTGGTGCAGTGGTTGATATTGTGAGGTTTATATGTTGTTCGGTGCATCCATCGAATGAAATTATCCACTCGGGAATAATCCCCAGATGGGCAGTGATAGGTTGGTTGCTGAAGTCAGATTTCCAAAGTTATGTTGCAGCAAATCTGAAGCTAGCTTTGTTTTATGATTGGCTCTTCTTCGATGAAAAAATGGATAGTATTATGAACATCGAGCCGGCTGTTTTACTGATGGTGCATTCTATCCCTAGATATATTGACATTACACATACATTGCTTGAATTTTTATTCATGCTGTTGGATAATTACGATGTTGAGAGGAAGGCGATCGTGTCTCGTGGAATATCAACAGCTTTCCAAACTCTTGTTCGAAAAGGTGTGGTTCAATCCCTTGATGTTATATTGAGCTGCAATCTCCTTTCTCCAATTCTCAAGGAAAGGTTGAAAAACTTTCTGTCCACTTGATTTGCAATATCATAAAAGTTTCACAGGCACTATAATCCCCATTGCGCCGAATGTCAAGTCTGGAATACCCAACGATAGCCTTATCTGGCAGTTGAGCATCAATTCATATTGGAATTGTGGCTAGAATATCTGAATGCTTTTCCTGGAAGCTTGGACGCCACTCGAACTTATAGTTTTTTGCCGGTAATTATTCTATCCTTACTGATCATTTGCTGCATTTGAATAACTCAGTTAGAGGACCCTTATTCTGGTGTATCAAACCACACCATCATGGTTGCTATTGTTGACTGTTTAAGATCCATTACACTTAGCTGCTCTAATGGTTAGCTGATTCCTTGATGATATTTATTTTCGCTGGTGCCTTCCCCCGATTTAGCCTTTTGGTGTGCTGAAAAATTGACTTCATTATGTATTGTTCTTAGACTTCTATTGTAATTCATCATGTCTATGGTCTTTCACATTTTGTACTGGTGAACGTAAAAGTGATAAGTGAGGCACAATTTTGGTTAAATCTGTTTGTCTTTGCTCTACCTTGTTATCGATTTTTACGATTCTTGAGGTGCTGCTTATAACAAGAGAATCATAGTCGAGCAAAACATTGATTTGATGGCTTAATAATACAATGATGAAGGTAGCTATTCGACGATTGAGCTCAAGCCAGGTTTAATTAAGTTTTACTAATACAAAGATTTAATGCTTGGGTGGTTTATCTCATTTTTAGACCAACCATTCAAAGTTTAGGATAGACTCAGAATTTTGTTGTCATAAAGACAAAAACAATGCAAAGTTCCTGCGATCGACTATAAATATGATGGTCTCATTGATTCGTAACAGCATCAATTGTGATGAGCATTGTGCATTTACTCTGCAGGGTCCTCAGAAGGTGATGTTAGTATGCTGAAGCGACGCTGACTCCCGTGTAAAAGAGATAAGGATGTATCGCCGGAAAAACTCCCAACAATTATTGAACTCGGTTGATCAGACTGAATGGCATCTATTTACAAGCACAAGGTTTGCTCTGACCTGTAGATTGTAATAGAAGAGTATACCTTCGAAAAACATGTTTACTGTAATGGATAAGCTTATGATAGATATTTAATCCTGTCAGATGTGATAAATGATTTAGTCCATGCCTTGAAATGATGCATATATATGAACTCACTCGACTAGGCCTCCATACTTTGCTTTTTATTCGGACAAGAAGGAAGTATTGGATCGATTTATCTAGACGAGCAGATTATTTGTTTAGTACACCACTTTGTTGATTATAAGTCTTGGCCATTAAAAAATAAATGCTTAATATTTAATTAAATATAATATATCTTAGAAGAAAATAAATTTTAATAAAAATAAATATATGATATTTAATTATTTATATATGTATATATTTGTATACTAAATATCAACTACTGGTAATGATGTAGTCTATCAGCGAAGCTCTCAGCCTCCAACTTATCCTTTAAGCCATAGCTTTGGCTAGTCCTAACAAAAAAAAAAAGATCTAAATTTGCTCAATATAAAAGGTAGACAAATATGGGGTGTGTTCTTTTTTTTTTTTTTGTATTGTTAGATGGATATAATTGATGCATTAGGTGCCTTAAATAATACTTTGTATTGTATTATTGATTTTTTTAGTGAAAAAAAGAATATATATTATATTGTGTTAATATATACTTGCTCCGTTGTTCAAATCTATGCTTACTTTTCTTTTTGGATTGTCATCGAAAATTATTTTCGTTTCTCTTTTTAAGTAAAAAATTATTATATTTTTGTATTTTTTTTACTATAAAAGAAAAAATTAATAATTATTACTCATTTTTATTTTTATTTTTAAATTCACCTAACCGGGTCATTAATTACTCGTCATCCTCACACATTTTAGAAAATGACAATAACTATAGAGTGATGTGTGTTTGCTTCTTCGTACTCGAGTCGGATGGCTTGCTCCTTGCACTCTCGTGAGGCCGGAAACATCCATTTTTATTTTTTTCAAGAATTCTTTTAGGAAAATATCCTCGTACAAAACAATATTAATCCATTCATCATCATGAATGATTTTAAGACAATTTTAAAAAACTTTTGATGAACGCCTCGATGGCTTGATGGCCTTGTTTGTGGCCATATCATCAAAATATGAGCAAAATTTCACACCATCAAGTCATCACTTAGTTAACAATCTACTCTTTTTTTTTTTCTTTTTTTTTTTTACTTTTATTACGTGGGAATCCGCAGTCGCTACCGGAAAGTGTGCACTGGATAAACTTCCAACCAAACTTAATACCTTGTAAACCAGGCCCGGAGTTAACAATTTATTACATGGGAATCCGCAGTCGCTACCGGAAAATGTGCACTGGATAAACTTCCAACCAAACCTAATACCTTGTAAACCAGACCCGGAGTTAACAATTTATTACGTGGGAATCCGCAGTCGCTACCGGAAAGTGTGCACTAGATAATCTTCCGACCAAACCTAATACCCTATAAAACAGGCCCGGAGTTAACAATCTACTCTTGATTCTTGAATGAGTCAAGTACATCAATATGCAAATATTTAATTTAATTCACTATAGCATATTATTATTAACTATCTTAGTAAATTGTAGCCACTTCAAGTAATTAACCATTTCATATTATAGGTACATGAAACAAAATATTATGCATATTCCAATACACAATTTTTAAATCCTCAAAGGCCAAATTTTGTTGGAACAATTAAAGCTTGCATTTTATGTTGTCACTTGATAAAAAAGAAAATCCTCAATTCTTGAAACCTTAATCTAGATTCCACAAATCCCAAAAGCTGGCAAGATCTTCTTCAGTGTCCATCCCTTGATCATCAATCTACAACAAAAAAACATAAGATAATAAAAATATTAGAGACAAATTAATAGGTAGAAAAAAAAAAAAAAAAATCTCCAAGATTTTTCTACCATTTAATTTCTAATTTGATCCTAATGCATATTCATATGAAAGAACTTATATATTACATTTTATTTATGAAAGTGATTTTAGTTTCACATTATTTTTTTTTTTCTTCACCCTTATATTATTTTAATTCAAAATTTTATTTTACGATCCTTAATGTCACAAATTAAAACCCTAATTAATTTAGTTTACCTGGCTTCCATAGTCATAGCCGAAAGGTATAAAATCATCAAAATTGGCGGCAAGACCGGGGTCAAAGGCATCTCCTAAGGCCGGCTGGATCATCGGGGCAGCTGGTTCAGCTGCCGTCTTATTCATTCCTTGATCATTATTTTCGACCACTGGATTCATTGTCTGAAGATTTGTGACATCATTGTTGGTCGAGACATTGTTGCTCGAAGGGGGCAAGGATTCCATGCCTTGGAATGGTGCAATTGAACTGTGTGGCGCCGAAATTTCTGTAATAACCGGAGGGACTAATCCCAACCCCTTCGGCGCCAAAGAACTTGTTGATGCCACGGTACCTTGCACTTGCTTTGATGAATCTTGCCGGAATTTCTGCGCATGGTCGGAATTTGGACAAGAAATGTTGGATCAATTTATCAATTTCAAGACAAGCTTCGTGTGTGGTGTCGATTATTTGCTTACATCGGATAATATAAGGATAAAAGAATAGAACAAGATCCAATGTAAGAAAATAGTAGCCTTATTTTCGAGAAAATTTGGCTACTTATTATTTACATTCGCTCTCGTTCTGTTTTTAGGTATGCATTACTTAATGCACCTTTAATTCGAAGTAATATAATTGACTTGACTTTATTAATTGATCTTATTTTTTTAAATACTTACTAATCATACATATCAATAATTCACACATCTCATAATTTAATTCAAATTTAATCTTTATATCTTTTCAAATTTATTTTTGTACTATTTATCAAAAAAAAAATTTTGAAAAAATTACATCAAATAGAACTATTTTTATTTAAAATATTATATTGAAATTTATTTTCTATTCAAAATATCATATGCAATACTTATTTTCTATTCCAATATTTTGTTATTTCTAGAATTCGAAAACACGTTTAAATATATCCGTACAAACCGTGATGTGTCTATATATATATATATATATTCATACCTGAAGATGACTCGCAACTTGCATTCTCGTCAGACCAGGAACGTTCATATGTTCAAGAATTTCTTTAGGATAACTTCCTGGTACAAAACAAAAATATCAATCCATAATTCATTCCCATGGATGATTTTAAGACCATAAATGGGATCGAAAAATTTGATTAGAAGGAAATTAAGCATCATACTGTCATTGCCAAGCTGTTCAATTGCTTCGAGGAACTTCTTGTGAAGTTCCGGAGTCCATTCCACGGATGGTTTTGGCCTAAAAGATGACTTGAGGCCCGAACCATCGAAGCTAATAATATTGTGATGCTCGACGTGGTTTTTTGCCGTTTGTTTTCCACGATCCGTTGCTTTGCACCTTTTTGATGGACTCGATTTTACCATAATAGTCGAGCCTTTGCTTTTGCCTTTGCCTTTGCATTTACCTTTATCTTTACCTTTACCTTTATCTTCGGCTTTTCGGATTTGGTCATTATTATTTTTTTTACCTTTTCGGATTTGTTCCCTTAGGACATGTTGCCAAAGGTACTTCATGGTACCCTCCGAAATGGGTTTTTCTATGACAAGAAATGCTCCATCTTTTATTGCAATCTTCACCATCGCCTCATCCTTAGCATTCGATGAAGACATCACTTTAATTTGTTTGTCCAGAAAGACAAAAAAAAATAAATGATCAGTCGAACATCGATTAGAATTGAAAGTGAAACTAAAAGAAGTGAATAATTATTAGAGGGGGGGTTTGAAATTAGAGTAGAGTATAGAATTGCAACTATCTAAATAGATGAATAAATTATTAATCGGAGAAAATAGAGTTTTAACCTGTGAAAATTCATAAAGAAATATTTTTTGTGACCTTTTCAAAACAATTATAAATTATATACAATATTTTATAAAATTATATTATAGTATAATTTTTAAAAAAGTTGTAAATATTAAGTACTTGAATAATAAATTTAATGTGATTTTTGTAAAATTAAAATAATATAATTTTAAAATTTTATAAAAATTAAATAGTAAAAAAAAATGATAAAAAAAATTAAAAATAATAACTGAACATTCATTTCCCTCCATTTATATGAAAGGAAGATGAAATCAGAGAAATAAAAATAATTTATTTTTTCAACTTTTTTTTTTCAACATTTATATTTCTCTCAATTCTGTGTACCAAACACACTCTTATTATTATATATAATTAGGGAGTTATGGAAACAAACTGATGGCATTGATGCCCATGGAGATTGCGTCGCGCATGAGTTTGTATCCAGGCAAGTTCATGTCGATCAATGCCACATCAAACTTAACGTCGCCATCGAACATTGCCGAATAGGCACATGAAATATCCTCAAACGCTGTCACTGCAATGACAACATATGCGTGTATATATATATATACACGGTTGTGGTTACAGTACTAAATGATTTTATTCAATCAAGACATCAAATATAAATGAACAATACATTAACGCTTCTATTAGGGTGTTGATTGAAGTTTATCACCATTATATTGATTATCCAAATCAGCACGTATAATTACTTTAGACACTGTACTAAAATAGAATTGACAATGCATATTATATAAAATGTTTGCTTACACTAACAATTTTATTTTATACTCCATTCGTCGGGCTCTAAGGGTTTCATTTATTTTTTTTTTACTCCCCTCATAATTACTTTCAAACTATGGCGGACATAACCGGATTCATACATAAAAAATTTTTCAAACTAAATTCAAAACCGTCACAAATATAACCGGATTCATACATAAAAGTTTTCAAAATAAATTCGAAACCGTCGCAAATATAACCGAAATCACTCATAAAAGTTACTGACATAAACTTCAAACGGTCGCCCAACATAACCGAATTCACACATAAAAGTTTGCGCAAGTGAGCTTGTCACAAATTGAAGTAAGGTTCGATGTAGAAACTCGAAATCAAGAACGCAAAAGATCAAAGCCAATTCAACCTATGATCCTAATCAAATAAATCTAAACCGATTGTTAAATCAACATCAAAGAAAAAAAAAAAAAAAAAAAACTTTCATTTTTACTATTCGATTTTTCAAAATCTCTACAAAAACATTATATATAATACATGATTTTATATAATTCATATATATATAAACACGAAGCTAGCAATTCCAAATGAATAATATGTCCCGATTCTCCCACATGAAAAAAAAAAAAAAAAAAAGGAGGCCAAACACAACCGTGTTCATATTACGTACCTTTAAAACACATAAAGAAAAACAAGAACTCATCACAAATAAAACATGCGATCGAATCGAAATCCTAAGTCGAATCATAAAATTCTCACAAGAAGAATAGTTAATAACATATAATACTAATTAATAATACCTTTAAATGGATAAGATTGCAGCTTTCGAGCAGTGTCGAGAAGAGAATCCATGTCACTATCAACCACAAGCACGTGCACTGAAACAATCCTTGGATCGTGAAATGCCATTGATCGATCGATCAATAATCCTACTATAAAATTTAAACTGATAATAATTTAATTCAAAAACCAAATTAAATTATTTTATTTTATTTTTGAAATCCTTTTCTCCAGAAGATGATATATGAGAACGAAACTGCTGATCACTACTGCAATTATAGGTTGGGGAATTATATGGTCTGAAAAAAAATAAAACACAATTACATATATATATATATATATAGTACTACAGAAAGTAAAGGAAAGGAAGTTCAGTCAGGCAAGAAACAATGTGGTAATTATTTATTTATTTATTTAGATTTAATTAGAAAAAATGTGTAGAAGAAACTTGTAACTGATGTGAGCATAGCTTTGCATTTTCTGCCAAAGTCAAACTGTAATATAGAAATTGTTGGGAGTTATATTTTCCTTTTATCTATGTTTGGTTCGAGGGAAATGGAGAAAATTTTATGATATTTGATTTATGTATTTTTTTTTTATTTTTTTAATGGGAAGGAGAAAATTAGGGTGTGTTTATCCGTGGAATTTTGGTTTGGGGCGTTGTTTGACAATTAGCTAATAGTTGTTAGCTGTTAGCTGATTCGATTAGCTCTTTGTATTTAAATGTTTGGTAAAACAACCGTTTGATATTAGTTGTTTAAATGTAAAATGACAGTCGAATACATTTCTATTTTATTTTATTTTTTCTAATATATTCAATTGTGTTTTTTTAGTTTAGAATGTTTGAATTTTTTTTTATTAGTTATTAAAAATTGTAAAAGTGTTATAAAATAGTATTTATTTTTATTATAATTAGATTTAAAAAATAATATATTTTTATTAAAAAATATATATAGTTTTTTTTTCTATTAAAAATGGATGTAAAATATAAAATAATATATTTATCGTGTTAATTATTGATTAGTTCCTTATATTTATAATTTTCAATAAATTTAATTTGTTTAATTTTTTTTAGTATAAAATTTATATAATCTAAATTTAATATAAAAATAAATTATTAATATTTATATTTTCTGTTTTATGTTGATTTTAATAAATTTATATATTTTACAATTAAAATAATTTTTATATAAAAATTAATTATTTTAAATTTATAAAAGTAAAACTATAATATAATAAAATATTCTAATATAATTAATAAATAATTAAAATATATATATATTTGTGTAAAATGTATAATAAATTTTTAATGGCAAAGAAGGAATAAAAAAATTTGAACTACTGAGTAGTTAGCTTTTCAAAAATTAGTTTTTTTTGCAAAAAAAAAACTAATTTACCAAACACTTTCACCGGTCAAACTGCTAAAAGCTCTTGAAAAAAACTCTTTGCTAAACACCCTCTTGGTTTTTGGTTTTGAATAATAAAATTTTGAATTGAAATAGTTGTTTGATATGATATTTTGAATGTAAAATTAAATTTTAATGTAATATTATAAATGAAAATAAGAGTTTGATTTGATAATTTTTTTAGGAAAAAAAAAAACATTGAAGAAGTAAATTTAAAACTAAAATTGCACAAGTAAATACACCTACAATATTTCCTTTTCTCTCCAATTTGGAGGAATTAAACAGGCGACAATTAGAGTACTGATTTCACTAAAAATCATCATATTAACTTGAAATAATAGTATTTCATCGTAATTTTAACAATATGTATTGTGTTATATATATATTGTAATGTGTCGTTCTCCATGAAATTATATAATGTATTGTTAAAATATACATTATATATTTTATTAACATATGTTGTCGGATATGTTATATTTTTTTTTATAAATATGTGCTGATTAGATCGACACTGTGAAAAATTGATCCAATCAACAACCAAAACTAATTAAAGATGGGAGAGAATTATATTGAAATTTTTGTAATTAATTATTTTTCTATAATACTCTTAATGCTTATATCCTTCGATTCTATACTTTACAAGTAATTTTTAATTTTATCAAATAATAATATAAAATTAGAACAATATTATTACAATTTTAATTGTTTCGCTCCCTACATTTCTCCTCTATTAAATTTTCTACCCTTCCCTACGACCTGCTGAACCAAATGCTCCCTTAAAATTTGCATTTGTATTTGAGTTTATTAAAATAATAAAAATTTATATTGAAATAATATTTGATGTGATATATATTGAATGAAATATAATTTTTAAAATGCTCCCTTTGTTGAGAGTAATATATTGATTTTTTCACTAGATTTAAAAATTAATAGTAATATTTTTGTAATATATTTAAAATTATAAAAACATTATTTATGATGATTGGTAAAAATACATTTTTTTTTTCATCACGAAACACTATCAAATATTATTTGAATAGGTAAATAGTTGGAATATATTTTAATGTAAGAATTATTTATTATAAATAAAAATACATTAATAAAAACAATAGATGTGTTTTCATACTATTACTTAATAAAATATAATAAATGGTAAAAAATCTTGAATTAAGCATAATAAGTTGTGTATATTTTAAAATCTTCTAAAATATAAATTATTGTAACTAAAATACATAACATTTTACCGAATTAATAATACCACCAACAAAAAATAAAACTCTAATTAAATAGTAGTGACAAATTATTACTCCTGCTAAATTTTCTTCGAACTTCCTATACGTAAAAGTGAAACCACTCATTTCTTGGTAAGTGGTCCGCGGACCAGATTCCTTCTGGACGATCTCGCCCGTTGAAGACGCGATTCAACAAAATAAACGGCTACGATCATCCAATATTATTTCAATTGATCATGCCTCGCACCACACATTTTTCAAAATGTGTAGTCCGTGGACCAGATTTATCTGTGGAGATCTGGAGCGTCCATTTCTTGGCCCCATAAATTTGACGGCTCAGATAAGCCAATAAGGTCGGGACCAGATAGCCTGCGCCCATATGGTAGAATTCCACCGACATCCGCCCCTATCTTTTCCCTAATTGCCGCAGAGACGAGAAAAAAACCTACCCTCGATTCGACTTCGGCGATAAGGGTTTCCATCTTCATCGAGTGTCAACGCCGCCCGGTCGCGGGCCCAGTCGTCGATCGGGACGCCACCAAAATCGTCGCCGCGGTATGAGTCGTTGCGATCTTGGATCCCGATTTTGCAGAATGTGACGTGGCTATTCGGTCCGTCAGTCTTTGAGTTTGTCTGCTGTGTTAATCGGGTAACTTTTCGAGGCTCGTCTGTTTCTTTAAGATAAAATTAGAATTGATGTTCATGTGATGTTTGTATTACTGTTTTTACTGTTTTAATTTTGCTTAATTGGGGATTTTTAGTCGATGGAAGGAAATGAATGGGGAGGGTGAAGGGTTTAGGGTTGTGTTTGTGGGAAATTGGTTCCTAGTCTGAAGTTTGATTGATGAATTTAGAGTTTGCGTGCGGAATTAGGGAAATGAATTGAATTTTGTTGTTTTGACATCACAGAAGTTATGGATTCTACATCTGGGAACGGGAGTCGTGAAGACGTTGTTTCTGTGGATATGAATGTTGATCTTGCTCATACGGAGTTGGGCAACGGAGCTGGTGAAGTTGATGCGGGGAAGGTCTCATCTATAATCCGTCAGTTGGAGTCTAGATTGGCAGTAGGCCAAGTGGTGGCTGATATAGAAGAGGCGTATTCGTTGTACAAAACTTATGCATTGGCTAAAGGTTTTAGTGTGAGGAAATCAAAGAATCGGTACTTTGAGAAGACGCAAGAAGTCCGGCTGAAGGTCTTCTTGTGCAACAAAGAAGGGGAGAAGCATAGTAAACCTAAGAAAGGGAACCGTGTGAAGTCAGATTTTAAAACAGGGTGTAAAGCTAGGCTTGAAATTTCGCGAGAGAGGAATAGTGAGTGGAAGGTGAAGCAATTTCACGTTGATCACAACCATGAATTGGCCCTTCCCGATGAGACTCACTTGTTAAAATCAGCTCGCGATATGACAGTGGGTGTTGTTGGAGTCTTGGAGAACATGTTCAGTTTTGGAAAAGGCTCCTCTGATGCATTGAGTTATGTAGAAGAAGAGTGTGGTGAAGAAGATAGTAGGGGTTTAAATGTCAAGGATGCATATAACCTGATAAATGTTATAAAGAGATCAAAGATTGACAGTACGGATTGTAGAGGATTGTTTCAGCATTTCCAGAATAGGGCTAGCCAGAATGATTGTTTCTTTTGGGATGCAGAATTCAATGAACTTGGTTTGATGAAGAATTTTTTTTGGAGGGATAATAGATGTGGTGTTGATTATGACTATTTTGGCGATGTAGTTTCTTTTGATGCCACCTACAGAATCAACAAATATAACTTGATTTGTGCGCCATTTGTTGGGATCAACCATCATGGGCAAAATGTGATGTTTGGGTGTGCCTTTCTGTCGGATGAAACTGTTATGACGTTTGAGTGGTTGTTCAAGACTTTCGCAAGAGCTATGGGAAATAAGCATCCCCAAACAATCTTCACAAATCCCTGCCAAACTATGTCAATGGCCATCGAGAATGCGTTTCCCAATACATGCCATCGATTTTGCCAATGGCATATAAAAAAGGACGCACCCTCCCATCTTGGAAGCCTTAACAACAATGCAAAGTTTAAAAGTTTGTTCAAGAAATGCTTGGATGGTTGTGAATCAGAAGCAGATTTCGAGGCAACTTGGAACGAAATGATCAGCAATCATGGTTGCCATAACAACAAGTGGTTGAATGATATGTATGAAGTACGCCAAAAATGGTCCACTGCTTACTATGGCAATGAGTTCAATGCTGGGCTTAAGTCTACCTGTCGTAGCGAAAGTGGAAATCATGTCTTGAAAGAGATTAGTGATAAGGCCACTTCTTTGTACAACTTTGTGATTGCTTTCGAGGAACTTGTGGCACGTTGGCGTGCAAAAGAGAAAAATGAGGATTTCAATTGCAAACAAGGGAAGCTCACGCGTGTTGTAAAGCATAGCCCATTGCTGAACCATGCTGGGAATGTTTACACGAATGCATTTTACAAGAAATTTGAACAAGAGCTAATGAATGGCACGATGGCCAACTCAAGGGTGAGTAAATTTTCATGTGGCGGCACGTCATATATGTATGAAGTGATTTCTCATGAAACCGAACAAGTTAGAAGTTTGGTTTTTGATACAGCTACCATGGATGTGAAATGCAGTTGCAAAAAATTTGAGGCTACCGGCATCCTTTGTTCGCATGCTTTGTTAGTGTTCACAACTGAAAATGTGCATAAAATTCCCGAGAGATATATTGTTAGTCGGTGGACCACGAATGTGAAGAATAAGATAGAGCACAGCGATCCGCGGACTGGAAATGATTCCGAGGTGGTTTATTCCAATCAGATCATGAGATTCACTCATGATTTAATCATGAGAAGTAAGTCGCATTTGGAGACGAGGGAAATTCTGGCAAGATGCTTAGAGGATGCAGCTTCCAAAATAGACAGCTTTTTTGTTAGACTGAACTCAGAAACTAATTCATCTAGACACACAGGAATGAATAATGCAGTAAGCATCATGGAAGCTATCGGAATAAATAGCGACACAGGTGGTGTCGATGCTCCCGTTGAGTCAAGAAGGGTTTCAAATGCAGCGCTGAGCCTGTGTGAGATAAGTAACAAAAGAAAGCCTCCACAGACCGGCGAATCTTCGGGTAAGAAGATTTTTTTAGTTTTAAATTTAAGTTATGATTTGTTTTTTTGGCCTGCATCTTTTTATTAAATTGTGCAGTTTACAATGCAGGGAAATTGAAAAAGAATCCTCGAGATAAATTTCAACCTTGCCCGCCGCAAATGTCAAATCCCGGTCTTTCACAGTCAGTTATGCCCAGAGCTTGTGAACAACCTACCTATCCAACGCAGGCAACGCCGATAATGCTTCATTCGATTCATACAGAAATCAATGCCCCGTCACAAATGTTTTATGCATTGCCCACCGGGAATAATGGCATGCATGCCCAGGTATTGCAATTCCGACTATCTATATCTTATATGTAATTGAGAAAATAAGCTACTTGATTTCATTTTTATTTTGATTATGCAATTGCAATATTGCATTTGCTTTTTGTACTTAATCAGTTAATTGGGCTGTCGATGATTATTCTGAAACACACTAAGTTAGTACAGAAAAATTAATTTACTCAAGTTTTAGTTTCTCATCATGTTGGTAATTTTTAGGGGGCGACGAGGGATTCTTGAACACCTGGGAGTTTGCTGTACGCCATTTCAATATAAGCCGTTCAATGAAATGCTCATTTCTTTTCAAGTGAAGAGCATATTTGAATACTTTTAGGCTGTCTGTCCTCAGTCACTTTGGAAAGGACTCGCTGTAAATTTTATGATTGTCAAGAGTAAGATTGTCGATCAATACTGGTAGCCCTTTTATGCTCTTTTTTTTTTTTTGGTTGGCAATTCAAGACTCCTTTGCCATTTGAATTTGTGTAGCTCTCAACTTGCCATGCCTTCACCTGTCGTTGTGTTGTCCGTGTACTGTGCTGTGTTATTAAAATGAACTCAGAACTACTTCCTACATGCTCGAAACCCCTGCTGGTCTTGTTATTTACATTTGCCTGTGCTGTGTTTTTCGCTGGTTGGGTATGTATGAATTTATACAAGTCGATGATATTTCAGCATCGATCATCTTCTCTTATGTGCTGCCGGTTCTTACTATTTACTTGCGAATTTCTACTGTCCGTGTTCTTGGCATATTGCTTATTAGTTCCGATTTGGGCTCTGATCTCTTCGTAGCAGCACCGGGGTTAGCAGCGCGCCGGCGAAAATGGTGAGGGATTATTTAACAGGCAGAGTTTCTAAGACATAACAGGTGAAAGGTACTTTCAGTCATAGTTTTAGCTGTGTTTCTTGAAACTTTTTTCTTCAAATGTGACTTATAAAATTTGTAATGTTTTTAATTAGCTTTTGTATTGTTTATGTGATCATAATTTTATATCAAGTATATGTATCTCCTAGTTTTATGCATTTTTATAGGAATAAATTATTATTTTTTTAATTATAGTAAAAGTAAATATATTTAATTACTGGAATATTCCTAATTTTTAGGAAAAAAAAATTATTTGATTTGTACTTCTAAAACAAAATTATCAAAATTATTTTATAAAGATAAAAAAAATGATTAACTATCTAGATAAACTAGTTTAATAAATTTGTACAAGTCTATAAATATAGTAATTGCAAGTGAATAATATCTATAATATTTATAACATGAAACTTTAATTTGAAAAGAATATATGTATTTCAATTCATAAAAATAAATATATTTTATTAATCGAGGGAGCTCGTAAAATTGCAAGATAAAGTTAAATATAGTATCTTGAGTTTTTTATTTTTTTCTCTTTTGTATTATACAAATTAGAGATTTTCTTTAAAATAATTTTTTTTTTAATATTACATTCGATATTTATTTTCTATTAAAAATATTATATAGTTAAATTTATTTTTATTTTTAAATATTCCATCTAATACCTATTTAACGTTTGGTCGGATATCGTCTGATGGATTTGATTAAAAACTAATTTTATTATTAGAATAAAGTAGGGGTAAAAATGATTTTTCACTGGGGTTTAGTATTATTATTTCTCTAACTCTCTTTACAAACTTTAAATCTTAGAAATTTTTAATATAATGTCACGTGTAATAATTAAATCTATCTTTCAAAAGAAAATACTGAGTATTCTAATGATAATTGAATAAAATTATTAATATTTTTTCTAAGATATAATTATGTAAAATTTAGTATTAAGTTAGCTATTAATAAAAAAATAAAATAGCATTTTTAACATTAGTACTAGTATTATTTAATCTCACATACAATTGAAAGATTAATGTATTGTTTACACAAGACATTTTCGTTCATTTGACACTATTTATTTTTAAAAAATATTATATCAAATACATTTTTTTTCTCTCATAGGAGCATCTCCAATCTCAGCGGGTTAGTTTATTTGCCATCGGTTGGAGCGCCAATTTTTGTGTTGCACTGTAGCAACGTAAAAAAAATGGCCGTTGCTTTTATATATATTTTTTTAAAAAAAAAAATTATATTAACTTTAAAATTTATTTTTTATTTTTCTAATTTTTTTTAAAGATTTTTAATTATAAAAATAAAAAGTTGTTTAAAATAATAAGAAAAATTGAATATTTGAAAAATAAAAGTTGGAATAAAATTACTGTAGCAACTGCATATTTTGAATTAAAACCGGATAAATGGAGTTGATAGGTTGGAGATGGCCAAAACATCAAATCAAATATTAATTTTTTACTTTTTTTTCAAATTTTCAAAAACCTCCAAGAACTCTATCTAAACAAACCCTAAGATTGTATTCTTTTGTGTGTTTTACGGTAGGTTTTTACTATCTAAATTATTTTTTTTCCTTCTAAAAGATCACATTAAACAATTACTTTTCGTTTTTTATATTATACTGCAAATTTATTTTACATTCAAAATATCACATCGATCTCTATTTATATCATATCAAACAACGGTTCAAATTCAACTTTTTATTATTAAAAAATTCAAACCCAAAAACTAAAACACACCCTAATAATTATTTTAATTTTTAAATTTTATAATTTTTTTAATTTCAATTAAACTATTTAATTATTTTAATTTTAATCCATAATATTTTTTCTATACTTAAATATTTTTATTAATATAATTTTTTAATTACGCATTAATTATATTTTATTTAAATTTATGTATCTACATACATACTCATATTAACTAGGATGGGGAGTACTATTTAAAGAAGGACGTATATATGTACTATTTTATATATTACTATTATTTAATTTATGTATATAATAAAATTAAATTAAAAGTATTTCATTAATTCATAATAAATCTAAACTTTTAACTACACCTCCAAACTTACATCCAAACAAATATACATGCATTTTTGCATTTTTATTTTTAAAAAATTTCAAAATAATTTGTTTTTATTATAGTTAATATTAATTTGAAATATAGTATCGATTTTAATTTTTATTTAAATAAAATTTTAATATATTATTTTGTAAAAAAAATAAATATATTTTTTTATTAAAAAACTTAAAATTTGAATGTTATTAATTTTAATTTAAAATTGTAACCAAATACACCTTCAATTGCATATATGTTGAGGTAAATAATATGTTATACCCAATAATATAAATATAACATCTTATTGTGCATTTAATAGGATATACTTAAGTAAAATTGGTTATAACTCCTACGTGGTTTTGAAGTTCAGCGTAAAATCTCTCTATATTTTAAAAATTGCATAATACCCCTTTATATTTTAAAAAACGTTGCATGAAACCCCACCACCATGAAACTTTCCTCGTGTGATAAAAAGATGATTTATTATCTATATATTTTGCATGGTATGGGGGTTTTATGCAATATTTTTTAAAGTATAAATGAGTCTTATGCAATTTTTTAAAGTAAAATGGAGATTTATGTTGAGTTTCGAAACCACAAGGAAGTTATGGGCAATTTTGTCATGTACTTATATAATAATTATGAATTGATTAAATTATAAATATTATATACTTCAATTATACAAAAAAAAAAAAAATACTATTATATACTTTAAACATACAAAATTATACAATAAATAATATTAATTTCAATTTAACTTCACTTATTGATATTCCCATCTCTAAGATAGATTTTAGTCACTCTATAGTAGGTAGTCAAATAAATCTACATGCTCAATCTAAATAAATAAAAGTAGCTTAATAGAAATTATACAATAAATAATATTTCCTCTGTCACATTAAAATGTTGTTATTTTATATTTTCGTCTGTCCCAAAACAAATTTATCATTTTTTAATTTAGTAATTGTACTATCTACCTAATATAATAAATACCCTTCTAACTTACTTTATATTACACAAATATCATTACTTTTATATTACACAATACTAATAAGGATATTTTTGTTTTTTTCACTACAATCCATTATAATACTAATATTCAAAAATTTATGTGCAAAAAATAAACGACAACCTTGCACAAGGATAGAGGGAGTATTATTTTCTCTCTTAATTTCTTTTATTAGCTACTGTCATTCAATAAAAATATATCAATTTTTATATGAAATGAATTTTAATAAAAAATAAAAATATACAATATAAAATGTGCTTTTTATATTTAATTTTTTAGTTTTAATTTTGTGTTTAAATAATAATTAATATATAATATTTTGTAAGAATATTTTGTAATAATATTTTGTGTTCCTTTAGAAAATATAAGTTAAAAGAGAAATGAAAATTAAAATAAATATATAAATAATTTTTTTTTTTGTGTTATTGAAAGTGAGAATTGAGAATTAATAGTAATAAATTACTTTTCATTTTTATTTTTAATTTTCTCATATATATTTTATAAAAAAAAAAAAAAACTTGATATTATGAGACTAAAAAACAAAAATATTATTCCCACAATCTGACCTTTAAGCGTCATATTTATCTTTTGCGTCATTATATTTAACATTAAAAATATTTTTATATTTATATAATTCTTTCATTAGTATTATAAGACACTAATTGGAATATTTTTGTATTTTTTTAATTTGTATTACATTTTGATATAATAATTAATATTAAAAATCAATCCACAAAAAATAAATGAGACATTCACAGTTAGACGAATATAGTACTCCCTCCGTCCCACATACCATGTCCACGTTGCTGTTTATGTCCGTCCCACATACTATGTCATTTTCCTTTTTTGAAAAATGATTATACACTTTAACCTCATTTTAAACTTTTTAATTTATTTTTTTAATTTTAATTAAACTAATTAGTTATATTAATCTTAATTTATAATTATTTATATTATAGGATAATTATTTTCACTAATATATTCTTGATTATCTACTAATTACACCCCTCCTAAAATATCGTGTTTACAGTGTATATTATTTTGAATTTTTGATATGTTAAAAAATTATACAAATATCATATTGAAAAATTTATACCGATAATTCAGCATATCAAATGACTTGTACCATCGATTTATATATCGTTCAATAAAAACAAATATTGAAATTAAAATATTTTTCCTATTAAAAAATAGAAACACAAAATTCAAGAATTCGTATGTATAGTAGCAAAAGTTGTGTTCATCCCACCACAATTTGACGCGATTTCTATTTGTGTCATTCCATAACAATTGATATATTTTTAATTTGGATAAAAATTATTAAATTAAAACATATTTAATAAATATAAATCAATATAATTAACTATATAACATATAACATTATAAATAAAAAAAATCTTTTAAATTAAATATTTGATTTTTTGTAGTAAATATTTTTACATTTTAATTTTTATAAAAAATATTTTTTATTATTATTTATTAGTAGTACTCCCTCTGTCCCGGATAATTTGACCACGTTACTATATACACGAGAATTTATGAGAGGTATAATTAGTAAATAATTAAAAATGTATTAGTGAAAATAATTATCGTATAATAAAAATATTATATATTAAGATTAAGATAATTGATTAGTATAATTAAAATTAAAAAAATTAAAAATTAAAATTTTAAAAATAAAATTAAAGTGTATAATTATTTTTTAAAAAAAAAGTGAAAAAATAAATGGTAGTGACGGAAATGGAAAGATGGATATGAGAAGTGGGACGAAAGGAGTATTATTTTTTAAATAGCAATTAAAAAATGGTGCAAATTCAAGGACAAACACACCCGAGGGGCAATTAGCAGTGTAATTACAGGAAATGACAAAAAGCTGTCTTTTTTATTATAAGTATAACAAAACGGCGAAGAAAGACATTAACCTCGCTCGGCTCGATACTCCATTCCATTCATCTCAAAGGGTTTTCACTTCCCTTCCAATTTCAATTTCTAGGGCACTCAGCTCCATCTTCCCCACCTCCAACACTCGCTGGAATTCCGTCAGAATCTTCGCCATACCATGCCTCATCACGATTCCGGCGCCCGATCTTGCAGAATGTAGCCACCTCTTCGTTTCCCTACTTTCGCTTTAGGTCACTGCTTTCGGCAGGTAATTCATCGTTGCAATCCAGTCCTTTTTAGGTTTTTTCTTTGTTGGGATGAATGCTTCATACAGCCTTTTTATCGCTATTGTTTTCCAGTGAATTTCCTTTCATGTCTAGGGTTGAAATGATAGAACATAAGTAAGCTGGTCGGGGAAGGGTTGTTATGGGTTACAGTTTTGGGGATCGTGGACTGTAGTTTGAACTTAAAATTGTAGATAATTGGGATGTGCGTATAAGATCATGACGATTGATTCGTATGTTGTTTCTGTTTTGGAAATGCAGAAAAGAATGGATTCTACATCTGGGAGTGGCAGTAGGGATGAGGCCATTTCTGTTGATATGAATGTTGATCTTGCTACAACGGAATCAGCTAGTGGAGGTGGAGAGGTTGATGCAGGGAAGGTGGCTTCGATAATCAGGCAATTGGAAGCTAGACTGGCAGTAGGTCAAGTAGTGGCCGATATCGATGAGGCGTATTCGTTGTACACAACGTATGCATTGGCTAAAGGCTTTAGTGTCAGGAAGTCGAAAAATCGGTACTTTGAGAAGACTCAAGAAGTCCGGTTGAAGATGTTTCTATGTAATAAAGAAGGGGAGAAGATTAGTAAACCTAAAAAGGCAAGCCGCGCTAAATTAGAGACGAAAACGGGGTGTAAAGCGAAGCTGGAGATTTCGCGTGAGAGGAATAGTGTGTGGAAGGTTAGGCAGTTCCACACTGAGCACAACCATGAATTGGCGCTTCCTGATGAGGCTCAGTTGTTGAAATCTGCACGTGAGATGACGGTGGGTGTGGTTGGGGTGTTGGAGAAAATGTTCAGTTTTGGAAAAAGCCCATCAGATGCTTTGAATGACGTTGCAGGGGAAGATGATAAGACCTTAAATTTTAAGGATGCTAACAGCCTGATTAATGTTATCAAAAGTGCGAAGATCAATACTGTGGATTGTCGGGAATTGTTCCAATATTTTCAGAGTAGGGTTAGTTCGAATGACGGGTTTTTTTGGGATGGAGAATTTAATGAACTAGGGTTAATGAAAAATATCTTTTGGAGGGACAGCAGATGTGGCATTGATTACGACTGTTTTGGTGACGTTGTTTCCTTTGATGCCACCTATAGAATCGAAAAAGATGATTTGATTTGCGCGCCATTTGTTGGGATCAACCATCACGGACACAACGTAATGTTTGGGTGTGCATTTCTGTCCGACGAAACAGTTCAGACATTTGAATGGTTGTTTGGAACTTTCTTGAGAGCAATGGATAACAAGCACCCACAAACATTGTTTACGAATCCATGCAAGGTAATGATGACTGCCATTCAGAATGTGTTTCCAAATACATGCCATCGATTTTGCCAATGGCATATCATGAAGGATGCAACATGTCAGCTTGAAAGCCTTATTGACAATGCCGAATTTAGAAGCTTGTTTGAGAAATGCATGGATGGCTGTGACTCCGAAGTGGATTTTGACGGGACGTGGAATGGAATGATAAACAACTATGATTGCCGTGACAACAAATGGTTGAATGATATGTACAACCTTCGTCAGAAATGGTCTACATTATACTATGGGGATGAGTTTAATGCTGGATTTAGGACTACCTGTAGAAGCGAACATGGAAATCATGTGTTGGAAGAAATTAGTAATGAGGTCTCATCTTTGTATGAATTTGTGATCACCTTTGAGGAGCTTGTGGGACGGTGGCGCAGAAAGGAAAGGATCGAAGATTTTAATTGCAAACAAGGGAAGCTGACACGTGGCCTGAAACACAGCCCTCTACTGAATCATGCTGCGAGTGTTTACACAAATGCAGTCTACGAGAAATTCGAACTAGAGCTGATGAGTGGTACCATGGCAAATTCAAGAGTTAGTAAAGGTACTTATGGGGCCACATCATGGATGTACGAAGTAATTTCTCATGAGACAGATCAAATTAGGACTTTGGTTTTTGATACAGCTACCTTGGAAATTAAGTGCAGCTGTAAAAAATTTGAGTCAATGGGCATCCTTTGTTTGCATGCACTATTAGTATTGACAACTGAAAATGTGCACAAAATTCCTGAGAGATATATTCTCAGTCGTTGGACAACAAATGTGAAGAGTAGGATAGAAAATGGCGACACAAGGAATGTAAATGATCCCGACATGGCCGATCCCAATCAGTTTCTCAGATTTACTCATGACTTAATCATGAGAAGTAAGCAACACTTGGAGACAAGGGAAATTCTCATCAGATGCTTAGAGGATGCAGCTTCAAAAATAGACAACTTCTTCCTTAGGCTGAACTCAGAAACAAAATCGTCTAAACGGACAGGAATGACTAATGTATCAAACATCATGGAAGCTATAAATAGTGAGACGGGTGGTTTTGATGTTCCTATCGAGCCAAATAGAGTTTCTAATGCAGTGCTAAGCCTTTGTGAGATAAGCAACAAGAAAAAGCTGCAACCAGCTGCTGAATCTTCAAGTAAACAATAAATTTTACTAAAATTTTGGCGCTGAATCACTCACTTCCTGCAATTTTGTTATTCCACACTTTTCTTGTATGCAGGGAAATCGAAGAGGGCTGCTACAGATAAATTTCAGACTTTGCCGCAGCAAATGTCACTTATGAGCCGAGCTTGTGAACCAACTGCATTCCCTTCAGAAACAGCTCAACTGTTGTTTCATCCAATTCACTCGGAAATGAACCCTGCTGCGTCACAAATGTTTTATGCATTGCCTACTGGGAATATTGGCATGCATGCCCAGGTACTGAAATGAGGATTATTGTCTTCAAATGCTAGGCGAATTTGACTACCTCTCCTTTTGTTTCGTGAAAATATGCCTTGTTGTATTTGGTATATTTTTTTTTCCGTAATGGTGATAGATAGTAAAGACTTCGAAACATGTGTTTGTTTGAGGGTTTGAATTTTGGGTTTAGATTTTTTAATAGTAAAATTTTGAATTTGAATAGTCATTGATGTAATATAAATAGGTAATTATGTGATTATTTTTTTATGTAAATTTGATTTTTAGCATAATATAAAAAATAAAAAATAAAAAATAGGAGTTCGATTTTATGTTTTTTTGTGGGAAAAAATTAATTGGACACTGAAAATTCTTGAAAAAATAAAAGTTGTCATTTTAAAACTAACCTAAACAATGACAAAACTAGAGTCTGGAAAAAATGTGTCAATATTATTCGAGTTATATATGGTAAAATATAATTGGCAATAAATATTTTGTTTTAATCACATAACTTGGAGGCCATTAAATTCGATTGAAGAATAGGAGCCTGAGTTGGATGGCTGATGTTATTGTACGCATCAACGTTAATCATTCAGAAAGTTATGGGACTAAACGAGTAAAAATTGGTGCATATTATGAGACTTTTAAAATGCGGTGCTAAGATTAAACTGTGCGACATCATTGTACTAAATAGTAATAGTTCTCTTGATGCAACTAAATGCTCAGTTTCGACAAAGCTATATATAAGTTAATCATCTATTGTGACATGGTTATTTTCTTATCAAGTTATCTTGGCAATCTACAGGGGTCGTCGCGGGATCCTTGAAAAACCATGACTCCTACTTTGTACCTGCTCTTGATTTTGAGGTGTTGAGAGATGCATTTTTTTGGGTCAAGCCGAGGAATGTTTGGATACTTCAAAAAACTACATTCGAGAAACTCACTGTAAATTTTATGCCTTCATGAGCAAGATGTCATTAATTCATACTTGCTGCTTCTAATCTGCTATTGGCCAAATTGTTTCTATTTCAAATATGGGGCTCGACTTATCTGCCTTTACATTATGGCCGTTGCTGGTTGTTCGATCATGGCTCTGTATACAGTGTAATTAAAGTTGTTTTAACCTTGTTCGCCGTGTATTACTGTGTGGTGCTATTGTTGCTAGTCATTAACCGTGAATTGTGTGATCATATGCCCGTGTGCTATTTTTGCTTCCATGTCATGGCTTCTGCTCATATCATTCCTTTTGCTGTCTGGCTTCATAGATGCAAAAATTTTGCGGCAAAGCTGGTTTTAGAAGGTGTAGTTAGAGTTTTGTGTTTCTACCAGTTTCTGCGTGTACATTTCTAGTCTCGTGGGTTCCTAATCAAATCAGAAAAATGTTACTGTTGTCGTAAGTGCTCGTTATGATCGATATTGATTAAGAGTTAGATGTTTTTGAAAGATATAGCTGAATCCAAATTGGTAAAGCCACGGCGGCGCCCCTTGTTCTTCTGTAAACTCTCTTTGCTGGGGTTTATATAGCATTGAAGTTTGTCTGTTGATTTCATTTATATAATTTTATCGCGCAAAACCTCTTGTGTGGTTTGATGTTGAGTTGGGCATTAGTGATATGGTATAGTCCTGCATTATGTTATTTGAGTTGTGACATTAATCCTATGATGCTTTATTATGCCTACAAAGTTTCCATTAATCTGCATTTTTTCCGAATGGTCGAAGATTTTGCCGTGGGTTGAAATCCTTTTGATTTACGGACTCTGAAGAGTAGCGACCGTGAGTTTCTCGTGAAAAAAATACTAAAAAATACTAAGAGACTATTTTATTGACTGACTTGATTTGCAAAGTTTTGCATGCTCCTTCCGTCCAATTTAAATTGAGATCTTTCATTGTTGGTGTACCAAGTAGTGCCATTTAGTGAATTAATAATAGTAATTTATGATAATTTTTATTTATTTATCATGTGAATAATAATGTTGATATTTTTCTAAGTAAAATTTAATATGTATATATATATGAATAAATTATATAATACAATTAAATAAGAAAAATATTTTATTTATTATAATTAACCTAAATTATTTGTTTTAAAGAAAATATAAAAAGTTTTAAATGTAAATAAAAATGTTTGGGTATTGATGAGAAATAAATATATAAAAAGGCATATATGAGATGTTATAAATTTAGTAAGTTGATTGAGAAGAAAATAGATAGAAGTTAAAGGATTTTGTTTGGATTCTAAGTTTAAGATATTATAAATTTAATCAAGTGATTTATATTTATTTTATCCATGTAGAGAAGTTGACTTAAACTAAGATTAAACAAACATATCCAAAAAAATGATAAAATTTTATATCGAATGTGTTTGAATGAATTTGAAGTTTGAATAATAAAAAAATTTAATATGAATGGTCCTTTGACGTGATATAAATAAATATTTTATTTAACATTTTGAATATAAAATTAATATTTAATATAAATTTTTTTTTCTAAATATAAGCATTTAATCTGTTTTTTCTTTAAGGAAAAAATAGTAAAAAAAGAACTTATAAAAAAACTCTAACCAAATATGTTGAGAAAGAAATGATATTTGATACATATATATATATTTTTTTATGTAAAATTTTATTCTAATAAAATATACTTATAAACTTTCTTAAGTTTATCTACTCTAATACGCCATCTATAGCTATCTCTCTCTTCTTCTTCTTCTTCTTTTTTTTTTAATTTTTTTTATTTTTTATTTAATGACGAAGTGTAGTCTGTAGTTATCTCGTGGTCAAGCAAGTGATTGATGATATTGATAGATATGGACACACTGACGATTGATTTCTTATAATATAGGAAACACATGCTATTATTTTATTTTACTTCAAAACTAGGTATTAAATATTTTAAGTAAAATAATAATGTATGTTAATATAATATTTAAATAAAAAACTTAAAATATTAGATAACATAACTTATAAGAAAATAAAAAGTTCTTTAAAAATACTAGCTTTTGTTAATTTCTTATCCTATTTTTATTATTAAATTAATTTTTTTTATAAAAAAATATCAAAATAAATAATTATAAAAATATTTTTATCTTTAAAATATTAAATTAACTTACGGTACATTAAATAGTTATTCAAATTCAAACTTTTTATTATTAAAAAAATTTAAACTCAAAATCGAAATCTCATATAAATTTATTGAAGAGGTACGAGATTTGCTTGAGTTGTTGATTGATTATACTAAGGGTGTGTTTGTTTGGGGGTTTGGATTTTGAGTTGGGATTTGAATAGTAAAAATTTTGAATTTGAATAGTTGTATGATATGATATAAATAGGTGTTGATACGATGTTTTGAATGTAAAATTGTTTTTTTAGTATAATATAAAAAATAAAAAATAAGTTTTTGATTTGATATTTTTGGGGAAAAAAAATTGGATGAATAGTGTAAATCCAATCCAATCACCTGAACAAACACACCCTAAGTGCAGAAGGAAACTAACATGGTGTTGTTTTAAAAAAAAATTAATTAAATTAATAACTTGAAAATAATATTTTCAAGAAATTTATATACTTAGCTAAATTATTGTCTATCGATTTCTTTGTATCAATCCGATTAAATCAACAGCAATATATATATATATATAATAAAGCAGCAATATATATTTGACAACATATAATAATATCATATACAATACATATTTAAATATATAGTATATATTCTAACAGCATATAATATATTTATATAACACAATATATTATTAATTTAAATACAATACAATATTATATTTATATAATACTGTAAATTAAATAAATGAACTTATTATTTTATAACCATGAATAATACAATCTTCCGCTTACCGTGTACATCTTTTTATTTATGGTTGTCTCATTTATTTGTCATTTTTTCTAAAAAACAAATTATATATTTTAATTTCATTTAAAAAATATATAGTTATAATTTTTTCAATGTTAATTAAACTAATTAGTTATTTTAATTTTAATTTAAAATTATTTTTATTAAATGATAATTGTTTTTATTAATACACTCTTAATTATTTGATAATTATACTTTTTTTAAATCTCATTTCTATAGTAAAACGGACACGTAATCGGGACGGATGGAGTAGTATAAAATTATATTTATTTTGTTATTGTTGTTATGTAAATGTTTCTTTCTCTCATAAAAGAAATATACTCATTCCGTCTCATAATTAAATATCCGTTTATTTTTTGCATTGAGTTTTAAAAATATTATTATTATATTGAGATGTAGTAGGAATAAAATAGAAATGACTAAAATAACCTTATTAATATTGTGTGATATAAATGTAATGACATTTGTGTAATATATTATAAGCTGTAAGGTATTTGTAATGTTAGATAGATAGTGCATTTACTAAAAAAAAAAATGAATACTTTGTTATAGGGACGGACTAAAATAAAAAAAAATGAATATTTTTTTATGAGATGGATGGATAGATTATACATTTTCCTCTATTAGAGATTTTTTTTTTTAAATAAAAAATCATATCACTTGTTTTATCATACAAGTAAGCCTAATTAGTTGCTATTTTCTTTCTTTTTAATTTAATTTAATTTAATTTTTTTTTTTATGATGAATAGTTGCTAGTTTTGAATAAATAGTAAAAGAACCTTGTCATACAACTAGACACACATTTTGTTGTTGTTTACTCATTATTGATTTTGTCTTTTAGTTTGAATAGAAATTTTAATACTATTTTCTGTAACAAAAAAAATTTATATATCATTACCAAATATATATATATATATATATTGTAAAAATGGTATAATAAAATAAAATTGAAACAAAAATCCAAAAATATATATATATATATAAATAACTTTTTTAGTTTTACCATTATAATAAATTTCTTCCACAATTACCTATTAAAAGAAAAATTTAATCTAATAATAGGAGCTACGTACAATAAGAGACTTCATACGTCCCAATCAATCGAAATGGATGGTACGTTGAATCTTGTAATTCAACACTATTAAAGTTAATCATAGAGTGTGTTTTGCAATTAGCTGATAGATAAATTGATTAGTCGGTTTGATTAGCTGATTCGATTAGTTGTTTGTATTAAAATATTTGATAAAATAGTTGTTTATACGTAAAATGATAATTAAGAATATTTTTATATTTTATTTTTAAAATATTTAGTTAATTTTTCGGTGGGTAGACTTAAAAAATTTATTATTAATTTTAAAAATTAATTTTTTTTTTATTTTAACATATTTTGTAAATAATTAATGCAAACTTATTAAAAATATATATATTATTTTCATTAGAAATAGTATAAATATAAAAGAACAAAAATCATTAGTATATGTATTTTTATTAATTTAATTTAGTTAATATGTATTTACATTAAAATTTATAATTTTAAATAAATATATTTATTTTAATAAAAATATTATGTGATATAAAATAATATATAAATTAATCAATAATACTAATATATTTATATTACATGTATTCTAAACAATTTAAACAAATTTATAAATAAAATAATTAACATATAAAAAATAATTATTTTAAATTTATAAACATGAATTTATAAGTTATTAGAAGAAAATATATCTAAAAAATTAATAAATAGTGTAATAAAAAAATATTAATATATATGAAAGAATTAATTAATTTTAAGGACAAATAAAGAATATAAAAATTAAATTGAAAAAGCTAATCTGAAAAACTGGGATATACAGTTTTTTCAAAATTAATTTTTTTGGACCCAATAAACTAATTGAAAACGCTAATTTACCAAACAGTAAAATTAGCTGGTTTAATAGTTAAAAAGCTTATCAATAAACTAAAAACTCTTGAAAAAAAAAAAAAAAAAAATTGTTTACCAAACACCATCCTAATCCTTAATAATTTTAAAAAACTAAATTAATTTAATTAATTAAAATATTAGATAACTAAGTTTTATTTGGAATATGCTGAATATAAATAATAAATCAGCACACTATCTTCTTTTCCAATTAATTGGTTGTTTTTGCTATCATTTTATTATGCTTTTGTCTTTACCTTATTTTATACATGTTAAATTATAATAAACTAGAGTGGAGTCCGTGTACTATCGCGGCATAGCTATAAATTTTATTGAATTATTAAAATTTATTTTTGTTAAGTAATAATTAAATTATTTTTAATATAAAAATTATTTGAATAAATTAAATTATTTTTAAATATAATATTTTAAATAAAAAAGTAGTCAATTATGATTTATGAAATGTATATATATATACTTCACTAAATAATATTTTTTCCGTCTCAAAAGAGATGTTTTATTTTTTTATTTTTCTCAATGTCAAAATAATTGTCTTGTTTCTTTATTTAATACGGTGGTCCCTATTTTATAACAAAATTATTCATACTTTTTCAAGCTATTGCTAATTATTACTTAACTATTTTTTAAAAAATCATTCAAAAAGGAAGAGCATTTTAATATTTTACATTTTATTTTATACTTATTTTCAATTAAATACTACTACTACTATTCATTAATTCCCGTGTCAACTTTCAACTAATCGTCTCTTCTGGGAAGTAGGGAATATGACATTTTACAAATGATTTGATTATTGTAATTTTAAATTGATTTAAAATAGAGTATTTAATTTTAATCTTATTTAAAAAATATTTTAATATAATACTATTTTATAAAAAATAAAAGTATATTTTTATTAAAATAGTACGAATAAATCATATTTAATTTTGACTTAAAATATATATATATATCTAATAAAATCAATAGTAGTAGTATATGTTTTGAGAGGGTTGTTGTATGGTTTTACTTTTTTATTTTTTGTTGTATATGTTTTATATTTATAATTTTCAAAAAAGAAAAACTTGTGCTTATGGAATGAATCAGATCTGAATTTGAATGTAAATTATGATTTAAAAGAGATAATTAAAAATTCCGAAGTAAAAAATACAAAACACACTGATTTCGGCGGCAACAACGGCGGTGATTTCTTCGGGGTCGGGGGATGAATTTGGCTAGAGCGGACAGAAATTCTGACGATGATTTGGTTGATAGAAATTGAATAAAATAAACCTGCTGATTTTGATGTCGTCGGCGGCGGTGTCGATCGGTGGTTGCGGCGTCGACTGTCGCAGGCTAGGGCGACGATGTAATTACTGGGAGATATGTTATGACGCACGGAGGAATTACAGTTTAGATTGTCATATTTTTATTTGTTAGACTGATTAGACAGGATATAAATTTGGTGGGTGGGTGGGTAGATTCGTAGAAGAAAGTAAACGTTAGTTTAAATGTAAGTAAGCTAGAAACCAAACACAAACACGTTCTTCTATAACTGCAAATTTAACTATAAATAAGTCAGGCAAAATTCTAAGGTTACATCCAATCAATCAATGGGTACTGACAGTGACACCGTCGTCTCCTCCTCCTACGACGATCTTCATCACAGTCTCAATGTCGCCGTCCTCTCCAGCCCCGGCATGGGCCACTTCATCCCGGCCCTCCTCCTAGCCAACCGCCTCGCCGCCCACCACCGCGTCAGAGTCACCCTCTTCCTCGTCGCCACCAGCGCCGCCGCCGGCCGGCCGAACCTCCCACCGCACGACCCTCTGGTTCGGATCCTCACTCTCCCGCCGGTCGACATCTCCCACCTCGTCAACCCCTCCACCCAAGTCTTCACCAAGCTCTGCCTAATGGTCCGCCAGGCCTTGCCCGCCGTCCGCGCCGCCGTCGCCGCCATGGACCCCCGCCCCGACGCCCTCATCGCCACCCACTTCGCCTACCAAGCTCTCGAAATCGCCGCCGAGTTTGGTCTCCCTAAGTACGTCTACTTTCCTTCCTCGGCCTGGTTCACCGCCTTGACCGCGTACCTCCCGGTGCTTGACCGGGAAATCGCCGGCGAGTACGTCGATCAGGCGGCGGCGCTGAGGATTCCGGGGTGTAAACCGCTCCGGACGGGGGACGTCGTGCAGCCGATGATGAACCGGAAGGAAGAACAGCACGAGGATTATGTAAGAATGGGGAAGAATATTCCATTGTTCGACGGGATCTTGTGCAATTCATGGCAAGATTTGGAGCCCGAAACTTTCCGGGCTTTCAAGGAGAACGAAGCTCTGAAATCCGTCGTGAAAATTCCGGTTTACCCCATCGGACCGCTGAGTCTGTGCAGCCATGTTGAACCGGGCGGGTCAGGTTCCGAGTTGATGACGTGGCTAGACCGGCAGCCGAGCGAGTCGGTGGTCTACGTTTCGTTCGGGAGTGGTGGGGTTTTATCAGCCGATCAAATCACCGAGCTGGCTTGGGGTTTGGAGCTGAGCCGGCAGAGGTTTCTCTGGGTGGTTCGGCCGCCGGCCGACAACGGAGGCCACGTCGACGGCGCGTTTTTTAACATGGGGAAAGCCGCCGCCGGCGGACTTGAGCTTGACTACCTACCGGACGGGTTCTCGGCCCGGACGCGGGACAGGGGAGTTGTGGTCCCGGAGTGGGCTCCGCAGGTGGAGATCCTGAAGCATCCCGGCGTCGGAGGGTTTCTGTCGCACTGCGGCTGGAATTCGTGTTTGGAGAGCGTGATGAGCGGCGCGCCGATGGTCGCGTGGCCGCTGTACGCCGAGCAGAGGATGAACGCGGCGTTCATGGCGGAGGAGGCCGGCGTGGCGGTGAGGGTTACGGCGGAGGGAGTGGTGGGGAGGTGGGAGATAGAGGAGAAGGTGAGGGCGGTGATGGAAGGGAAGACGATGAGAGAGAAGGCTAAGCAGCTGCAGAAGAGCGCCGCCGATGGGCTGCGCCGCGGCGGCGCATCGGAGGCGGCGATGCGCAGTGTGCTGGCGCGGATAGTCGGACAAAAAATGTAGCTGAGCCGAGCTAGGCAGGTAGCTGTGTTATTTCTTGTACTACTTTGACATAAAAATATATGAATAAAAATATAAAAAATTTAATAATTTATCTCGGTATAAATTATTTTAATTAATTTTAATTTCACCGATAAAAAATGAATGAAAGTGACATGAAAGTTGATCTGAATAAAATATTGCCGTGTATAATATAATACACCTGTATTATTGCAGTAAGCAATATGTTGAATTAAAATACATGGTTATGTTTCATCATACACGGCAGTGTTCCATTCCATTATATATATATACTAGAGGGGAGTTGTGCTATGCACGGGTAGTTATAAATTTTGTTGAATTATGAAAGTTAATTTTTGTTGTTAAATATATAATATTTTTAATTCATGATAAAATTTTAATATGAGAATCATTTGAATAAATTAAAATATTTTACACTATCAAGTTTTAATATTCCATATATTAGAGATTGATAGATTTATCGATTAAGTATATATACTGCAAAATTGAAATATTTTTAGCGCGGTGTTTAAGAAATAATAGTATTTGAATTACAGTGGATAGTTAAAAGTAATGTAATGACATTTTTTGTCTTGTTTTTTGGTGTAAAAGTAATGATGTAATGAAAAGTAAAGGTATTTGTGGAAAAAAGTGAGATATTTAATGAAATGTTTACTTTGTAATTGGACGTCCTAAAATAGATATATGTATACTTTCTAATTGGATGGAGGCAGTATATTAGTGGTGTCTATTAATATTTTAATAAACAATTTTTAACATTATAATTTAGTTAAAAATTATGTCGGTAAAAAATAAATAAAGCCAAAGTCAAATTTCATCTTGTCACTATCATTTTAATATAATTAAATTATAAAACAACTTCTCTATTCGGGATAATTATGCCATATTTTTTATCCATTAACTTATATATAATTTATTTATAATAAAAACGTTATTCATTCACAAATTTATTATCCTTATTTGAACAAATAATGATAAAATTTGTAACTATTTTTCTACTTACTTCACTATAATATCATTTATTTATCTTTTTAGATATTCTATCTTTTCACTAAAATACTTTTATTTTTTAGTCTTCATTTCTAGATAATATAACACAGAAAGTCTGGACGAATTCCAACCGCTGGTTCCGATACCGAAACCGTCATCGAAGTGAAACCGAAACCTGTTTTCTCACGGTTCGGTTTCGATTTTTCTTTTTTTTGAATCATGAATAGACGGTTCAATCGACGATTTTTTTATTTTTATAATGTTATTATTTTTACTTTAACACAAATTCTAATGAAAAATAGTTATATTTTAAATAAAAATATATTTATTTTCTTTGGAAACATTTTTAAAAAACAGCAAAAATAAATATTCTGATAAAAATTTCATAATTTCCAATAACTAATAATAAAAATTCTACATATACTATACAACAAAGTAATGCAACTAAATATTTTAAAAATAAAATATAAAATAGTTTTAATTGTTATTTTACATATAAACAACTAATATCAATCAATTATTTTACTAAATATTTGAACAGAAGTAGCTAATATGTTCAGCTAGTCAAACCCGCTAATAAAATTAATTATCAACTAATAACTGATTGTCAAACACCCTCAAATATATATTTTTTATCTTTTTAATTAAATTTGATATAAAATTATTAATATAAATTTGAAATAATGAGTTTTTTGGGTTTATTTATAACATAATTTTTCATAAATATTATTTTAAAAAAATATAATATATACACGTATCAAAACACTATATATAATATATACACTTTATAAAACTCAAGACAATCGATAATACAATATAAAATATTAGTAATTTTTATATTTCGATATAATTTTTCATATATCACGCAAAATTTATATTCATTCAAAAACCACAAAATGATTAAAATTATACTAAATAACTTAAAATTTATTTTTACAAATTTTATGATGTTAATATTTACTGTTTATATATGAGATATTAATTTTCTTTGATCGCGAAATTTTTATAGTATTTGACTGAAATATAATAAATGATGTATGTATTTGTATAATTTTAGTTGAGTTTTGATTTTTACAGATTTTGAGCATTGAATTTTTTAATGTATTTGTATAATTTTAGTTTTGAGTTTTGATTTTTACAGATTTTGAGCATTGAATTTTTAAATGTATTTGTAAAATTTTGAATTTTAATGATTATGTAGAATATAATGATTAAAAGTGTGTTCTTTTTTATTTTTTTTACATATTTTTTCTTTAAAAAATTATATATTACATATACTTATTATTGTTATATTTTTAATACAAGTATTTATACTTCATAAAAAAATATATTTTTTCAAACTATTTTACAAAATAAATACACCCTAAATTTTATTACAATGAAAGAAAATTGGTATAATAGTATATAATAAATAATTAAATTTAAAATAAAAAAATAAAATATTTATTATTATATTTATAAAATTAAATAATCTCCATAAATTTCTTCCCTTATTTTTTATTTTATTTTTATTTTAAATGGTGTGGCCCACATCAAATTTTAAAAACAAAAAAATTAAAATAGGACAATTGGCCGAACGTTTTCGTCTCCAAATATATAATATATAAGATATATATATATCTTGACGATGATAGAACACAACGTATGTAATGGACACAGCCGTATTTCTTTATGTTGATCTACAAATTGTCTCTTTCTTTGTGGCCAGCAACAATAGAAATTATAATTATAGACTTTGAACCATTACATATATAAGAGTTCTTCAATAATGATATAAATACGAAATAGCCACCGCTATATATAACAATTAATAAAAATAATAATTTAAAAAAAATAATAAGATTAAGAAAACGAATAAAAGAAATATGTTATATTTTATAAAATTATAGATGAACTACCAACATCTTATTGCAAATTTTACTGATGGATTAAAAAAAAAAAACAAATCATGAACGCTTTCGAAAAATTTCTACTTGATCAGACGATTAATGAAGAGATATTTTTTTAGTATTCTTCTTATGATCTTCATATTCTTCTTATGATCATTATTTCTTCATTTTTTTTTATAATCATTATTTCTTCTGCATCTGTTTTCTGTATTAAATAATCAAAGAAAAATATATTAATATAAATAAAAAGAATACAATTTTTAAAAATAAAACCAATTTTTAAAAAAAATTAAATAATTTATAAAAAAGTAAATATATATATATATAGATATACAAAATTCTAATTTTATTCATATTTTTGTTATTAGTGTCTAAATAAATCTGAATTTTATTAAATTATTTGGTATTATAACAAATTTTAATTAATTATTTAAAATTATTATGTAAAATAAAATGATTTCAAAATTATGATACGATGATTACTCATACTATGATAGTTTTACATCAAATCGATAGAAATTTAATTTCTATTCATTTTTTTTACATGAGAAGAAAAAATAAAATAAAATCTATTTCAAATAAATATTTGTACTTGAGATAGTTTATTGTAGAGCGACTAATATTTTTATAAGATTTGTTTATTGCATTAATGATATTTTATTTGATTGAGATTGTTTTAATATCTATAATAATTTTATATTTTGATATGTAATATATATCATTCATAAATCAAATAATTTTTAAATTAGCATAAATTTTATGTCATAGTAGCTATTTTTATTGTCAATAAAAAATTTCACTGTTGTAATCTATTTTATTTTATATATTAATAAATAGAAAGTAGAGTTACCATGTAAAAATTAGTTTTAGTTAAAAATATCAACATATGTATTTAAAAAAAAATAAATATATTACACAAATTCATTAATATTACCAACACAAATTCCTATATCTTATACTAAAAAATTTCACTTCAAATCAAACCATAAAACAAACAACCCTTATGTGTGTTTGGTACAGAACTTTGACAGCAGAAACATGAAAATGTTTCAATTTCTCTTATTTGTTTGAATTAGATAAATTGAAGTTGAGAAATAACTCATTTATATTTCTCATTTCATTGAAGAAAAATGATGTTACAATATATGTTTATTTTTATTTTTTTTAAAAAAAATTATATAGAATTTCAATTTTACAAAAATTACATATAATTTGATATTAAATTTTTTAATTTTTAGGATTTAAAAAAAAAAATTGTACTGAAATATAATATTACAAAATATTGTATATAATTTATAATTTTTTTTTTAAAAAAAAAAGTTACCAAAAAATATTTTTACATGAATTCTATTAAAATTCTTTTTTGTCCGATTAATTATTTATTGTTGTTTGATGCATTCACTGCATTTTTTTTTCAACTCAATTCTCTGTACTACCAAACAAACAGATGATTAATTCTCATTCTCCACTCAATTAATTTTCTCTGCAATTATATTCTATTCTAATTTCTTTACAATTTCATTCTTGTACCAAACGAATGGTGAGTAAAATGAATAAGAAATAAGTAAAATGAATGGAGAACAAGAAATAAATTTGTAAAAATAAAAAGTAAAATGAAATAGATAGGAAGTGAATACGAAATTAAATATAAAATTAGAAAAATAATTTAATATATGGAAAATGAATAAGAAATTAACAGTGTATATAAGGAGTGAATAGAAAAATAAATTATACAATATCTATTTTCTTTAAAAAAAAAACCAAAATATATATTATACTATTTATATAATGTGTATACTGTATATCTTATATATATATTATATATTTATATATTACATGTTTTTATTTTAAATTTTTAATTAAGAAACATGGATTTTATTGCATGTTATTAATATGCAATACTTTCTCTCTTTTGATATATCAATTTTTAAGTGATCTTAAAATATTAATTATTATATTATTTAAATTATTATATAAAAAAATGACAAAAATATTTATATTAGTTTTTTATAATATATATTTGTGCAAAAATTATATAATAATAATTTTAATGTTAAATACAACAAAAGCCTAACAAAGAGATTATAACATATTTTTGTTAACGTTTTTATTATTTTAGTATTTATTCAAAAAAATCACACCAATTTCTAAACACCACAAAATTGAAAACAAAAAAGACACTATTAAAATATATAAACTCATGAACATGACCGTAAAATAATAAATTCAATCATTTTACGAACATAACAACCTGCAAACTATGATATCAGTAAGTCCTATCGTAGCTAAGAGAATGCCAACACTTAGAGGACATATATATATAAGAGTTACGGCGACAGTGATGAGGAAAAACAAATAACAATTTCGGGTATAGTTTCCATACTATGTATCCCGGGCAAGAATGAATCGAGGCAGAAAAAGAGAAAAGCACAACTTTTCACATGAACAAAATGAATTAAAGATTATGTTTGCTCCTCAACCACAAGATAAACAAAAACCCGAAGCTAACTAAATACAAAATGATTGATCTGAGTTCCAAAAACATGATAACTGAGAATAATATCTCCTCATGTAAATCAAGTAGTGCATCCTTCCCACGAGACTAATTTAAAAAGAATAAATAACTTCCAGGCAATGGTGTACCATGCATTTTATGTCATAAACTTCTTGCTGTCGATGTCACTCCGCTGCTCTCCCCTTGATTTAAGTGCAAGTTTTGTAAGCTCTGAATACACGCAGAAGATTATGGCATTAGGATCCACATAATGCCAGAGAAAGAAAGAGAAAACAACAAAGTAATACAGCATATGAAGTTTTTAAGCATGTTATTCGCATAAGCAGTAAGCATATGGAACCCTGGAATTTCAAATTAAGGTGTTTAGATTAACCTTAGATGCAAGTCTAGTGCTTGCACTTGGTGACGATTCCCGCTAAAGAATGTCTAGTACAGTGGCTACTTACCGAGCTGAAAAAAAAAATTACAATCTTTATTTCCTGAGATTAGAGCAGAACTTGCTTCTTTAAACACAGATTTTGTTCACCAAAGTGGATATATGAACCAGAAGGTCATTATTTTACACTGCATCCATAGAACCTATTTATTTAGTCATGCTGGCATCCATTATAAAAGGATGACAGAGTTCACAGAATTGTTCACATCCCTGAGTTTTATTAAGCAGTAACCAAAGGTAGGTTATTTGACTAATGGAAGGCGAAGAAGCTTAGGGAAACAAGAGCCACAGATGGAATGCAGCATTGGTAGTTCGATCTTTAAAGGAAATGAAAATGGGCAATTGGGAACGTAATAGAACATTCCTGCTTACGGCTTCTCATCCTTATATATGGGTTTCTAATGAGCCACGGCATTGAAAATTCAAGTAGAACCAAGCTAGCACATTGATGACCAAGGTGACACGTGTATTTTAGGGATGATTGTTAATAAGTAGTGGTTGTCAACTAACTAGAAGGGAATTCGATCGGTCACTGGATAAACCTCATGTTCTTGTTAGGCATAAGTAAGAATTTCTTTTCCTCCTCGAAAACCTGAGATTCTCACTCAGAAATGAAGCCTAAAGAGTGCACAATAGATAGGGAAACAATAGCTATAGAACAAAACTAACCTAATTAATATTAAACCACAAACGCCATCCTGAGGTTGTTGGGAATATTAAACATTTAGAAAATGTAATATAATAAGCGCCCCACTAAGACTAAAGATTATGGCGAGGGCTAGTCATAATTGTTGCCAACTACTTGATTAAAACATTCTACTACTCTAGGCATATTTCATTTTAATGCCAACATATCCTTGAACATTCAAAGAGTTGATAGTTCACCTCACTATAACTACCACAATTGTATTGATCAATTTACACCAAAACAATGTTTTTTAAGTAGCTATGTTTCTGTCAACATTTCAATATCATCAATCACGGTTACATAGAGGCCCATGTTGGTTGTGCACAAATCACCAAGATTTCATCTAAACCTTTTTGCAACTAGATTTCATATTTAATTGGGGAGCCTTATTGCATAATCATCACCTACGCATCAACATCTCACTTTTCCCTCAAGTGGCAGAATAAATTAGGTAATTGCAATTATTCGAAATCCCATTTATAAGCTTTTAACAATTCCCACTGATCAAGATAAAACTGAGATGAGTCCCCAAAGCTTGAATCTTACACGAGACAAAAACCTAGCCAACTACACATTTGAGGGTTGAGCTCACAATCTTTTTTAGCATATCAACTCCCCCGAACTACCAGATCAATAACTGTTTTTAGGGATTACAAATCTCTAACCCAGAATTCATTTCTAGCCATTTACCCCTCCATATCAAACAATTAAGGGTAACTTTTTATAGCAGGAATTCTTGGCATATGATAGAGACCCCCACATTTCCATTAAACTACTACACAATTAATTGGCTTTTCAAATTAGTAGAGTTTTAAACTGATGTCTCAATCAGATACACCAATTATAAACAGCTACAATCAAAATATAAATTTAAGGCAAAGATACTCACCAACGACAAAGAAGAATGCTGAGAAGGTAGATCGAGCATGAGGTAGCGAGTGGACATCCGAGCGATCTCTGCAATGGCAGCCTCCCTGATTTCAGGCACCTCGCTCGTCAAATCCTCGAAGGCAGCCACAAAAGCCTCCTGCCAAAATCCCCCCAATCGCGCCCTCTGGTTGTTAGCGTACACGTCCCACATGTGCCTCACCAGCTTCTCCCTCTCCTCCATTTCCTAATTTGGGGAAAAGAAAACGCCATCAGAAATCATTCAAACCCTAGTTCCAAGGACAGGCGCGAATCAGATAGCGAAGGTGAGCGGAAGAATCATATATTACAAGGACGTCGAGATCCTGGGAGACACGGGACATATAATCGTTGTCGAATCGATTTTTCAGATCTCCAGCTGACCACCGGAGAGTCACGGTGCCGGTGAGCATCGACCAGAACGCCAGCAACAAAATCGCGGCGAGCGCCCAAAACTTGTAGCGGCCGCGGCCGAGAATTCCGGACGAATCCGAGGAGCTGTCCTTTCTGTGGATCGCCGAGGAAGATGACAGAATCGAGGAGGATGTGGGCGTGGATACGGGGAGCACGTCATCATCCTTCATATCGAATCAGATGAATCGTGAGAGAAAGCAACAGAAATCCAATGTCGGAGCTCCGGAATCAATGGCGGCGTCGATCTCAACCATGGAGCGGCGATTTTCCGGCGAATGAATGTGAAGGCGGTGAGTGTGTGGATTATTGTGCAAAGTGTAGGCCACCGCAACCAAATGGCAGTGCCGGCCGGGACTCTCAACGTAAATTAAATAATTTAAATATTATATATATTATAATTAGTAGATAATTAAAAATATATTAGTTAAAATAATTATTTTATAATATAAATAATTATAAATTAAAATTAAAATAACTAATTAGTTTTATTAAAATTTTAAAAAAATAAATTTTAAAAATTTAAAATTAGATTAAAATGCATAATTATTTTTTTTTTAAAAAAATAATATGGCATATAAGACGGACATGAACTATAATGTTGACCTGGTATGTGGGATGAGGGAGTATATCATTTAATGGTTAGATTTCATTAATAATAATTAATTTTGGAGCGTAATAATAAAAATTATATATATATTATATCGTTTAGGACGCCTAAGTATAAATTGTTGTTTGTATTTTTTTTCTTATAAAGAATATTATTATTCACCTAAAATAATAATAATATTTTGTTGTCCGTATTTGAGAAATTGCTTAATTGTGTATAAAAGTAATGGTATACAGTTAGATTTTGTAATAAAAATGATCAATTATTTATTAGGAAAAAAATTAATTTTCATCTCAATATAATTAAAATTTATCAATAAACAATTTCAATCAATTTGGTCCCAAAGTTGAAAAATAATAGAAATTGATGACGTTGACATAAAGGAGGTGACGCAATGTACCATTATACACGGCTATGTATATTTCATATATAATTATATATGACCCTGTTATTACACGGTCATGTATAATTTTGTACGGCGGTGTACATTTATGTTTTAGTTTAAAATTTTATTTTTTGTTATATTTTTTAAAAAAAAAATAATTTTGAATTAAAATAGTTGATATAGTTAAAATGGACAATATCAATAGTAATCATAATATAATTAAAGTTTATCAATTTTAATCCAAATATAAAAATTTATAAGATGTATTCTTTTGAAATATTTTATCTAAATTTTATTATTCATAAATAAAATTTATCTTGCAAACATCCAATTATACAACTATTTTTTAATTTTGTATATTATAGTAGTATTAAAAATTAATTTATTATTTCAATACATTGGATGTTAATAAGAGAAAAAATTTTGGTAAATAGTAGTATAATTTTAGACAAAATCTTTCTAACATACTCGATAAATATTTATATTTGAACTAAAATTTATACATTTTAATTATATTATGATTATTATTGATTTTATTTTTTTCATTTTAACTATATCAACTATTCTAAATTCAAAAACGAAATATATTAAAAAATAACAAAAAATAAAATAAAATTTTAGACCAAAACATAAAAGTATACGGCCTTGTAAAATTATACATGGTCGTGTAACAATATGGCCATATATAATTATACACTGAAATATATATGGTCTTGTAACAATATGACCCTGTATAATTGTACATGATCGTGTAATAACATGATCATGTATAATTATACAATGTAATATACATGGCCATGTAACAATATAGTCGTGTATAATTATACATGACCGTGTAATAGCATGATCATCTATAATTATACACTGAAATATACATGATCACGTAACAACATAGTTGTATATAATTGTACATTACCGTGTAATAATATAACTATGTATAATTATAGACTTAAATATACATGGCCGTATAATTGTACATGACCGTGTAATTTTGAAGTGATCTGCCACGTCACCTCCGTTGTTGTGTCCTCGTCAGCAACCAAAATTAATTGAAATTATTTATAATATAACCAAAATTGATTGAATTGTTTATAATGAAATTAAAATTGATTGAATTTTTTATATTAAAACCAAAATCAATAAATTTTGATTATATTGGAACCAAAATTAATTTTTTCCCTATTTATCATTACTTGTATCCTTCTTGAGAAATGTACTTTAGCACTCCCTCAATTCTTTCAATCAAAATATAGTAATATCTTTTCTTCTACAAAAAGCTCAAAATCTAACCTCCCATATGACATTCAAGAAAGTCAAAAAGTTCTAAACTCATTATGTATGCAAACCAACCAATTCTCCATATTACAGTGAAAAGTTACAATGGGGAATCAATTCAATGTTTGATAAAACATTCAAATGTTAGAAACTAAAACTAATCATACAACTCAATCCAATATGCATCAGAAACAACAATCACAATCAAATGGGCATAGAGTGGTACCTCCTGCGTCCGCCTTCCCAATTCCCAACTCGGCCTCGGAATAAATGGATAATCCATCTGCAGTTTTCTTCCTCGATCGAGATGTGGAATCACCAAATGCAAACTCATGGGAGGATTTTCTTCTTTCACTCTTCGCACCCTTTCCCCTACCTGACTTTTCATGCGATTTTGGATTCCCAGTTGATGCTTGAGATTTTTTTATTGTATTGGTGTCTTTACCCTCCTTTTCAGGTCCTTCCCTTTTCTTTTTGGCGAAAATTTCATCAATCTCACTTCCCATTCTTTTGCGTTTTGGAGATGATTTACTCGGCTCCACTACAGGTTGTTCATTTGGATCCTTGAAGTTGTTCATTTTCGCTTTTATCTTCTTCATCTTAAGCTCCTGCTGCAACTGAAGTAGCAGAGGTTAGAGTTATACTTGAGGCAATTGAGTAATGGAGGAGGAGATTGAATTGAGACAGCCTCAACTTTGATTAGGCAGGACGAGAGGAAACTGAACAGAGATAGGAGAAAGTAACAAATGAAAGATACACAGATTGTATCAGCATGAGTTGGAGAGATTAATGTATGAATCAATAGCAATTTATATTCTTCTAACACAACTCATCCACAAGCATACTATCGGAGAACAGATCTTAAATTCTAAAAAGAGATGAACAAAGCCGTGATTTGAATTAAGCAGCATTTATAACGGGAAACATGCTTTACCAATTTAAATGCCTTGTCCAACTTCACCAATTGAGGCCGTGATTTTTTCTTCGGGTCCCTTCTGTAATTGTAGCCATTTCATCCCAACTGGATCATTACAAGAACTCATTACCAGAATCACACATGTAATAATTGTAATATCAAAATGTGTTCACACAAACATACAAAGACTTACAGGATTCTCCCATAACTCAGTATGTATAGTATGTTCAAATAGATTTAAAACCAAATTTTTGAATATAACCAAAAGAGCATTAACATATACATATATATATATATATACATGAAAATTGTCCCGGCATCAGAAAACACAAACAAAACTCTCATCCCTAGCACACCACAATAACCAGAGTTTGGTTCAATCAACTAATTGGTGGTGTCAATACGGGCTACGAGCATGCTAGCCCAACCCGCCACCCAATGCAACCCACACAGGTTTGAGAGGGCTGGCGAAGCGACAGCAATGGCGGGCTAACATTTACTAGAGTCCACCCCAATCCATCAGCAGGAGTGGCAGCTAGGCAACCAATACACAGGTTTTTTTGCAGTTTAAAAGTATATATATTAAAATTATAAAGTGTAATAAGCAATATGTGAACACAAACATATTTACATAGACACTAACTTTTGGCATTATCATCGTCCGTAAATTTTTCAAAAAATCATCACATGAAACAACTTTTCAGAATCGAATATAATTGCATAGTAAATTTCAAATAATAATTTTCAAAAATACTTATATACCTCAACACATTGTTTCAGTAAGGTTTATTCATCAACATAAACATGGGTTTTTTTTTTTCGAAGTCTCACAACTTTTAAATACACACATAATCTAAAGCAATCTTAATTTCCTTCAAGTTAACCCTCGATAATATAATCTATGAAGTGGATGATTTCAATTCAATGAATGAATGAATAAAATGCAAACAGTATTTGAAACCATGCCAGCATACAAATGATCGGAAAAGGCACAGAAGAACCAAAACATGGAATTTATACAAGAGAAACAAAAGGTGGTCCGATGCCACCATAACAGAAAGCTCTGAACCAAAAAAACAGAAGAAAAAATAAACCTTATTGTCAGACTGAAATAGGATACGACGGCGACGGCGCTGAAGATGAAGATGAAGGCGACGGTGACGGAAACGGCGAGCGAAGACAAATACGAAGACAAAATGTAACAGGAGAGGCAAAGACGAAAGCCGGGGCGGAGAAGAAGGCTGCTGCGGCAGGAGGAGAAGAAGAAGAAGAATTGGGAAGGGGAGAGACGGCGGCCGGTTTAGGGTTGATTTTTTTTTATTACTATTATTATTGTATAGAGTATAATTTAAGATATATATATATATATTTTAAAAAATAATAATAAGTAAAATTAATAAATTAAAATTAAAATTAATTAGTGATATAAGAAGTTGTCACTCTAAATTTTATATTTATAATTTTTTTAATTTTAATTAAAATAATTTATTTTTTTAATTTAATTTATAATTTTTTTAATTATATAATAATACTCTCGTTTTTTATTAAAATGATATAATATAATAAAATATAATTAATTATTTTATATTTTAAAAATATTGATGATACAAATTAAAATATAAATTATTACATAGGTTCGTCTAGATCGGTAAGTTTTTTACTTTTATTTTTAAAAAAAAATATTTAGTTAAAATTATTATTTTATTTTTTTAATAATAATAATAAATATAATATTATAATATAATATAAAAATAATTAATTTATATATTATATTCTAATAAAAAGTATATATAATTATATATTATTTAATTTAGATGTCACTCCCTTCGTCTCAAATACTATGTCCACGTTGCCGTTTCTGTCCGTCCCATATACCATGTCACTTTCTTTTTTTGGAAAATGATTACACACTTTAATCTTTTTTTAAATTTTTAAAATTTTTTTTTAATTTTAATTAAACTAATTAGTTATCTTAATCTTAATTTATAATTATTTATATTACAGAATAATTATTTTCACTAATACATTCTTAATTATCTACTAATTACCTTCTTCCTAAAATACCGTGTCTACAGTGTAGCAAATACGGTATCTGGGACGGAGGGAATATTACTTTAATTATAATTCAAAATTATAATTAAAATACCAAATTTAAAATTTAAAAAGTATCTACATTTTTTAAAAAAATACAAATCAATGTAATTTTTTTTTTATTTTTCATAAAACAATTATGCTTCAATAGTATACTCAATTGTTAGGAATTTTATTCTCAAATATGAAACGGCGAAGTGTGCAAAATAGATTGCACTTTAATACCAGAATATTTGTTATATATTGTGTTTTGGCCCACACATATATATGCACTCTTTTTTGGGTTAACATACAATTTCTATTTTATGCAAATATTTAAACATCGTATCAAAACCTATTTTTCTTTTGAGATAGACATATCTATTAATCCTTATTGCTTTTGCCGTCAACGCCAGCGCGTGGCAGCCGCATGCGCCTGTGACGCAGATCGACGTTGTATCCCTTAGACAACCGCCGGCTTATCTCCGTGTCCGGCGGTTTTAGGCCGCCGTCTCCTGCTTCGATCCCCGATATCCTAGTATGATCGGTTTTGCCATCTGACTTGAATTTATTTTGCAACTGTTACTGGGTTGGCTTGCCCAGTCTGATTTTCTGCACGATTCTTTTGCGCGCACTATACTATTCTTGATTTTCTCGATTCATAGTATAACTCTTAATGTGGATCATGTAAACGCTTTTGGAATTACTGTTATTTTTTATAGTGATAATTATGATTTGTAGGCTGAATCCATGAAGAGTTTCTTGATTGGTAAAAGATTATGATGCTATGTTACTGGTGACTTTTCTGCACCAGAATGTTGTCACTTCTATGGCGCCCCTCAACAATAAGGATTTCACGGACTATCGAAATACCTCTTCAAAATCCATTTTCAGATTCAACTTCTCCGCATGGACACTGCCAAGAAAGCTTGGGATTATTTGCAGCATTGATATCATGTCACTGGAGACATGCATTTTTATCAGCTTATAGGGTCATTGAATGCACTGACACATGACTCGCGCCAAGATATGAATGAGTTCATCTTTACTATACAGTCTATGTGGGATCGCATTGATGAGGCCGACATACAGATTGAGCATTTTCGGTTGATTCAGCTTTTGATGAAGCTTGGTCCAGAATATGAATCTGTGCGTACTTCTTTGCTTCATCTTCATCCCTTGCCTTCAAAAGAAACAACGATGAAAGAGATTTTGTTTTAGGACACCCGCCTCAAGATGTTCAAGGCTATTGCTCTTGATTCGGCTTTGGCAGTTCTCTTTTCTACTCCTCATCGCAGAGATAATCGCAAGGGTGCCCGACCACCGCAGTCTGATAAATGTCGCAGTTGCCCGAATGTTGATCATCTTTATATCTATTGCCCTAAGGTTGAGTGTCACTACTGTAATCAGAAAGGTCACATCTGTCCGCATTGTCCCAAGAATCCCAAGGCTGGTCAGTCCTCTTCTTGCTCTTCCTCTACCATTGTTGTTGCCACTAGCGTATCACAGTCGCCTCAACCGCCTCCCACTCTTGAGAAGCTACGTCACATGCTCACTCAGGTTTATCAATTCATCCTTCATTAGCCTCGACATCAGGTAACAACACATAGTATATTGATTTTGTCTGTTGTAACCACATGACACCTGACCCTCGCCTTTTACATTCCTCCCAACCCGTCACCCCATCCCTCTCATACTTACCGTTGATGGCACCTCCATGCGCATTACCCATACTGGCCATATATCGTCCCCCAACGTTGATGATGTTTATGTCATTCCCAAATTAGCCTAAACTTTGCGTCTGTTGGTCAGTTGGTTGAGCTGGATTTTATTGTAAATTTTTCATCTTCTGGTGTGCATATTCAGGACACGCAGACGGGTCAGATACTTAGGACGGGTCGCAAGGCAGGCCGCCTATTTGAGCTTGACTACCTTTGCACTTTCGCCAGACACCATCTCTTTCCGCTGCAATCTCTTATTCCTCTTCCTATTACTGGCACCTCAGACTTGGTCATGCCTCCCTATCTAAACTCATGTCTTTTACAAATACAGGTGTTTTAGACACAGTTCGTTTTGAGTCTTTTGATTGCTTGCATTGTAAACTTGGAAAACAACAAGTTTTACCTTTTTTGAGTAACTTGTTTATTGTTGATAAACCTTTTTCATTAGTACATTCTGATATTTGGGGGCCCTTTCTTGTTGCTACTTTTACTTGGATTTACTTTATATGCAAGCGGTCTGAACTTGCTTCCATTTACTCTGCATTCGCTAAAATGGTGCAAACTCAATTCTCGTGTCAAATTCGGACTCTTCGCACTGACAATGCCCTCGAATATAATGATTATGCCTTTCTTAATTTTTTGTCCACCCAAGGTATTCTTGTCCAGCGTTCTTGTCCCTACACATCTCAACAAAATGGTAGGGCAGAACGCAAGCATCGTCATATTTTAAACACAGTTCGAGTCATGTTGTTATCTGCGAGTTGTCAAGATCGGTTCTGGGGCAAGGCTGTTCTTATTGGTGACACAAGAACTGAGTTTGCACCATTTTAGCGAATGCAGAGTAAATTAAAGCAAGTTCAGACCGCTTACCCTTCTATGTCATTCATGATACCATACCTTTTGAAAAGTTTTTCCGCCAAGTACCTGATTAGTCTCATCTTCATCTTTTTGGTTGTGTCAGCTTTGTTCATCTTCCTCCTCATGAACGTAACAAATTATAACCACGCACCCGTCTGTGTTGTTTTCTTGGGTATGGGATAGAACATAAAGGTTATCAATGTTGGGATCTTGTGTCGAATCGTCTACGTATCTCTCGGGATGTTACTTTTTTTAAGTATAAGTTCTTTTCCTCTGAGTCTAAATTTTTCATTCCCTTTAAGTCAAAGTCCCCGTTCTTTGTTCTCGATTCCTCTCTTCCTCTTGCAGGTCCCGAACTCCCTTTTGTTCCTGTTCTGGATTCTTCTCCCCCTCCTGCAGGTCCCGAACCCCCGTTTGTTTCTGTTTTGGATTCCTCTCATCCTCCTACAGGTCTTGAACCCCCGTCTGTTCCTGCTGGTCTGTCTGATGTTGATCCATCCCCACCAACTGACCTTCCTTCGCCTCCTGAGCATGTGCCCGACCCTCCGGAAATTTCAGTTCCTACCGCCACTGAACGACGACCCATCCGTGTAAGTCGTCATCCCTCTCATCTACTAGATTATTATTGTTTTTTTGTCATTTTATCTCACCATGAACCCAGGGCCTTTCGTGAGGCGAACTGTGATCCTTTGTGGCGCGATGCTATGTCTGAGGAATTGCAGGCTCTTGAGAAGACTTGCACGTGGGATATCATCGATCTCCCTCATAGCAAGAAACCTATTAGTTGCAAGTGGGTGTACAAAATCAAAACTCACTCCAATGGTTCTGTTGAGCGCTACAAGGCTCGCCTTGTAGCCAGGGATTTTTCGCAGGAGTATGGTATTGATTGTGAGGAGACATTTGCTCCAGTTGCTCGTTTGACATCTGTCCGTTCTCTCCTTGCTGTTGTCGTTGTTCGATGTTGGCAATTATTACAGTTTGATGTGAAGAATGCGTTTCTTCATAGAGATTTGTCTGAGGAAGTCTACATAACCCCTCCACCTGGCTCAGATTTTTCAGCGAAGGTATGTCAACTGCACTGTGCCCTTTATGGACTGAAATAGGCGCCCTGAGCTTGGTTCGCCAAGTTTAGTGTTGCGTTCCTTCAGTATGGCTTTTCTGCATCTCCCTATGACTATGCTCTCTTTATTCGCCGTTTTCCTGCCGGGATCATTATTCTCTTGTTGTATGTCGATGACATGGTTATTACCGACGACAATATTTCTGGTATATCCGATCTACAAATCTACCTTCATCGACACTTTGACATGAAGAGTCTTGGTCAACTCCGTTATTTTCTCGAACTTGAGATTTCTGACGCTCCAGATGGCATATATCTATCTCAGATGAAATATGCATATGATCTCATATCTCGTTCATGTCTGACTGATAGCCAGATTGCATCCACCCCTCTCGAGGGGAACTACGGACGTGCTCCTTTCGACGGCACTCCACTAGAGGATCCCTTCCGCTATCGGAAGTTCGTGGGATCCCTGATATACTTAACGGTCACTCGCCCTGACATAGCTCATGTGTTTCATGTTGTTGCTCAATTCATGACTAATCCTCAGACAGTTCACAATGATGATGTGTTGCGCATCCTTCGTTATGTCAAGGGAACACTCCTACA